ATATGTGTTGTGAATAGAAGTTGCGTTTTCATTCTCGGACATTCAAATAAAAGTCGCTGAAATAAATCCGACGTTTAAATTTGAACCGTTTTATTTTGTTGATGATTGTCTTCACTCACATTGTTTAAATTTTTCACGCAAACAGGCAAAAAGAACTGTTTCTGAATTGTTTTTAAACTTGAAGAGAAACTCCGTTGCCATTTGTATTTGCCGTTGAGCTTGTGGCTTTGAATTATTTGCGGCAGGTAAGAAAATTGTTAATCCCGTTTACCTGTCGGGATGTAGTTTCGGCTATTGGACCGAGCCGTTTGAAACTAAAGTGATCATATATATTTAAAAAACAAAGAATAAGAAAAAGCATTTGATCAATTCGGCTCTGCTGCTCATTACAAAAATGTCCTGCTTAAAAACAACACTGAGTAAAGTAAACCACAATTGAACCGCTTCGACAAAAAAACATTCCTCAGAATATTTGAGAATTGAATCGAAGCATGGCATTTGTCTACGAACAAAGAGGAACAACGTAAGTTTTTGAACCAAAGCGACACAAAGCAAATGTGAGAAACGACGTGCAACATAACGAATCATGTTGCAGTTTAAAGCCGAAACTTGCTTTGTAGCGCTTTTTTTCTCAAATTGGTGTTGTTTCTCTTTGAAAATAATCTCGGGCATGATGCAGTCCGTTTCAAAACTATGATGAATTGATAAAGAGCGCGAATTTTGATGTGGCGAAAACACCAATGGATTGGGCACATTGAATACTGTATTAGAATCGAAAAAAAATTAAACCTTTCTTTCAATTTTCGGCTGTATTGCGACCACACTGTATTGTAGACACATGGGGAGTTCGTGTGAGAACTTCGGAGCGCTGCTGTTATTGCATTGGCTTCTATGGCCAAATTTACACATGGAAATATCTCGAAAACGGCTGGGTAAATCGGCAAAATGGACCGTGGCGTCACTCCTAAATGGAGTGTTAACACCCAGCTGGTTTGATGGCCTAAAATACAAATCCAGTGGAATTTCGGCTGATCCATTGATTCTCAGGATTTCACCTGATTCCTTTAATTTCTTTGCATTGTGGTAAAATTTCATACTAAACTTAGGTAGATTGATTTTACAGATGCACATAAAAAGGAAGCACTGGAGACAAAGTCGAACCGGTGTACTTGGTACTATTTTTCGATGCAAAACGTACGTGGCAATGGCTGCCACCAAATAAATTGGAAAGATTGGGCGTGAATGATCAGCGTGACAAGAGTAAGTGAAGCGGAAAGCAAAGCAAAGCCGTTCGAAAGGCCTACGAAGATGCATTGCACTACAACAGCCAAGTGACAGATCTGAATGGTCAAGGACCCGCAGAAATTATGTAATCAGCCATTGAAATTTTATTTCGTTGGCATTTCAATTTATTTTGTATCATTTTAGACGTTAAATTTTCACCAGTTTTCTTATTCTTTGCACTTTGAAAACACTAAAAAAATTTCCGCCACGTTTAATTATTCGAAGTTAGTTACTACAATTTTTTGGCTAGGAATAAAAACGGTATAGTTTTTTATTAAAAGAATAAAAACAAATAAAACTTTTGAGTCGACTAAAACACGTTGTTTCATTCTTCGTATTCTTTATTCAATGCTCTGCCAATAAGCATTCGACGGATCTCCGACGTTCCCGCACCGATTTCATACAGTTTCGCATCTCGCATAATACGACCAGCAGGATATTCGTTGATGTATCCGTTGCCACCGAGTATTTGAATAGCATCTAATCCTAGTCTCGTAGCTGCTTCAGCACAGTACAATATCACACCAGCACAGTCTTTTGGATTCGCTTTGCCTCTGTCACATGATCGAGCTACACCGTATAGATAAGATCGACATGCATTCAACTGGAAATCAATGAACGAACAGAATGAAAAGTCTCGTTCTAATAATTATGCATAAATCAAAAAAAAAAACTAAAATAAAATGTACCGTTGTGTACATGTCCGCTAATTTGCCTTGTATCAACTGTTGCTCGCCGATCGGTTTGCCGAATTGTTTGCGTTGATGCGCATAGTCCAATGATATATCACAAGCACTTTGCATAAGTCCCACTGGGCCAGCTGCAAGTACTAGCCTTTCATAATCCAAACCGCTCATTAAAACATACACCCCTTTGTTCACTTCGCCAAGGACATTTTTGCTTGGAACTTTACAATTATCGAAGATCAATTCAGACGTATTGCTGCCTCTCATTCCTAGCTTATCAAATTTTGGCCCATTAGTAAAACCTTCGAAACCCCGTTCGATAATAAACGCAGTGATTCCATGTTGCGATTTTGCATTTGGATCGGTTCGTGCATAAACGACCAATGTATCTGCATCGGGCCCGTTTGTAATCCAACATTTCGAGCCGTTGAACACATAGTAATCTCCTTTTTTCTCAGCACGCAATTTCATTGATACCACATCACTGCCCGAACCTATACGATTGAAGCGTTATCAATGACTTAGTTCAAAGTTCAAAATCTTATTGAACATTTCATTTACAAAAAGTATTTCCTTACCGGCTTCTGACATTGCCAGTGCACCAATGTGTTCTCCACTGCACAGCTGCATTTGAATAGAAGCGATATTTTTGAATGTCAGCCACAATTTAATGTGTGTTTATAATTTTGAACACTCACTTTGGGCAAATATTTACTTTTTTGTTCTTCGGTGCCATTCCGATTGATTTGATTAACGCACAAATTTGAGTGAGCACCATACGACAACGCGATACTACCGCATGCTCTGTAGAAAGAGAAAAAGTGATGAGTTTTAAAATACTATAAATAGCTGTATTTTAGGAGGAAAATAAAAATGTCATCTACCGAGAAAGTTCCTCCATAATAATGACATGATCCAAGTATTGAGCGTCAGTTCCACCATATTTTGAGCTGGCAGTAATTCCAAGCGCTCCTAAATCACCCAATTTCCGCCAAAACGCACGTAAATCTCTAAATTTCAAACAGATCGTAATTGAATTTTGCGACAAAAACAGATATTCCATATCACAACAAAACAAAGCAAAGAAAAAAGTTGACGTCAATCAAATGTTATTTACTTGAATTCATTTTTCTGGTCAATGGATTGTGCGTGCGGCGCCAGTTCTTTTTGCGCAAAATTAAAAATAGTTTCACGGAGCTGCAAAATAAGTTCTGTTTTTCTTGTAAACTGACAATCAACATAACGAATATCTGTTTACTTACACTGATTTGATCGTCATTCAATCCGAATATCGTCTCATCAATCGGATAATGGGAAAGAAAGCGTTGCTGTACAATTGATTTGCTATAATGTTTTGTAAATAATCGTCCACTTAAAGTGCGCAACATGTTTTCGACGACAACAGAAAAAAGAATTCACTACAAGTTACACCGTTTTCTAGAGCAAATATTTGATCGGATTTATTCGTAAACAACGTATTGCGAAATTTCGAAGATATATTGAGAAAAGTGCCGTGTTGTTATCACTACCGTTGTTCGTACAACGACGACTAGACGCTGAGTGTGTGCGAAATCATCAGAACAGATTAAGCTTGCCGCACGATTGACGTACACACATACTTAACCGAGCTGGCGTGAATACGAGTGGAAAATATGGAATGATCGTTCAGCGCGCACGGGCCTCTGACTGTGTATGTATGTGAGTGTGTTTGACGAGAGTGACATGAAATCAGTGTGTTCGAATACACGTATCAAAAATCACCAGCTGATTCAATACTGTAGTTTTTTTCTGGCTGTGCGATGCGTTGTACTGATGTAGGGTCATGCCTGTGTTTGTAGTTTGACCCATGAACAAATACAATGAATAGACCGGCCCGATTGTTGCTGCTACTGATGTTGCTGCAATATCAATAATTCAGACATGATAACAGTAGTACTGCTGAAGTGTCCCGATGAGCTCATCAAAATAACGATTGATCACTTCTTGAGTGTATTCAATGCTACGGCGATGTAAACTACGGCAATGTAGGCCCAATGAATAGCATTCAAAAACAGATGCGATGCGGCATAGTTTATTTTTCTAGATTTTTGGTTTCTGTATTGATCTGTTCATATCTTACAAATGAGAAATAGTTTTGTGTCAAAAGCAAATATTTCGACAAACATATGTAGACTTAAGTGAATACGAAAAGAAAAGAAAAAAACAAGAGGGAAAAAGAATGTTTACTTTTTAACATTGGAATTCATTGAAAATCAATGGTACATTAATATTATCATTATCATTAAATTTTAATCATATAAAAAGTGAATAATATCGTCGCATGAACATGAATTCGCTTCGTTTCGTGTCGTTTTGTGTGCGCTGCTTTGTATTTGTTTTTTTGTTTATTGTTGAATGTTGATTGCTTCAATTTTCTTTTCAATTCATTTGGTGCAGGATCATCGTTACGAGAGTGCTGTTCGCGTTGTATTCGGCAGCATCAAACACATTAATCCGCCCCCAGCTAGCAGAACGGCGACAATGAACGTTGGCGCTGGACAATACAAATCGAGTAATTGGGCGATTACAATGTTCCCTATAATACCTCCGAGCCGAGCACTGATCATACTAATCGCAACGCCAGTGGCCCTGTAACAGAAAGAAAAAAAAACAGAAGGGTTGTAAAAACATGAGTGTCAATATCGATAGCGAACGTGTTTCTGTAATCGATATCAGACGAATTTTGCAATTCTAATGGCCCATTTTCCTAGCATTGTTTGCATTACGAAATGTAAACAAATTGAAGTTGAATCGATACCACGAGACACAGTCGCTCCGTCATTCATTTCTGATAAATGCATATAAATTCTCAAAAGATTTTTCAATGAACGTCATTATCTTAACGATTTTGACTCGTGTTCTGGCTGAGCAAATAAATGCACTTGTCTCGCAGAAACATGCGCAAACATGAGATTAATAGTATTTTTTCCCCCATTTCAAAATCATAAAAAATAAACATGCCATTCCATTGACATATCTTATTGAATAGATAAAGCGAATGGTCAAAACTTTTTGATCACGTATATTGTTTTCGTTCAAGTCGTTTTATTATTGCATGCGACAAGTGGTAAAAACAACGTTGAGAAGTTGCTAGTGTGTAATCTTTTACGTTTCACCGAAAAAAATAGCTTCTGAACGGAACAATCAAAATGTAATCAAACATTTATGTTTACCTGAGGTGCGTTGGAAAGACTTCTGTGATTAAGCAGTCCAGCGATGCGTTGCCGCATGCAATTACTCCCGTGAAAAATGCTGATACAATGAAGTTCTGTTGCTTATTCATAACAAAATACATTCCAGCTGAGCAGACCGCTGCACTCATTGTACTGAATATCAGAAAGAATTTTCGGCCCAATTTATCCTAAAATAGACAAAAAAAAAATACCTATAAATATTCCAATTGTTGACACTCGATTGTTGAAATGAATGAAAATAACATACCATGAATAAAATACTGATTAGGTTTGCTGGGAGTGCAGCCGATAGGGAAATAAGTGACTCCATGAAAACGGTACTCGATATGATCGATGAACAAACTCCGAGCTGTGCATGTGAGCCTGATTCAACCACATATTTCGTCACTTGACACACTGTGGCCGATTGTCCTGGATGTGCTCTCGAGAATTCATCGAAGCGATTAAAAAGTTCTGGAAACCACATCATCAAACCATAATACCCGATATGGAAGGTGAAATTGATCAAAATCGAGATAATCGTAAACTTCAAAATTGGCGGCACAAACAGCTCTCGGCTATTGTCAGCAATATTTGAAAACATCATCGAATATTTTCCCTTCTTTTTTATGGCTTCGATATCGCAGAGAGCACCATTTGCATCGTAGTCGCTAGATCGTTTAATGTCGTTGCCACCATTGCTGGTGTTCACAATGACTGGCATTAGGAATTTCTCATCGATCATCAGCTCCTTAACGGGATAGTAGTCTTTGGTTTGTCCTGTATTTGTGACGAAAATACCTCGTAATATGTTCAACGCCTTATCGCGACGACCCTGCATTATCAAAAATTTCGGACTCTGGAGGTAGATAGAGAAAAGAAAACGGTCAGCATTTATGCAAATTGAAATGGAAAAACCACACAGACTGCAACACAAGGAAATTATTACCTCAGGAAGATAGAATAGCAGCGCCGTCACAATAAACGATGGTAATGCACACAGCAGCAAAAATATTCGCCATGAATTGTATTTGAAGTATGGCGTATCGAAACCAATGCCTGTAATCAGATCAAAACAAAACAATTACAATTGAAAGTTTATCTTCATTGTTTATAACACACTTTTGAAATGCGTTCGGACAAAAATAGATAAATATTTCAAGGAGACAAACAAACGACAACAATATGGAACTATAGAAAACAAAACGCACCAGAAGGAATAATAATCCAAGCCAAACCAGCGACGAAAAGATTTCCAATTGTCCAAAAGGCGGCCATGAAACTGAGCATGGATCCCCGTCTTGATTTCGGCTGAAATTCCGCGAAATACGACCAAATCACTGGGCCACTCCCTCCCAACCTATTGTAAAATAAATGCATGTTATTATAACATTGCATCGTGCACATTTGAAATGATTTTGGGGCAAAATTGCAAGTGTGAAACTTACGCGACACCATTTAGAAATCGAAAGACCATAAACACTAGATATGTTTGGCAAAAGCTGGACGCAACAATGCAAAGGGCGTTCATGAAGGAGATGACAATTAACACTTTTCGTCTACCAAGAGTATCTGCGATGCTGCCCCAGACATAGGCACCGACCATCATGCCTATGAAAATGATCGAATTGAGCCATCCTTTGGTCTGTGTGTCTAGATCTAAGTCGCACTGCGCCGACGGCAAAATGAACGACATAGAAATCACATCCATTTCTTCGCTCGTGCTGACCAGCCCACAAATCGCAAGCAAATAGTAATGGAATTTTCCATATCCCGTCAACTCAATGGCTGTTTCGAAATCGGCTCTGGCTACATTGGCATTGGCTATCGGTGTGATTGATGAGATATTTGCAAATTTCTCACAATTCTCACTGCAGCTGCCGTTGCCATTTATTTTGGAAACGGCATACTTTTTTGCATCGTCTCCATCGTCGAATGAGAGTCGAGGTGATGTGTTTTTGTACACGGATGCGTAGTGCTTTTGGTCGGTTGTATTGCCATCAATTGAATCTTCCGGCAACTGTCTGTAGTGCTGTTCATAGTAGTTAAATTGACCGGGAATTTGACTATTCGCTGGCGGTTGATTGTTGAGATTTAAGTGCAGATTTCCAGGTTTTGTGTCGACCGACGCAGCGGCCGTCTTTTTTGCACTATTCTGCGACGAATTGCTTACATTTGAATCCTTCAGATTACTCTCACCGTCACTGTCTACCATCCTATGTGAATTTGTTAGCCGTTAATCCTAGCCGCGCACACGGAACACACGAAAACAACACCCGATCGATGGCTTGCTGTCGATGACTGACGTCTCTCTGTTGACGCAATCCACTAAATGCTACAAAAATAAACGAAATGGAAAAAAATGATAGATAGCTGAGGATATATGCTGAGCATAGAAACTCAGTAAGCTGAGATTGGGACATTTTGACTTTATGACGTGTAGTCCATATAAATGCATGATGAAATGCACGAAATTGTATGCGTGCCATCATAAATTTGCTGCTTGGATTTTATGGCCGAGTAAATTACAAACGGCACAATTACAAAATGATCGTGATAATACTTGTTTTTTTTTTACAATGTTATTTGTTCATTAATTAATATAGCAAGACAAGGAATCTTTTAATTCAAGATCTCGGTAGATTAATATCGGAGAAATGCACGTCAATCGAAAGAATTTATTGCAATTTGTCGAAATGAATGGAGATGATTTATTGATTCAAGTAATTGCTGTGTTGATGGCCTTCGTGGAAAAGAATGGATTAACCGAAAGTGAGCTCAAAATGATTCACATTACTTTCATTTTTATCACTTTCGCCATTTAACAACAGCTATCCCATGATAACTGCTAAACGATCAAAATCGATTAGTGTCTCGTACAGATATTTCATGCTAATTTAACATTATCGACTGGCATTTTTTCCACTCGATGGAGAGTCATTGTCACTATTATCAGATTTATACCGAGAAAAAAAATGGGCACTTGTCTTATATCTCTAATTGGCATAAATTAGGCATGAAATTATCTGCGATGTTCAAACACGCACAGTCAGTTGCACAGGCCATGCATTTAACACGGTTTATACTATGATCACATGGTTCAGTGGTACAGACAGTATTTGGTACGATAAAAACAAACAGAAGCAAAAACAAAACAATAAAAAGCTTGTTCGCTAAACTTATCACGAAATTATTCAATAAAATTACATTTCACATTTCGCACAGATCATGAAATGCTTATGATTAAGCGAAACACAGCGGACGATCAACGCGGTGGCTGGAACGAGATCGCGGCTGAATAAACTGTGTGAATCAAGTCCTTGATCATAGATAAAAGTCGATGTTTTCCTGGAGAAACATTGCCTCATTAGCATTCAGAATATGCTGTTTTTCCAAAACGCACACACACACAAACACACAGCTCGAATACCCGAACATAAAATGGGGAAAATTGCATTTTATTTTCATTGAATCGTTGCAATGACCTTTCAAAAAGTGTTCCCATAAATTTAATGCAATCAATTGTGTTTTGTTTTATTCTGTTTTTTTTTTTGCTGCAACTCTCAAAGACAAATCGTACTGCTGGGTTCTTCCTGAAACATACTTTTTCTATAACGAATATTTTGTAAATATTTTCCGCGATCAACACGACGAAAAAAAAGCATTATAAAATTGGTAAATGACAAAATTGGTCTAATTGAAGTATTCAGAGCAGGTCAGTAGATGCTTTGATTCAATAAAAGCTGATTTCGAGCTCATTCGTTAAGAAGATTTTGGAAGTATAAATTTGATTTTGGTGTAGGGTCCAACAAGAAGAAAAGACATCAACAACAAATGACTGACAAAATATTTTAGACTACTTATTTTTTTGAATGACTTCGAAACGTTTTTCGCGTATCAAGTTTGATTTTATTATTTATTAACAGGACGTTTATTCAATTAGCTTCGGGTAGATTTATTTTGGTGCGACAACAAAACAGGAAAAACAAATTGTCGATCGAGATTTTTAGCCTTCAATGAGAAAAAAAAATGATAATAATATCTTGTTGCTTGTTAATCGCAATCAGTCGCCGTAGTGAAATAGGAAAATTCATAAGATGCTTTTGATTCAAACCTGCCTACCGAACGGCACAATGAGTGGAATGTAAAACTTAGAGGGAGGGAGAGAGAGATAAATGCGGCCCATTCAATTTGTCTGGTATTAATTAATTTGGTATTGTTCCGCTATTATTTTGCTGTTTACATAATGGAGTGAGTGAGAGATAGAGAGAAATAGAAAAAAAAATCGCCGATTCTATTTCGGCTTTTCAGTTTTGCAAAATCTATTGGAATAAAATTGATATTTTCAAGGCATTTAAGTCTAGTTCAAATTTGCACTCTCCCATAAATCACTTTCAATTGTGCACTACAGTAGTTCAATTGCAACTCCATAGAATGTACACCACAACTGTTCCATACATAAATATCAATTTATGGGAAACTATGAGCAAATAAATTAACGACAATTAGCTACTACAACCGAATTAATAGCCCACCGCGCAGAATGACACTACTATCGAACGAAAGCCTTTCAACATTCAGCTAGCGCAAAGCGAGTGGCGTTGATTTCGTAAACAACGACTGCTTGCTGCAATTTCACTCATATTTGCAACTAATAAAAACGGAATAAATCGTGCGAGATAAGCGCGACACGTTTTTTATTACAAATAAATGTCTGTCAAGATTAGTGGTTGGCTTCGTGATGTGGACCGCAAGCTATGTGAAGTGAAATTAAATTTAATCCCGTAATTTAGATTAGGCCCCGGTCGATTGGCACATCAGTGAATCCCGATCGTTTAGGTACAGAGACAGAAAAGAAACACCTGAAACCTTGCATTTTTCGACGAAATCCCAATCTGCTAGTAACAATGATACCAGACTGTTTATTCAATTAAGAAATTACATGCTAATTGCACGTTATCTAGCCACAAAATTGTAAACTACGGCACGCGAAAATTGCCGCTTTTTTATTGAACGTAATAGATAATTATAACGATAATTATTATTATTTTCGAAATCTCTGCACCATTTGTGTGTATCACAAAAGATGTGATCTTAATCTTATTCCAAGTAACAACTGGAAATGAGATGCTATTAACGTGAGGCGATAGAATGACAACAGTTCGGCACGTATGCACTAAGGTTGGCGATATGTTTTAGGCTAAATATTCGAACTGGTTTCAAAGGTCACGGTGATCGTGCATTTTGACAGGGTAGATGAGTTCAAAAACGAGATAAGCGGCTCGTTAGGTAAAAAGAATTTAACCGTTCTCCATTTGACTGTCACCAGAGCATTTAGCATTTTTTTACATGAATAATTTCAAAGTTTGAATTTCAAACGGTTGCATTCAAATGAAGAGAGAGACAAAAGATTCGCCAATTATCATAAAAATTGAGTTTGAAATAGTCAATAAACCGCACAAACTGCAATAGAATGAAATTATTACCTCATCTAAATGTGTTTAACGAAATAATCAAATAATACGATTTAAGCAGGTTTCATTTGTATTAACAAACAAAGCAGCAGCAGCAGCCGCAACAACAACGATACCATAATGAAAATGCACATTGGGCCTACAATCTGATAAATGCCATATTTGCTGATTTATGAAACTCGCAAAAAGATTTAAAGTAAAACAAATAGACGTAGCGAAATAGAGAGATGAGGATCTCGGGATGCATCATGCGAATTGATCCGAAATGGGCGGAGAGCGAAAGATTGAATAAAAAAGCAACACGCTTGAATATTGTTAATTGTTTCTAGAAGACGATTGTTTCCCGCGCAATCGACCTAGCATCATTGAACGTGTGATTTGTTGCTCCTAACAGATTGTACAGTGCTTCATTTTGTAAACGATGGAAAGGTCTTTTGCTGAAAAATGCATAAAACTGATTAACATTTTAATTCAAACAATGTTTCAATTTTTTTTCTCTTGCTCTTTCCGTTACAAAACTTTTGTACTGTTGTTTTTTTTCGTGGCTTTTTTGCTCAAATTTCGAATGCAATAAGCTCAATCTCACTGATTAGATTAGTTTGTTGTTGTTTTTATTCTCTTGTTTTCGCCACGCAATACACGAAAGACAGACACAATTAAATTTTGGAACCGGAATTTTGTTTGCGATAGTTTTCATTCTGTTTATGATGAATACATTATGAGTTAGGTCTCGCCACAGTCATTAACCTATTTCTGATTTGTCTCTATTTTGTAAGATTCGCCAAAGAGATGCGTAGAACACGTTTGTCTAGCTCATCAAATTAACCAGAATTGATATAATCCCAATTGATAAGATTTTATCGCTGAAATTTCTGGCAAACAGAAAAAAATATGATTTGATGAACCCCCAGACACATGCCAAAAAAACGAAGTCTTCAATATTTTAGCTATCTTTATGGAGCTATAAATAATTATTTACAGTTGAAAATGAGAAAAAAGTGGTAATCAGTGATAGTCTTGAGTATTGGGTTCGTCGCGCCAAATTTTGATTCTTACGGACATTATTATCGGTACTCTTTCTCCCTCTCTCTCTCTCTGTGTGTGTGTATCCCTCAAATAAATCATTCACATAATTATCTCGCCAAAGATTCGATTCTGATCACAATCACTTAAACTAGAACATTTTGCTAATGTAATAAAAAGCGAACGAAAAAACAACGCGCAAAATTTCCATAGAAAATTTGTACCATTTAGAAACACCAATGCACACTTACATTTCACTCAATTGTGGATCTTTCTCGATTTCGAAATCACATTCAATAAAAACCAAATCCAAAGTGAGCCTAGTTGCAGTCAGATCCAACAACACATGAAAACCGATTTATGATGTGAAGAAAATGCTTCTTTGTCTATCGTATTGACGATGCGTTTTGTTTTTGGTTCTATTTTGTCGTTATTGCTAACATTATTTTAGAACAAATCACGATTCAACCTCAAACAGTAAATCACCACTAAAGCGAAAATACTGTGACAAAAATGCTATGTTGTTTTGTGCTATATTGATAATACACTAATTTAACGTTTCCATACAGTAAATCACAAAAAGATTCTTTTCTTTTTATTTCTTTTATTCGTAGAAATTTCAACTGTTGAACTTCGAACAACGGTTACTTGAAAACGGCGTTATCGTGATATTTCAATTATCACCGGCGATGAAGAAAGCTTTATAAACGTGTAAAATCGTATAATCTAACCGATTAAAATGCACACATCAAATGAATTTAAAAAAAAAAAACACAAAAAACTGAAGCACAATTTTAGCTAACAAAATAGACTTGAAACACAAAAAATTTCCAAAACCACTTTAAAAAAAAAAAATTTATGGTTGCAACAGAACAAACTAAAAAACAAAAGACAAAAGATTGATGAATTCGATTGATTGAATTAGAGTATGGGCACTACCTATCCAGTGGCCGTTTGTTTCGTTACTGACCGAATCGAGTGTGGTAACGGTGTCTGGTTCCCTCAAAAGCAACAGTGAATTCGGTGCACGTGTGTGTATATTCTATTTTCTTGCGGAAATTTCGCTCCTTTATACACTCTGTGATAGCTATTGACTGTTGGATGCAAGTGCGTCCGACTGACTGTATGCTTCTGTGTGTAGTGTGACAGTGTCCATTCCGACAACTGTCTAAATGTACAACTTGAAGTGTATGTGTGTGTGTGTGTCTGTACGTATATTGCTACCGATAACGATAAACTTAAAACCTAACGCGCAGATCATGAAAATCCATTGTATTCGCGAAATATACGATAACATCGAACGTTACCGACTCTACTTTTCATTCACAATCAATACACACACTAAATCTGAAGCTTGATTCATGTGAAATTAGCACTGAATAGTTTTGAAAAAAAAAGTGAAAAAAGACACAAACACACATACATGATCACACACGGTGAACTAAGAATCATCATTATCGCGATCAGCGGCATAAATGAATAAAATATTTTAGCAATTTAGGCATTTGCATAGTTGATTTGTGTGCGCACTCTCCATTCCGATACACTGACCGACAAATGAATGGTGAAAGAGCCCGAACAATTATATGCTCATCGAAATGATGAAAAGAGAGGAGTGTTTGAGTTCATAAAAAATTGCGTATTTTTATAAAATTATGTAAACAGTTTTTGGGATGCGGTTTTTGTTAAAGAAAGAAACACACGAGCTCATGTGATCGGATAACATATCAAATTCAGCGTTTTTGCTATTTCTCAATAAGTTTCGAGTACCGTTGAAAAGTGTCTTGTTTTTTCCCCGAAATTTATGCTAATCCCTTTGTATGGCATGCCAATGAGAGAGCCAAAATGGACAAGGTCTCAACCGCTTTCTACACTTATCAATTTTATACAACTCTTCTCACATTGCTCTTTTTTATCTCTTGGGCTATTGAACGGTTATCGCCATTTTACTGTTCACAACGATATGCTAAAGAATAGTAAATCAATACACTCGAACCAGCCAGAAGATATATGAATGGTAGTAACGATCGATGAAGAGCCCTAATTGTATGTTTTGATCAGTTCATACGTGTGTTTTTCTGTAGCTACACACCATTTCTAAATATTTGCCATTTATCGTAACTGAGTCGACACCATTCAATACGATCGAAACCGTGTGATATTGTGTATGCGCTGATAGGTGAACGTTCTAGTTAGTCCATTTGATACACGCCGATGTATTGTATTGAACCCAGAGAAATTCGAATAAATATATATATATATATATATATATATATATAGAATACGTGCAGAAATTTGGTCAAATTTATTTTGTCGAACACAGTGGATTAATCAATTAGCTGCCACTTTGCTTCGTTCAGAAGATTGACGTCATTGGTAGGTAAATGCTTGTGCGCATACACATTGAAAATTAAGCCACACATCCGGAAAGAGACGAATCTTAAGTTTTTTTTTCTTCTTTTTTAAAAAATTCTACAGATTGGATCACGCAAACAAAGCAAAGGAAGCTTCGTTCAACTAAAGTGAAAAGGAAAAGAGGAATGGAGTGCGGTTGCGGCTAATAGTGTCATCACTTGAATTAAATTCACATCGGTGTGTCCATGTGAAGCTTAAATTTATTGTTGATTTGATTAATTCTCCACTCATTCAATTGTCATTAGAAAATCGCAAGCATTTTATGAACCCTCATTCTCCTTGCTTCAAAAACTCACCGACCGCACATCTATCGCTAGTCGTTCTGGCCAAATGTACGAAATCTTTTGTGCTATTATCTATACGATTTCTGTTTCGCTTCTTCCATTTCACATTTTTCTTATGCTGTCTACTATATTGAATGGCAACGCAATGAATTAGCTAATAAAATTTGAATTGTACAATTGTACTCGATCCGATTTATACAACGTTTCATTCAATGGGCCGAGATGCATCATCAACACCATAGCATTGACGTGGACATGGCACATTTTTCCAAATCAAATACGCAGCCACTTTCGGGTACTACAATTTTGCAAAATGCGACGAGAGAAAGAGAGAGAGAGAGAGATCATGACAACAGTCACAATCTTCACGACACCGTAACAAAAAGAAACCGTTCAACAATGCCTCAATCGTGTTGATTGCCATCCCAGTCGACTGTTCCTCCATATATTTTCTTTTTATTGTGATTTTGTTCGGCTTTTATCATTTATTTACACGACCACGACAAGTGTTTGTTTATTTCTTATTTGATTAAAACATTTATTGCCACTGTCAAATCATCGCCCTCTGACTAAATTGAATCAAATTTATGATTTACGCCCATATATACTCATCTCTACAGGATTTATTAACTGTTAACGCCACGTGAAACACTCAGCTTTACAGGTTTTTTTTTCTTCTCTTCTGTGACTGAAAAGAATCAATGAAATGACCCGCAGCCGAAATCCTGAACGTTTCCAAGCATTTAAAATAAACTCCGAAAATTACTCAATTGATGGATAAATTAGACACTTTGTTTAGGATTTATTTCAGGCCATTTATTAATTTGGACCGCTTGGAACAGGATAAACTTGAACTGGCTTATCGATAAAGTCGTATGAAATTTCAATAAGTATTTACTTTTACTGCAGGCACGTTTTGTAAAGGTTCCATGAACTCTGTGAAAATTGTACGATCACTTAAACATTTCATATATGACGTTGCTGTGGCGAAATCGAAAAAAAATATCAAAAACATTTTTTGTCTCGTGATTATTGAATTAAATCAGGTGCATGACTAAAACAATTTCTTGTGCGTCGCATTCATTTACCGATTCTATTTTTGTTTTTTATTCCAGAATTCCCGATATTTTACAAAAATAACCCAACGAATTGTGAATTTGTCAAAACGTAAATTATCTTAATTATTTAATCGAAATATCTCATTCTAATTGTTGGACAATTCCGTTTCACATGTAAATGACGACGTTAGAGCCAAGAGTTGGAAATTATTTGTGCAGTTTCAAGTTGCCCAAACTGGATACACATATACTGTTGCGGAAAGAATAAATAAATGTCTATTTATAGTAGTCACTTATTTTCAAATTTCATTCATTACGACCGTTCATTCCAAAATTCAATTGGAGTTTAAGTCAATTTCGAGAGCGACCAAGTCATGTGTTGAAATTTTTGATTAGGCTGATGCTGTTTTTGCGAAGGCAAACATTCAGTGTTTCTTGAATCCTTCAAAATTATCGTCTAATTTAGCGCGAAAATTGGGTTGACGGTTATAATAATGTGACAACACTGACGACCAAAATTCACTTAAAACGTCGGCCGCACTACCAAATTTCGCTGATATCCAAATGAAGCTTATTTCGAGATGTATGTGCCAATAGCCAATTTGGAGCTTTTCGCTATGGTATGCATCAGAGTTGCGAAGTTTATCATTTCTATGGTAATTTTTGCGTGTTTCAATCTTTTGAAAAAAATGTTCAACTCGAATAAATGTGGCGGTATTTTTATTTGTTACAATAACAAATCCATTTTGCCTTATCATGGCAGTAAAATGTCAGCCAACGGCTTATTTGTTTTAGAACAATTAAATAATTACCAGAACAAAAATAACAGACAATAAATAAGCCTAAATTCACTGGATTCATAAATAACGATTGCGATAGTTGGACCCGAAAATTCGGCCAAAATTGCTCTAGCCTCGGTAATAATAGACGGTTTTGACTTATGTTCATGCTACTTGAACGAGATTCGTCGGAAGTAGTACGACCTTAATTATCGTCATTTTAGTTTAGTTAATTCGGTTGGACGACATTCTCATTGTATATTCGGATGCGTTACACAAAAGACTGTTTGACATAACAGTGAAAAATACGTGAATGCTACGTCGCACACAATCAATGCGTTCGGATGTTTATTAGCGCAAAAGAAAGAAATAAGTAGCACTGATTCCATAGCGTATGTCAGTTTAATTTATTTGCCTGAAAACTGAATATTTCTGGTTTTGAATAACGTATTGCTTTTGTGCACCCAATTGCCATGACGATGTCATCCATAAAATACGATACTTTTATGATCCCTTTGTAAAATATGAAACACAGTAGTGTTCTAGTATTTGTCCATTCTTATGATAATATTCATATGTAAGTTATGCCTGCAGTGATAAGCCGAAGGCACATTGTTCACATCTGCATAGTGTACGCCTTCTGTAAACAATGTATTTACTTTTCTTAGAACAATACACCTGCAACAATTAATAAAAGACGCGATTTAAGTCATTTGACTTCAAATAGTTTAATACGATATCAAGTTAAAGAGTATTTTACTCGTTAATAAATCATCGAAGGTAGTATGCACTTGACACAAAGTGCATAGGAGAGTACTGAATTACGAAAAACGGACACATAAACTAAAGCCAATTTACCGTTAGATAAGGGAGTATGTCATGCATTCAGTTTGAATAATGCCGCTCAAAAAAATAAATGTGAATGCCAAATCAATTCGGAATCGGAACGATATTTGTGATGATCGCAAATCGATATCTCAATCGGGCTGCCCAAATCCGATTTGAACGAGTATGTTATCTCATCGCTCGTGCTCATTTCATTTCAGAGGCGGTGTGTCAAAAGAATATCGAAAGCCAAACGAATGCAGAATTCAAGCAATTGTACAATGCGATGAATTGAAGCATAAAATGAATTTGGGTTTGTATTGTTTCTCTATTATTTTGCTTCGAGAGCCCATTCATCATATGTGAATTTGGAAGGTCTGTGCCACACGCAAATGTCAAACGCTTTATTCTATGCAACAATGGGTCATTTGTATGCGTTGAAATGTGAACTTTGTCCGAATAAATAAACTCACTTTGAATAGACGTGAATGTCCGCAGATAAAAGAGAGTTCCGTCAGAATAGACAATTGAGAATTCATTTCGGATGTTTGAAAAAAAGAAGAAGAAGAAGAATGAAGCAAGCAAATTCAAAATCGGATTAATTCGATAAAGACATTACGTGAGTCATTAGCTGGCACTAACTATGTATTCTCTACTACCAACGACGGCCGTTATCATTATATTCATATCTTGCATCGATTCAATTGGAGCACTTTTAAACGGAAAAAAATTCCACTTGATAAAGCGGTCACTTTAAGTTTCCAAACGATGGCAGCAATATCATTTTCATCATGCTCACATTTTGATGCACAATCAAGTCAAAGGAAGAAGGCGAAAAATCCCAAACATCATCAACAAATCCGATTGACGAACCTGTTTTCCGGGCATGGCATCGAATTATTAAATTGAAATTAAGGCTCTTTGTTTTGTAGCGTATAACTTTTTTTTTTATCATTCTCTCTTAATTTTGTGTTAGTGTTGTTTGATTCGAGTTTAGAAATTTTTGTATGCTAAAAATAAATGGCATTTTTCAAAAAGCAAATAAATAAACGCGTGTGTTGTAGACTTTCGTGATCATGTTGGCTAGCGAAAAAACAACGTTGTTTATTGCCAGAGCATTTGTGTGACATTACAGGATATGCCAATCAAATTTAAGCCACTAACAATAATTCGTGTGCTGTAGAAGTGGCTCGCAGTCACAGACATTCAAGCTCGGCTCCATAGTTTCGGCACCATTAAATGGACAATCTCATTTAATCAAATGTGCTGACTTTTTTTACTTAAGAAGAATCACTTCAATCATCGAACAGTTAGTTCAATGCAGAAACACCACCTCAGATACACACCTCAAGAGTCGTACGATCTCAAATGATTCGTTTTAATGCCTATTGATCAATTTCATATATCAGTTTCATGTTTCAAAGAGTTTGTATCTGATTTTGTTGCAATGCAAACGTGTAATAGCCCATTAATGAACACCTATTGGTTAAACTCAATTAATCAATGTTTGATGATCAGGCGTTGGTTATCGAGTGAGCGCTTCTTATCAATGCACAAAACACGTTCTTTGAAATCATTGAAGAGACTTGATAAAACAATAATTAAATGCCTACATAATTGAGCGATTCTTGTCGTTTACCTGAATTTTAACCCGAAAGCTGATATTCCACAAATGAGTAAAATTTCAACAGTTGTATTACGTTTTTCAGATCCAGATTATCAAAAAATGGGTATATTTTTATCAGCCGTAAATAACAACATTCAGCAAATCTTCACTTCTACACCTTTTTTTCTGCTTCGCTTCGTGCAAAATCACTGATCCAAATTACTACTCATTATGTGACTTTTGACCATTTATTAAACGCAACTTTGGTTTTTTTTCCAAACAATAACCTCACCAATCATCAATGTAATTCAAGTTTTTTTTTATTACAGTACAATGTGTTTGTAAAGTTATTTTAGTTTCGGTTTTTGAACTACACAAATTCCCATTTAAATTGAATGAGCACACAAACTTTTCGTTCCGATCGATATTTCGGCGCGAATAGGTGCGATTGCTGTAAACACACAAAGTCAACTGTTTGTGAGGAGAATTTATCGCGAGTCGAAATAATTGCACGCACACACACATTCACAACTGCAGCATGTGTCATTCCAGCTGATGTGAAAGCCCAGCCGTACAAATATATCTCTCACGATGTTTATTTATTTGTTTTGGACTCCTTTTTTTTTCGAACGAAGAGAAATTGAATTGAAATTATAATTTTTTATTTGTCTTCTCTGGTCTCGACACACGCAAGCGAATGATTGCAACCATTTCTGTAAGAAGAATTCTGGGAAATGATTAAAACAGCTAGACAACCATTTTCCAATTGAATTGTTGCATTCATTTGAATTGAGAATATCGACTATTGTGTTCGAATTTTGGTGTATTCAGCCGGCAACTTTTCACTTACGACACATAGCTCGATGGTCCATATATTCACTTACGACACATAGCTCGATGGTCCATATATATGTGTGTATCTAAACTGGTTATTTACTAACGTTGCATCGTTTTGAAGGTCATGTATAATTTAGAGATGAATTTCATCACAGAAAGCCGAATCGTGCGCAGTTTCCAATTGATGTGGAATCGACGTGTCTTAAAAGTAAAACCGAGAATGCTGGCCAAAGCAAACGTCAAGCAACGTGATGTTACCCTGATCTTGAACAACGAGTTGAATTTTGCATAGTTCATGAATCATCAAACATTATTTGTTTATATATTTTTTCGTTTGATCACATCATTTCTGTTGAAAAAAAAAATGTTATTTTTCATCTTGGCTAAATATGAGTAGTTCGTTAAATGGTTCAGTAAATAAACGATTATACGAATCTTTTTGTTCGATAATATGCAAGGAAATGGGTGGATAAATGGTGCTAAATAGATTTGCATGCAAATCAGAAGTTTCTCTGTCTGTTTTTTTATGGTCGGTTTTCCCCTCTTTGTGGTTGATTCATCAATTAATCGATCGGATTTATCTCTCTTTGTCATACTGATAATTGCGTAGATGCACGAAAAAAAAACGTGTCTGATGTAGTATACCCAAGTCATGTGATTTCACATCGAGGACTCGCAAGGTGTATGAATCACAATTATCTGCGTAAAAAACATCATTAAAAGTCAATGAATTACAAATTGCAAATTTCTTTATTCACTCTGTTCTTCTTTTTTTTTTTCATTTACTTTTTGAGTGTCTGTTCGATTTTTTATTTTAAGTTTGCCTATTGAAATTCCTCATATAATTATTTAGTTGCAACATTAAAAATATAATAAAAATAAGAGGACTTTATGTAAATTGTCAAAACATTGAACTCAATTCATAAATAGTAGCGATTTCTTGTGTTTTTTTTTCTGCACTTCAATCATTCTGTCTAAATTTAAATGGATGCCCTATCAGCTGAATTTTATTCCTCTCCCTTCGTTTCTCTGTCTGTGTTTGTAACCACTTTTAAATATTTGCTTTTATGTAAAGAAAAATATCTTCTTTTTTTCTATATGTTTTTTTTTTACAGATTTTGTTTTGAACAATATTTATTTTGGTAAATTTCGTCTTCTACTTCTTGAGAATATTTCATTCGCATTTTTTACTGATCCTTTGATCATATCAAGGGTTTCTGCTGCTTGCTTGTATATTAAATTTAATTACAAACAGTTTACTAAATTTAAAATCTTCCCAAAGAAAGAAAAACGTTGGAAATTCTAAAGAATGACAAACAAAATCGGGCTAAGGGAAATCTAATTTATTTACACTGCTTTGCTCACGTATAGATTTTCTGCTGTTGTTGTTTTTATTTTTATTTTGCAATCATTTATCTCAATTTACTTTTATTTACAATTTGTGATGAGAACTATTGTGAATTCTCTGGCAACAGTTTGTTGTTTTGTTCAATTGCTCTTTGTGTGTCAGAGACTTGGATGATGTTGGGTTTCGGGAATATATATATGTTGAAAAAATATTTCATTTTTAATTGCTTTTATCTATCGCTGACATTATCATTTTGAAAACTATCTCTATGAAATACATGTGAAAATTCATTTACACGGTTAGGTTAATACACAGTTTTTTTAGGGTTTCGACTAAAACGTTGCTTCTTCAAATTTTCATGATTCCTACTATAAAATGTACATTTTTTATGGGAAAATAACACTTTGTGTGTGCATATGATCAATATAAATCAAATGAATAAAGAAAGCCAAATGTCATCAAGAGAAAAAAGAGATGCAGGGAACAAGTTACAATTCACGGTTTCGATTTTCTTTGTCAATTTCTATTTCGATTTTCTTATTCGGTGTAGATCCACCAATCATTTTCGTATCCCTCGTGCACGTGATCCAACAACACCTTTCGGCGCTTCTCACAGTATCTGCAATAATAAAATACACGTCATTGAATGTCAGCCGTTCAACGTAAAGTAGATTTATTTTTAAATAAGATGTTTTTGATGAGGTAAAATATATGTTAACCATGCAAAGCGCTAACGTCACTCACCGATATTTATCTTGAACTTTTTGCTTAATGTCGGCCAAATTTTCCGATGTGATATCACCTAGTAGACAATAATTGAAACAAAGGAATTATTTTCGAAAAGCCATGCATGACGATATCAAAGCATCAACACTTACGTTCCAAATATTCTGACAATTTCTCCGTAGCGGTCTCCAAATCCTTTTGATTCGCTTCGAATATTAGCGATTGATTATTTTTGCGTAAGTAATACGCAAAAACATATGTACACATAAGAGTTTGCCGACACTGAACCAATATATCGACGGCACGCTTCAGAAATTGAACCTAAACAATTGATGAATGGATGATTAGTTTCGAATCCGGTTCAAATTCCAAAGCTCAAATGGAACTAAATACCTCGATCCAGGACATATTGTGCTGTTGCATCTCTTCCATCTTCTCTTTGATGCAGTTGTAAAGTTTATGCTCAAATTTCAGCGATTGCATGTGATTCATGTAACGGTTGTAGTAATGAAGATACCTAAACGACACCAAAAATTGTTCATTAGATTTCATGCAAAAATCCATTCCGAGTAAATGAAAGTACCTAGCCAACGACGATCGTAACTTTTCCTGAGCATCACGTGCAGCTTTCGCTTCGTCCTCATCGTATCGGTTGCAATTGTACCACGATGAGCCGTGTGGTTCCCATGATCCCAAGCACACCCAACAGAAATCATGTTTGCAATTTTGATTTTTGCACACCTGCAATTCAATGGAGATTCAATTATAAGGCTCGACGCAATTCAAATAAACTCATACTGGATTCGAATGAATGTGATTGAATTAATTACCATATGATTGCATCCACCATCTTTTTCAATTGTCACATTGCATTTGGGGCATTCCTTTGTGTTGGCCGCAATCCAATTCGATGTTTCCGAGTCGTCGTCACATTTCTTAATCCATTTCTTGAGGTATTTGCACAGAACGGGATCATGCCAGTTTTCGCCGCATTCGAAGCAAAATACGTGGCCACATTTACAAGCAACCGGTCGAGATTCAACATAGGCTACCTTCACTGCATACGAACAGTCGGCTGACGGGCACCAACGCAGCAAACGATTGCACTGAAAGTCAATTGAATAAATTAGTGTTGGGAATTATCATGTTTTGAATTATCAAATTGTGTGTTTGTTCGATTCCAAATGGATACCGACAGATGTGATGAACTCACCTCGACAAAACTGTTTGTAATCAAATGCTGATATTTGAGCCTAACACGTGAATCATTCACCAGTTTCATCACCGTAACGTCATCGACAATTATATCACAACCATGTGCTGCACATGATATCGATTGACCAAGACCTTCTTCCATGATTTTCGTCGTTAAATATTCACCCCAACAATGTGTGCAGAATTTGTGTCCACATTCCAATCCAGTCATCATCTAATTATTCATGGGCAAAACAATGGTTTGGCCGATTAGTTTGTTTGGTCGATGCCATTTGGTGTTCATCAAATACTTACGCTTGGAGGAAAATTTGAGAAGCAAATTTCACATTCTTCGGTACCGGAGCGTTTTAGTTTGGGCCGTGTCACCGCCACCGGTTTGTTGAAGGGATTTATAACATGTGCCTCACGGAAGAATGCCTCTTGATCGCCGTCATAGTATTTTTCCATGAGTTTTTCCTTGTCCCATTTAAAGTGATTTAAAAGGATGCGTAACGTTGTGGCCGGTATCTGTGCAAACCCCAAAAAAAAACAGAAGTCAAATCAAGTGTTGGCCATTAATTTTGATTCACATCTTCTTGGAAGATGTTTTTGCTCATCGAAACATGTCACAAGCATGCAAATTTGATCTTTGCCAACTTAATCATCAGTTTGCCACATAATTTGTAGGTAATAGATGTCAGAAGCCATCAGCGTGCTACTTTTCAATTACTTGATGTCGAAAGAGATATAGAGATTGATGTGAATGAGAAAAAAGGGAAACGGCACGAAGCAGCAAGTGGACGAATGAATGAGCGCGCGAGTAACCTCAAAATCGAAACCGAAACAGAAACAAAAACAATAACAACCTTGTACGAAACACGAATACGGGCTCACATCGCACCGAGCGAAGAAAAAAATGAAATGTTTAAGACAAGAGAGCCAGTGGAAAAATCAACTGGAAAAAGCATATGCTATGTGCTCTCAATGCTCCATGATGTTTTTTTATGTCGACCCAATTTCCGTGAAGTGTGTTTGTGCTCTCACACGCCGTTGTCTCGCTCGCGCCAACTCCGTTGTCATCGTCGTCGCAGTCGTCGACGATGATGACACAGCCACACGTTGTATTCATTGCGTTGTTTTGCGTGCGTCTGTATTGGCGTTCGCATCGTCGCGCATTCAATTGTACACAACATGGATTCATAGTCTATATACGAATCAAGTGCACAACATTAACACAAACACCCGATGTGAGGCACCCATGTTCACTTGCCATCAATTCACAAACAAATGATTTTTTTTTTACATGAGAATTTAGACGAAAAATAAAGACGGAGAGAGAGAGAGAGAGAGAGAGAAATATGGGCTAGAGCATTGAGCACAAGGAAGAATTTATGTCGATCGATATTTCAATGTTTTCATTGTTTTCGCTGCTGTCACTAGTTTTGTTGTAACAATTTCATAATTAAGCTTTAAATTATGTACACTTCTGCCATCAAACGACTCGCTGTCCGTTGCAATGCCAACGAGAGACACACGAACAAATTGGCTCGAAATAAAAAGGTCAAGAAATTATCGCCATTGGCAAGTGGAATCGAATTGACCTCAGTGACCGAAACCAAAAATCATCAACTCACACATCATTTTCACGGAATGGATAGCAAACGCTTTTCAAATGAATTTGAATGCATGGTATAGTTTCCAGGTCGTTTTGGTTGCTTACCTCAACAACAGTATTCACTTCCTTGATACAATCCACCATATGTTGAACAATTTCCTCAGTCGTCAGTCCCTCGTATGGATATTCGTCGTGCTCACTTTGTCGATCTTTGGAGCAGCTCATCTCAACTTCGTCAACTATTGGAAAATCATCTTCGCCACTTGACACATTGCCCGAATCAACGTTATCAAATGTATCGTCGTCCGAATCCATTGTATTGAATTCCCGTTTAGTAGTTCAATATTCGCCTCGTACGTTCGAAAAAAGTTTTTCTTTTCCGATTAACACTTCTCCTTGAGCCTACAATGTTGATTTCACACGAATTTCGTCCCTTTTTTTCAGGCGAGCGTCACACACTGTTTTAAATCTGTCCCATGTCCTAATGTAGATAAACACTATAGAAATAATTTTTAATTTTCCTTTCCGAAGCAGGAAGAACTGAACTAAATGATGTTCACGTTTGTCACGAATGAATTGCGACTATTATAAATATATTCTGACAATTACAACTGTCAAAAATGATGAGTATTTGTGCACCAAAAACCCACTAACTCGTGTTCTCGTTTCGCAGCAACGCCGTTTATTCGAATTTAATCAGAAAATTATTGGAGTGATTTATATACCAGTGTGGTTTTCGTAGTAACTACACTTATCAAATGCCGATTCGACACCAAGGAAATTTACACACAATATCGAAATGCCCACATTATGTCACTCACTGGTTGGTGTGCATGATTCACTTGACTTTTGCGTGAAAAACAATCCAAATTGAATCGTTCGTCGATCGTATTTATTTTTAGTCTGTTTTTTGATGTTTTTATTTTTCACGTTAATTTTAGTCGTCGAATTTTTTGTTTGTCCGTACTCAAAACTCCTGTCTATTGGTTGTTGACAAACGGCAATCTAAAGGAGCAAGATGCAAAATTAATGGAGAACATCAGAATGTTGAGATCAAAGTAATGAAATTCGAAAGTCTTTTCAGCCCATATCGGGTGCAAATACATAAATATATCTATCTAAAATCTCTTTTTTCCCTTCTTCTTCTTCTTCTTTTTCTTCACGTTTGTCGATCGCTAATTTCTCTCTGTGAGTGTGATTTGGTTTTGACGTTGCGAGAACTGAGTGTGAACTGAATATTACACACCATCAAACATTTAGACAAACACACAAGCCAACTGAACTGAACTGAAACGAATAGCCACAATATTAACATGTAGCAAAAGTATTTTTATTTTTTTCTTCGCGTTGCTTTGCATCGCTTTGACTCTAACATGTACTAGTTTCGCTGTTTTGTTCTTCTGTGCCGTTCAGCGAATATGTGTGTGAATTTGTTCGCTTCACATTTTTATTGTTGTTGACTTAAGGCCTGTTTATTTATTCCTATTTAGCGCACTTATGTATTCGATGTGTGTGCATGTGTGTTCCACACCAACATCCACACAGCACACTCACTGCAATTATCAAATCAATGTCAACGCTATAAATCGAAAATTTAATATTTCCATTCGGTATGCGATTGCAGCACGTTGTTAAGTCGACATTATGACTTGTGTGATGTTCTAATATACATGTATAAAATACTTCTAGTTTTTCATGTCGAGGTGTGTTGGGCTTTAGAGGCTATTTGTAAAAAGTCTGGTTTTGCATGCAACTTATCACATTGTATTCATTGTTTTTTGGTGTTGCGAAGAAGAAGAAGAAGAAAGGGAAAATGTGTGCAATAAAGTATTAACACTTTGTTTGAACATCTATTGTGTTTCGATTCGCCTTTGTCGCACATTTGACGTACGCTTTCAGTACGAAAAACTGCTAAAGATAGAACGTCGTCACTGACGAAATAGTCGAAATTGTTGTGCTGTTGTTTAAATACTGCATGCTCGATGTGAAACGTTTTATTTATCCTTTTTGCTCTTTTTGGTTGCTTGGTTGGTTGGACGGATGGAAAACAGACGGCGCAGACGCCGTAACAAAACCATCGAAATTTCAACTCGACAGACAACCAAAAACAAATAAACACAAATAAAATTTGGAGAAAAAAAAACTCATAAGCGTGAATTTTTTCTTGCTCGTTCTTGCTTTCTCTCTATTATTGTGAGCGTAAAATTTGGCTATAGATTTTTTTCTCTCGTCTCAATGTTTTGTCAGTATTTTCGATGTCAACATTTACGATAAATGGACTTTGTTTTTGTTTTTGTTTTCATGAACATTTCTTTATCATCAGCGCAGATTATAGATTTTCACATATTGCACCCTCAATATGGACGTTTTATTCATTGTTTAAAATAGAATTTTGGTCACTCGATTTTTTCAAAATGAATTCCATCGAAATGCCAAAGCAATCGAAACCAATTTACTAAACGATTTCTCAAACATTCACAGCAACTCTATTAAGTCCAATGCGTAGTTTGGAAATATGATGCAAACAATGAACTATTCACAACAAAGAAACACAACAAAATTCTTATAAACACTGAATTATTGATGTTTACTAAAAATTATTTGACTTCAAATTAAATCACTACTTAGAATTATGACGATACAAAGCTAGGTAATATGAATGAATTGATTGGTTTTTTTCGACAATTCACGCGATTATACTTCGATATTTTGTATGTTTTTCCTCACTCCATGTAGAAATGTGAGTTGTGGTGAATTGCTGCGTCCTATGTACACTTCGCTCTGAAACTTCGTTATTGTATTTGTCTTTTGCAATGATATCGCCATGACATTTTTGTTGGTGGTCGCACTGTGAAATACATAGATATATGCATACATACACAATTCGCCGCACTCGAATTGGGATATTTTGATTTCGCCGCTCTTTCCAAGCTTAGAATTCAAATGGTTTTTTTTCGTTATATTTTTACATCATCATTGCGTTTCCAACGAGATTTCAATGGTTTGCACAGATGAAGAAAAACACAGAGAAATGTTTATTGAATGGAATTTTATTCTATGATTACACAAAGAAATCAATTTGATGAATTATTATCATCGAGGAATATTCATGCCATGGTGGTTTTTCATACCATGATGTCAATAAAAGAGTTTATGACGAAATGAAAACAAAACTATTATTAACACAGTTCTACCTATGGTTTTTTTTGTCTGGCACAAAAGCCGGACTAGATCAGCGTTTTAGAGGGCCAAAATCTAAGAACAACTGCGTTCACAGAATATTGAAATTGGCTCAACTTTTTTAAATATCAAATTCAGCGTTTTACCTTTCCACCATTATTAAAATGCAAAGAGGTATTGAACAAATACCATTTTTCTCCCATTGGAGAAGGTTTTATAGCCTTGGTATGTACTAAGAAAATGTTTGGCGATCAATTTTAGGCGGAAATAGTAAAATATTATACCCAAAAATTACATCTGGTGGGAGCCATGGGGCAAAATGTCGAAAAATAGTCAATTTTTTTAGTTTTTCGACCAAAGCTCGAGAAGTATACATTTTTTCACTCACTGTGTTCGACAATATTGTAGCCAGAGTATAGCTGAGCAACACTTCTGGACACATTAACTCGAAAAATCCACATCCAGTCCACTTTATTGTCTCAAAATCACTTTTCGCTATTAAACGGTATTTTCGTGCATTTTCGAAGTCGTGAAACTTCTCAACTGCTTGAAATAGAGCAATAGTGTCTGAAGAAACTTTTTAGTACTCCTCGAGAGCTTTGCAGGCCAAGTGCTAAAAGTGCTAAAAATGTTCTAAAAATGTACTAAAAAGTACTAAATTGTTTTAAACACTTTCAATGGCTCCGGGCAACTCTGGGTGATGGAAAACTCTACCAACTCGTATTAAATACTCTGTGTTGGGCCGTAGTAAACATAAGTGACCGGCACTTATCTGGAAAATTGAAATTTGAATCGAAAAATGACCAGTGTAACCTATCAAATTGTAACATCTATAAACCATAACCTTTTCGATTCAAACTTCAATTTTTCAACTAATTACCGGTCACAAATGTTTACTACGTCCCAAAACAGAGTATTTAATACGAGTTTGTGAAGTTTCCCATCACCCAGAGTTGCCCGGAGCCATCCAAAGTGTTCAAAACAATTTAGTACTTTTTAGTGCATTTTTAGAACATTTTTAGCACTTTTAGCACTTGGCCTGCAAAGCTCTCGTGGAGTACTAAAAAGTTTCTTCAGACACTATTGCTCTATTTCAAGCAGTTGAGAAGTTTCACGACTTCGAAAATGCACGAAAATACCGTTTAATAGCTAAAAGTGATTTTGAGACAATAAAGTGGACTGGATGTGGATTTTTCGAGTTAATGTGTCCAGAAGTGTTGCTCAGCTATACTCTGGCTACAATATTGTCGAACACAGTGAGTGAAAAAATGTATACTTCTCGAGCTTTGGTCGAAAAACTAAAAAAATTGACTATTTTTCGACATTTTGCCCCATGGCTCCCACCAGATGTAATTTTTGGGTATAATATTTTACTTCTTCCGCCTAAAATTGATCGCCAAACATTTTCTTAGTACATACCAAGGCTATAAAACCTTCTCCAATGGGAGAAAAATGGTATTTGTTCAATACCTCTTTGCATTTTAATAATGGTGGAAAGGTAAAACGCTGAATTTGATATTTAAAAAAGCCAATTTCAATATTCTGTGAACGCAGTTGTTCTTAGATTTTGGCCCTCTAAAACGCTGATCTAGTCCGGCTTTTGTGCCAGACAAAAAAAACCATAGGTAGAACTGTGTAATTAGACTTCATTAGTTGTTGATGCACAGCGATTTTTGAAGTTATATGAAATAACTCATAAAACTAAAATGTGCATTTACGACCCGTCGGCTGCACTAAGGGCATAATTGGAATGACCACCAATGATTTTCGAAACCGTCGTAAATATGCTCCTGCATGATCTTTTGTCGCTGTTCACAATAACTAAATATGAATATCCGATTAGCAAAATATAATTTTCAATCGAATCAATCGCATTTACCCACCGCGATGTATTTACCTACCTAACGTTCAATTTCGCCAATGTCGTCTTGTGTGAGCGTTTGTTCGAAATAAAAAAAGTGAGATAGATCCTCGGTTGCCTGTTCCAGATCGAATTGATTCATTTCGAAAATGGTCTTCTGTTGGTTGAGTTCAACGAAGTACGCAAAAATGTATGAGAACATCAGTTGTTTACGACATTCCCACAAAATTTCAACAAAATTTGATTCAAATACCAGCATTTGATTATTGGTCATACTTTGATTGTGGATATTCCCATGACTTGCATATGGTGCATACAGCTTCCGATTGTGTTTACCAGTTTTAGTTCCATTTCTAACGACTTTTCGTGCAAACAATATTGCCCTGAAGTAGTGTTTCAACCTAGAAAAAATCACTCGGTAATAAAAAGGCAGTTCATGAACATAGATAATTCCAAATTACCGTTGATCGCTGTCTTGACCATATTCAGCTCCTTCTTCGCCTTTGTATTTCTTGCAACCTGCCTCATGAAGTTTCCAATTTCCAAAGCACGACCAACAAAATTCATGGTTGCACTTACTAAACGTCTGAGGAATCCACAAAGAAAGTGAGACATTGCAGATGAAATTGATTGCTTGAAAGAGTCTTACCATGTGATTGCAACCACCGTTCTTTTCGATACGCGCATTACATTTGGGGCATTCTTTAGTGTATCTTGCGAGATAGTCAATTGTTTTATTTTTTTTCACTTTTTTCTTCCAGATATTCATCAAACTGCACGGGACCGGATCGTGCGCATCGTGTAAGCAATCAAAACAAAAACTTTTACCACATTGGAATGTACAATTGGTCCGTAGGGCAACAGATGATTGGCTTTTACGGCCAAACTGCAGCCTGGCGATGGACACCAACGCACCGAACGATTGTGCTGGCATTTGAAATTGCAAAAAATTCATCAATATTCTGAACACGAGGTGAAATGCACCAGTGAATGCTTGAAGCCATTCTTACCTCAACAAAACTTTTGGCCATCGAATGCTGATATTTCTGTAGGGTTTTTTCGTCTGAAACCAATTGCATCACGGTGACGTCATCAACAACGATGCTGCACTTTGGTGCTGGACAGAAAATCGACTCGGCTTGACCATCGTCCGATATTTTGATCGTCAAATATTGACGCCAACAATCCGTACAGTATTCATACAAATTTTGTCATTGGTAGTGCCATCAAAGCACTAAATTATTTTCATTACATTAACACATTATTTTAGAATAAAACTTACTCCATCAAATTACGATCTAATTGTAACGTTTGGTTTGGCGCTTGTTTATTTTTGTGTAATTATTAAGTGCCATATGGCGTCGATAACATCACATGAGTTATTACATGTTTTATTTAGAAATAATCTTATGACAAATTTCGTTGTAAAATAAATGTCTTTGAAAATATAATCCTTGTATGGTATGGTAAATCATGGCTGTGTGACAGGAACTTTTGGCAATTAATTGTTCTTTTCCCACAAACGGTTCTCTTCGGCTTCACGGATGTGGTCCATAAGGACATTGCATCGTTGTTCACAGTATCTGTGGTATAAAACCAAAATCGATTTATAAAATAAAATGATTGAAAGATTTTGCGATACTATTGGAATACTCACTTAAAGCTGTCTTGAATCTGTCTTTTCAGTTCGATGACATTTTCGGCAGTCATTTCCCGCTCCAAATATCCAGAAAGGCGTTCAACGGCCGATTCCAAATCACTTTGATTGTCTTCGAACATTTCGACTTGATTGTTCTTCTTCAAAAAGTATGCAAACACAAATGTGTAGCACAATGTACGACGACTGACATGGAGTACTTTGACCTATATAAAACATGGAAGCGTCATAACAAACAGTGCTGATTTAAAAATGAAATTTAATGCAATTGCGTCTATTCTAAATTGATACCATGAAAGTCGGAAAGAGTTCACGAAAAAACAACATAAATGTCTTACCGCATCACGAAGAAATCGCACCTGAAATTTATTCAAAGAATCATTTATTTGACACCGTCATTTTTATAATGCTATTGTTTTTTTTTATCGCAATTTTACCTCATTGTTGGTCATGGAGAAGTGGTCTTTCATATCGTTTATTCTGGCCTCTAGATCTTTGTAAGCGATTCCTTCCAATCGTAATGATTCCAGTTGGTTGACATACCGATCGCGAAAATGATTGAATCGGGCCATTTCGCGATGACCAAACACTTTGCTTTCATCGAAACGATTGCAAGCGCGATGAGATCGCCATTCACCCATACAAACCCAACAAAATTCATGTTTGCAATTGCGGCACGTCTAAGAATCAGACCAAAAATTAGTATAGATGTGTGGCAAGAAATGATTGAAAATAGAACTACCATATGATTACATCCGCCATTCTTTTCGATAATTGCTTCACAGTTGGGACAAATTTTCGCATGTTCCGCAATCCACTGGAAAGTTTCGGAATCACCACTGTTTGAAGGCAAACAAAAGAAAGAATAAGAAAATAATTACATAAAATATTAAAATATGAATTCCAGACCTGTTCTTCCATTGTTTGAGAAGGATACATGTGACTGGTTCGTGCCAATATTCACGGCAATCAAAACAAAATTCGAGGCCACATTTGCAGGCGCATGGGCATTTAGCAGGGCGGCTCTTCTTTGCAGCATATGAACAACCAGGAAACGGACACCAGCTCATCGCTTGGTTGTTCTATTCGAATTGAAGCAAATTACTGATGTTTAGAGGTGATCAAGTGTTAATATGCGAAGCATTTCAAATACCTGTACAAAGTCGTTGGACATTGAACGCTGATATTTCATGATTACTTCAGGATCTTCAACCAGTTGCATGATGTGCTACGGATTGGATATATTATTGAATTGTCATACGAGTGAAATCTTTGTGTAAATAAAAGTATTGTACCTCGTCATCAACAAGTGACTTGCAAGACTGTTCAGGGCAAACGATTGATTCATTCAAACCATCATCTGCTATTTTCACCGTTAGGTAAGAATTCCAACACGTTGTGCAGTATTTATGACCGCATACGAGAGCGTATAGTTGCTACAAAACCGAAAATAAATGGATAAATTGCCATTAAATGCCCTTTATTCGTCGTACTTACTTCGGGTGAATCGGAATAGCAAATCTTGCAATCTTTGGAATCATCCACCGGATCGTTTGACGGGCTTTTAAATGGATTTTCAATTTGTGCCAGCCGGAAAAATGTGTCCGGGTCCGTTTCATAATATTCCCCGATTAGCCGTTGAAAGTCCCATTTGTAGTGCGTTAACAGCATTCGTGCTGAAATCGTGCTTGGCAGCTGAAGTACATGCATAAAATATATAAACAATTTTTCTGTATATTTATCGCTCTCTTTGTTGCTTATCTCATTCTTAAGTGGTGCCGTTTAGAATTCACTCGAAACACATAAAACATGGGAAACGTCATAACAAGCAATGTTTGTTAAACAATGAAACTTTTTTCAATTGCGTCTTTTCCAAATTGACACATCGAAATTGCGAGGAAAGTGATCACAAAAAATACCGTAAAAAAATACAGGATAAATTTCTCACCGCTAGAAATGACTGCACCTTCATAACCATGTCGAATACATCTTGTACTATATTCTCCATGGAGAGAATTTCGAATGGGGGATTTTCCTCTTTTTTCGTCTCTTTCTTTGGCAATTCAATGTCTGTCGGAAACAATGTGTTTTCCAAACTGAAGTCTTCTTCGTAACTCGAATCATCGCCCATTTTTGCGAATCCTTTTTGTTTAACGAAATTAATCTCGACAATTTATTGGGAAAAAAAAGACTGTTTTTGTTTTGTAAAATTACAAATCGTTTGACTTTCGATTTTTTGATGTCGAAATATGGTGAAATACCGTTCCAAAGCTAGTCTATCGTTTAATGGAATTCCAATCGGCACCGACACACGATTTGCTCTGGTTTGAAATTTGAAAAACACGAACCAATGACAGGCGATGCTATGCAAAAACAAAAAGAGCGCCTGTCAAATGGGATTGTTATGATTTCCACGAATAGTGTTGCCACCGCAATCCAGACCGCAATCACATCACATATGATCTTTGTGAGATAGGCACGTTCGGAATGCAACAAGTGTTTTAATCTGAAATTTCATTTTAAAGATTGATTTAAACTGGTTAAAAAAACTGAAATCTAATCCAACTTTCCTTTGTCAATAGCTGTAAAAGAGCAAATAAGATTTTTTGGAAAAGAAAACACAGAAAACTGTATGGAAAAAGATGCTGATTAATCCAGCAAATTGAGTGGACAAGAGTGATAAATTCAGAGATTAAAAAAAAATTAGTATTTCTTTCGCAATTCAATCGATGTCAAGTTTTTGGAGGAAAATCAACGAAAATTCAAAATAAAAATAAAAAAATAAACGGAATTCCAGGCACATTTCAAATGCGACGAATTGGCCAAATGGATCGATTGGAAGTTGAAGCGCCATCTACATTGTAAAACCTAAAAATCCCATTTCATCGCCGCAGTTTTCATCGTACGAGCATTATGTGTTGTCACCGAAAAAGAAAACTATTATTGGCTTTTGATTGGTTCAAATCGATTTGACAGACAGTGAACAATTAAGTGAATTTTTTATACTTTTTTTTAAAGAAAAATCTCGCCACAATTTTGTATTCCAATACATGCAGAATGAACGGTAGCATTAAAATCTAGTAGTAGTGATTCAATTGCGGTTAAAAAATCATCATTCAAAATCGATTTCTCGCAAGAACTTCGAAAAAGTGAGTTAGCTTGTTGGAGTTAGAAAAAGACAAGAAAAGTCAAGTGAACGCTATCGATTGAAACAGAATTTTTTTTTATTGGTAGCTTAGTTGTTTGAAAAGCGATTCAAAATTAATAGAAATAAAAGAGAGAGTGTCAAAAGATTTAGAATTTGTTGATTCGTTGTGTATATTCCATTTGATTTGGTGATTTTAGTTCGGCATTTTTGTATGTCGTATAAAATTTTCAATCAACATATTCTCGCAGCATCGTTAATGAAAAGTTAATGTAAATTGTTTTTTTTCCCATTTACGCCTAGAACAAAGTTCGAGCAACGTATCAAACATTTTTTTTTCGGTGATTAGAGAAGAAAGGAAGAGAAAAAAAACGTAAGAAGAACGAAAAGTTATAAAGCAAAGAACGTCGAAGACAAGGCAGTTGGAAAACGCACACTCCATTCAAGAGTATACAACAAATCCATATATACGTGTAGTTTACGCATACAGTGAAGCGCAGAGAGTCGTTCATTCGCCCAGTTGACGAATTGTTGAATTGTGTGCATGTTCATGCATACACACATCAGACGGGCAGGCAGGCAGGCAGGCACAACATATTTGAATTTCATCGTCATACGCATTCACATTCGTTGTATCCCGTTCGTATTGGAAAGGAGTGACTGTGTGTGTCACTGAGTGAGAGAAAGAAAAAATATAGTCATCATCGTGTTTCGAATTGAAAGTTCGTACATCGGACGGCCCAACCAATAGTGAGATTGTTCGTACACGCAGATACCACTGAACATACATCATAAATACAAACCAGTATCGACGACAAAGACACAATGGCAAAAACATATGATTATCTGTTCAAATTGCTGTTAATTGGTGATTCTGGCGTTGGGAAAACTTGCATCCTATTCCGTTTCTCAGAAGATGCGTTCAACACAACATTTATTTCGACCATAGGTGAGCACATCAAACTAGTAACAGCAGCAATAGGAAAAAAAAACCATGCTGATCGGTTCGCTTGTTTTCTGTGAATTTTGTGTTTGGCGAAGCGCGTACGTGTATGTGTTTACATTTCCAAAAGTTAATAAAACAAATAAATCACAAGTTAAATCTTCTGTTCAATTTTTCAACATGTGTTTCTCTAAACACAATGTTTCGAAATGGTTTTACGATCGTTTCAAATTGTCCAATACGATGAAAATCGGTTGATGTTTGGAATATTTTCGGTATGTGTAAATAGTTTAGTGAAAATTTTGTTGTTCGCTGTTGTTTTATTTCTATTTCATCGTTCGTGATATTGGGAAAATTTGTGGCTGTGCATTTGCATTTAGAATGGTTTATTTTCGTGGTCATATGACCCGATCTCGAGCCAAAATGTATTCAAATAATGTATATTTTTTTTCCTCTGATAAGTGTCTACTGTGATTTGGTTTTTTTGTTTATTTTTAAACCGATAGCCGCCTCGACGATGTCATTCATCACGGCCAATGGCAACGAGCGCACCAACGACAATTATGAGAAATGGCATTGTGCTCAACGCTCGTACACATATTGTGTATACAAAAGACAAATTAGTCGGTTCAACTACTGCCTTCCGCGAATTTCAAATAAATTAAAAAGCCTGTTTTTCGTTTGACAAATTTATTTCAATCGAATTCGCGTACACAGAGATTGCTTCAATCGAGACTAAATCAGGAAACAATGAGATCGCATTGTTCACATTTCATACTTGGGTTTTCTGTTTTTTTTCCACTTCTCCATTCTGAGTCAGAATCTGCGGGATGAGAGAATCATTCTGTTTGTCCAACGTACACACACACATATAAATACACGTCGTGCGCGCTTCGATCGTCACATTTTTGTGGTTTTCTTCATAAGCCACTTTGAAGTTATTTTTAATTTCAAATTGAAAATAAATCGAAGCCATTCAATCAACAGCATTCAAAATTCCATCGATGCAGCATCGTGAGCGCGCACCCGTTTCGAGTGCATTGAAAGTGATTCGGGCCTGAAGTGAAATACCATTTATCATGTTCAATGTGCGCCGCAAGAGCAACGCACTGCCTGCGTGCATATTTTATTTAATCACATCGATTAAATGCTGGCATCACTTAAGCATGCAAACGCTAATAGGCGCAATTAATTCCATTGAATATGGAATTCTGTTCTGTCTCAGCATTCAATTTACTACGTCGTTGTCATTGGAATCGAACGTCAACTCAATTTATTGACTGCAGTCGATTCACTTCAATGCAATCGCATTCAGTTGTTGGTTTAGTAGTTTTCCGCAGAACGGCGAAACGGGACGGAAACAGCATGCATAAGATGATGCAACATAGTTTAAAGCAAGCTATAAAAATAATCTTTATCCAGAACCGACGCCGGTCTTGAGCTATGAATCACGTTCTACGCTTGCGATGATTTCGTACTTAGACACATAAACAATATTTCTCCATTCACGCTAATGGATTATAACAAGTTTCATTTTTTGGATATCAACAGGAAGTCCTATTTCGCTGTTCGTGTGCGACATTTTTCATAAATATTCACAGCTCATATGTACAAAAGTCAAGCGATTATAAAATGAATTGGTGGCGTTTTGTCAACGAATGCACCATAAACTCGTTACAAATTCTCGCTCACAAAGTGCAATGAGTAACCGTAATCATTAAATAACGTTGAAAACTGAAACGAAAGACGCACTCGATACGCGATAACCGATTCGATAAGTCAAGGCTTGAATCACTGAATGAGGAACATATAAACACATACAAACACACGCAAAACACCATAGAAAAAACAAGCGACAAACGCGTTATATCGATTATGAATTATTAATAACAATAACCTAAATTTTGCCCCTCCTCTTCCCTATCTACATCGAATAGGTATTGATTTTAAAATTAGAACGATCGAATTAGACGGCAAAAAAATCAAGCTTCAAATATGGTAAGTGGCTTTAAATTCCGAGACATCATCGATTTTCATTCTTCATTCATATTTCAATATGTTCGTTTTGATTGTGTGTTTTAATTGTTTCGATTTCTCGTGTGTGCCTTTAAAGGGATACGGCCGGTCAAGAACGTTTCCGAACGATAACCACAGCTTATTATCGTGGCGCGATGGGTATCATGCTAGTATATGATATCACAGATGAAAAATCCTTCGAAAATATTAAGAACTGGATTAGGAATATTGAAGAGAATGCTTCGGCCGATGTGGAAAAAATGCTCTTAGGGAATAAATGTGAACTCAATGAAAAGCGACAGGTGAGCAACACACTCCTCATGCATTTTAATTGATAACCATCCGTCCCGAATGTTAATGTTGATTTATTCATTCGAATTTGCAGGTAACAAAAGAGCGTGGTGAAAAATTGGCTGTTGAATATGGCATCAAATTCGTAGAAACTTCGGCTAAAGCGAGTATCAACGTTGAAGAGGCCTTCTTCACGCTTGCCAGCGACATCAAAGCAAAAATGGAAAAACGAATGGTGAGCACATTCTTCCTTTTCTCTCTCTTTGTCTCTCTTGAATTCCATTCAGCTATTTCCATTCATTGACTATGTCAATTTTATCGTACAGGAAACGAACAATCCACCAAAAGGCGGCCATCAACTGCGTGCCTCAGAACCAAAAAGGAAAGCCGACAGTTGGTTATCACGATGCAGTCTACTTTGACCTGGTTACAATTATATTATGTGTGTATAAATGATTATTACCCAGAAAAGTGAAGTAAAAACAAGAAATCACAACACAAAATTTCATGAGAAAATCCATCAGAATTGTAATGATAAAAAGAAAAAAATTATCTTAAACAAATTGAAAAAGTGAAATGGAAACTGAGAATTATTATTTAATGGATATTTGTAAAACAGATTGAATAAAACACAAAAAAAAACTTATAACTAATATAGCGAATAGTTTTGGTGGTGAGACGTAGAGAAGTGCATATTAAAAATTGTCTGTAGTTCCATAAAAAGGAGTGTCCGAATTCCAAACTTAATTGCTCGTGGAAGGCTGGTCCCCTTTTTTTTGCAATTTCGTAAAGTCAATATGTTGTGATCCGTTGTTGCCCGCGCAGTCAATAGAAACATAAAATGATAAACTGCTCTGCTTTTCGCCATTGAAATTATGCATAATTTAAATGAGGATGTTGTAGAAAACGTTATAATCGAAATTATTAGCGCATCACATTGCATAGATTTTACCATAAAAATGCCAACAATTTGTAATATTTCTTTGCCGTAAATTTGACCAACCAACACATTTCTATAGTAAATTTGTATAAGAGTGAGAAGCAGCAAAGGCTAAAGCTAAAAGTCCAAGCAGACAAATATTTGGTGTGAATTTGTTTAAGACCATATACCTATCGAAATGGTAAATCATATATGTTCCGATTGTGATGATTTCCACTTTTCTGATCACCATGACACATTCGCTACATAGAATAACGAGCCAAAATCATTTTTGTTCGCCAAACGTTTAAACACATTTTCGAGAGAGGAAAAAGAAGATGATGCTGACAGTTTTCTTTTTTATTTTTCAATGTTTGTAATAGTACCAAGAACGTCAATGTTGCCCAGTGGTAGCCGATAAATATGTGGTTGTTGATAGCTGTAAGTCGGTAGATCAATAAGATCATCAAATAGAAACGATAAGAAGAAGAAGCACATTCGCAGCATTTGTTCCTAACTCTAAGTTTTCCAATGGGGTCATCATGTTCCGGCATTACTGAGTTCAAAACTCAAATTCATTTCGACAGATTACAAAATATACCAAACAACGAACTAAAACAACATATAAATAAATGCTCATCTTATTTTCTTACTCACATAACCACACATACACGGATATTTGTAGCTTAAACGAATAATCGAACCGATCAATCGATTTGATTTGATTTGATTTGATATATATGCATGTCAGTAAAGCCGTTTCAAATATGCATCGTGAATCAATCAGCTTTAAAATAACTGTATACTTCTGATTTCAATCCAGGTATTCATTTGACAGTGGTCATACAATGATATAGCTATTTTTATAGCCCATTTCCTCTCGCCCTCCCAAACTATCATAAAAATGCCTATCGTTCACACGATATTAAATACGAATTGTATGTATTGGACCGGAAACAAAATCTAACTTATCTTGAAAAAACAAAACTCTTTCTACTGTATTTCTACGTGTATGTAAATGATATAAACCAATAAAAATTGTTTATTACAATTGAGAAAACATTTTTACGGAACATGTATAGAATTCATTCAGGTTTGAAATTGAGCAATAGTTACGAGCAACACAGTGCTTTATCGAGAGAAAAAAAAGAAGAAATAAATCAATGAAAACAAATATGCAGACCGATAACAATTTGTAGCGCAAACAATTCTCACAGCAACAACAACAAAATCACAATGCATTTTTGTACAAGTGTATTTAATATTTTTTTAATTAAAATGGCAAAATGTCAATTACAAAAATGGGTGAATCTTTTTCTTTTTTTTGATTGTAGAGAATTTTTTTGCATTTCTGGGTATTCTTTTAGGTCCAAGCGACTCTTTTGCGACCAAATCGTGGTCTACCTGAAGAAACCGGGGAATCAATGCTATCGGAGATGCTCATCGTCTTCGAGAATAGATCGGGTAAGCAGATTTCACTGTGGGTATCTTCTCGGGCTGTGTTCGGATTGCTTAATACTGGTGTAATTGATTGTCGAATGTTTTCAGCACTTTTGATTCGTTGCTCATCGTCAGTGCTGTTGGCACCGAGCAGATTTTTTATGCGATCATTTGCACTGTCAATCGAACGACGAATACTATCACGAAGATCGCCAAGCTCACGTTGTCTGGTGATAATGTAGTCGATTTCATTGTTGATCTGATGAAGCTGATCGTCAACCATTTCCCGTAGAATTCTCTCCCGCTCTTGAGACTCTTTTAACCAAATCTCTTGTTGCCTCATCACATACACTTTTGCTTCCGACTCGTACATGGCTTCGATGTGTCGCTGCTTTTGCACCTCCAAATCGCATTCGATCTCAAATTTATCTCGTACTCGAGCAATTTGTTGATCATCTGTATGATAATAAGACGACAAACGTTCCAACACACCAATATCGTAGTATAAGTCCTTTAACACTGATTCGGACAAATTTTTCAATTGCAATTTTATGCGCCGTAAATTATGTGACACTTTAATTCGTTCGTGGCGCTGATTCACGTGCAAATTCAAATTTGCAAGTTCGGCCTTCAGTTGTTTTTCACACTCACGTAATTCAAATTCGTCTTTGCGCATTTTTTCAGTTTCAGCTTCGCGCAGCTTCAATTCGGCCAAATGTTGCTCTTGGAATTGCTTCAGCTGAACTACTTCTTCGTCACGTAAAACTTTTCTGGCACTTAAACGTTCATCGTCTTTTCGTAACTCTTCCAGCAGACGTAGTCGTTCGATTTCACGCTGTTGCTCAGTTTTCTCACGTTCCACTTGTTGAGCGATCTTTGAGAATAGAAGAAAAAAAAACGGAAAATATGAAAATTGAAATTTGGGATCTGGATAAGTATTATTTAAAGCCAAGTTTTAATAATTACCTGTTTATCAAGCCAATTCATTTTTGCCAATGCCTCATTGTTACTCCTCGAGCTGAGTAGAATGTTTTCTTCACGTGACCCAGGTCGCCATCGTTTGTACAGTTGTGATTCAAATTCAAGACGTTTCCGCTCTTCTTCCGTTCGCTTGAATGCCTCTTTGATTCCCCGCAGCGTTTCCGTTGATACACGAGACTTTGGTTTTGATAATTCTATAGTATGTTCAACAAAATGGAATGCGATAAATATCGAAACATAGTGCATACGATGGAATGTAATTCTAATATCAGCATTAGAACGAAGCAAATGAAGAAAATGCTCAACTACAAATGTATCCGTAATTACACGGAATAACAAATACTCTTCTTTCGTCTTAATTTTACATTATAATGAAGAAATTCCATACCTTTAATTTCCTTTGCATATTGCTCCTTTTCACTATCCAGTAATTTTTTCAGCTTTTCCCGCCGACTATCTAGGGCGATCGTTTTGTTGCGTTTTTCTTCGCTATTTTGGAAATTGGAGTTGGCACTTTTATAGTATTCAGGTGCTGTCCATTGCTCATATCTGCATAAAAGGCAAAATTAATTTGGGCATAAGAATAAGATCTCTGCATAAAATAGAATCATCGAAACGCGTTTGTAACGATAACGATCTTACCTCGACGTAATTTTGGACCATTTGTCAAAGTATTTGTCTACCGTTTTCTTCGTCTCCAACTTCCATTCTTCAATGTCACGTTTTCTGGCGTTTGCGTCATAGAGTTTAACGCCTTTCATTCTGAAAAATTGGAAATGGAATGCATTACAAACATCACCGTATGATTCATATACTTGTTTATTTTGTCTGCGGGGAACATATATTATTCGATCACATAAATAGGGCCAACTGATGTCACTATGTGCTGATTAAATAAAAACATTTTCACAAAAAGGGACATGACGTCTTTGTGCAAGAAAATCCCCTTTTGAAATATGAATTAAGTTAAACGTGTTGTTAAACAATAAATTAGATCGTCAATATCGGCATGTATCAAATATCAAAACAAATGGCCAATTAGTCACGAATGATGACCGCGATAATTTTTTTTTCGCAACAACAATCAACTAACGATGACACGGGGAGAATACATGCTGAAGAGTAGGCATCGTGAACACTCGAAATTCATGTTAACAACATTGACCACAATTCTATTCATGAGACGTAAAAGAACGTATAATCTTCAGCCTTTTTCAGACATGGATAACGAGTAACTTGAATGAGATAACGAAAAATTGTCTTTGAGCTTCGGCAAAGTTATAGTATTAGTGGTGTTCTACAACGTTGTCGAAGGCAATTTTTTGCTATCTCATTTCAATTACTCTTAATATGCAACGGGAAAAAGGCTAAAGAAACATAAATTCTTTTACATCTCATGAGTAGAATTTTGAACATGATATGCTCACATAAGGTAGTTCCCCCAAAGAAATGATAAAGCAACTAATGCAAATAAACACTGAAGTTCAAGTCTCTAGACTAGTGACTCTAGTTCTAAATAACCATAGCATTGGCTGAACATTCGTGTAACATATATTTATAACTTTCTTGTTTTTATTTTGTTTAGAGTGATAAAAATCAAACTGGAAAAGAATCGAAAATGAGATGTGTCAAGGGGCGATTGCAAACCGGTTAAAAATATCCAAATCGGTTGATTACGATAAATGTACAAATATGATTTTGATAGATCGCTACCTGATTCGCTTTGTACCAGAAAAAGTTGAACAAAAAGTTGTTTGGTCTGCACTTATTGTGTGTTTTTCAAATTCATCATTCTAAAAAAAAAACAGTTGAGGGGATTTACAATTTGATCAATTACTTAAAAATAGTTCGACATCGTACGATGGAATAAAATAGATAAGTGATTGGTATCTAGTATTCTCTTATTCTATGAAATCAAACGGTAGCAAACAATTCAGTCGGTTTCGATTGACGCCATACTATTAGAAAAGTATAGAATCAATCGCAATTGGGTGATATCGACAAATGTTGACATTTTTCTATCAGTATAAAAGCTAGCTTGGTTCAGAGCAGACACACAGCTCTTGCACACAAGTCAAACAGTGAAAACTATACGACGGTTGCTTTACATACAGTGTTTTTTTTGTCGCGTGAAACTAAACGAACCAAATCGGCTGAGTTCTTTTTTACTGAATTGCCCGCAATTGTCTGTGTTAAAATGATTCAAACAATCAGCAGTTTTGCCATTCTGGGTATGGTTTTTTATTTAATAATTATTCGCATAATTTCATTCGCATGGTGTCAAACAGTGTAATCTGAATGAAAATAAAGTGCAAATCACTTTAAAAATAAGAAAAATATATAGAGAAAACCTCTCAAGAAAACATCGTTATCTAGTTTCCGTAGAATTGTAATGAATTGAACATGTTCTGAAAAACTCTATCAAGTAAACAAAGTTGATTAAAGAGTAGAAGAGATAATAACGGTAGTTCCCCCTTTTTCACTATGCACACAACACAACAAGAGCCTGAATCCATTGTTATCAAAGTGTCACAAACTGCGTTTTTATAATTTGCCATAGAATTTCAGTATTTTTATTTGGCACTGGCAACAACGGCTGCAATAATTTGGCAACTTTTTCTCTACGATGCATTCTAAATCAAATCAACACAGTATCACCTGTTTGCAACATTTTATCGTCTAACGTGTCACATTGTGCGTTGATGTGATTTTGACAGTTCTCAAGTTCACCAATTGTGTAAATTTGAATTCCAAGTGGGCGGGTATCAAATTTGTAATAATCTCAGTCAAACTGTGCTTTTCAATGCTAAGTGGTTTTTAAATGTTCCGCATAGCGATTTGATAGGAGCAATCAAACGAGACACACTCCAATTACGATTTAAAATTGAGTCTATTTTTTTTAACAAAAACAATTGAATGAGCGAACTATTTGTCGTTTTCAGCGATGTTCGTCGCACAATCAATTATGCCGTTGGAAATTGTGAGTCGTGCTGAATGGGGCGCAAAAGAACCAAAGGATATCGAATTTATAAATAAAACCGTGCCATTCGTTATCATTCATCATTCCCACTTGCCACCATACTGCAATACCTCCGAACTATGTATTGGAGCTATGCAAGGTATGCAAAGATTCCATCAAATTGATCGCGGTTGGTTTGACATTGGCTACCAGTGAGTAAATTTTTTGGCTTGAAACGCGGTTCTGTTTATACAAATTACAACGGAGTATGTATAAAATATGGGTTTGTTTACAGCTTTGCCGTCGGTGGTGATGGAAAAGTGTATGAGGGTCGCGGTTTCAATGTGGTCGGCGCTCATTCACCAGGGTATAATACCAAAAGCATTGGCATTTGCTTGATTGGTGATTGGCAAGGTATTTAAACTATTCTCTTTACTTGGTGAAAGATAAATCTCAATCTAGAAATGACTATCTCTTCGAGACTTCAGACTTCGATATTATTCCATTTCATTTTTTTTCTGTTTTCCATCGCAGAAGTGGTTCCACCAAAGGAAATGTTACAAGCTGCACAAGATTTAATCTCGTACGCCATCGAACAGAAGTACCTATCGACCAACTACACATTGTATGGCCATCGCCAGGTTCGAGCCACAAGTAAGTGAAATGTTCAGTTTTTAAGTAAAATGAGTAAACTAAAGGTTTTTCATTTTCATAATATTGCAGCTTGTCCCGGGCCAGCTCTATTTAATGAGATCAAAAATTGGCCACATTTTGGTACTCCCCATACTGAAATCGTCAATAAAATTTAAACTGACCCTAAAATCTCAACGATTTTATTTGAAATTAAGCAAAACTTATACCACTAGTTGCTAAGTAACAGTAACCTAAATCCTCAAAATGACTGTAAACATGGATGTTTAATTAAAGAATTTTATATTCGTTAAAAATGGGAATCTCGGTTTGAATGCCTTATTTACTGAATAGTTTTCCTTTGAAATGCTCCGTTCGTCGGGGATGATTAATGTTGATACGAATACTTAACGACGCAAGTGATGATTTGTAAACAAAGCGCGGAAATATTACGAAGGAAAAATTGTATCACCACTTGAAATATAACGCTTGCGTTCTATGCGAGTATTGTGTATGCTCGCCGCTCTAATTTGCACGCAAATCCTATAAATCACATCGCAAACGTACTACCATTCGTGAATGGTGAAAGCAAAGTCCGAAACATGTTTGCACACAATGTAAGATATGCGAACGAATCAGGCGGCCAATCCAGAGGTCAGTGTGTGAGATATCGACACTAAAAAAACATCTGATGATGTGAAAATTGCAAGCGACCGATACGAATAAATTGAAATCGACTGGTCGACCGATTTCGACGTTAAAAATAGAACAAACGTTCAGACGAATTCGAAATGTCGCTTATGTGTGTGTGTGTGTGTGTGTGTGTGTGTGGAGCGAGCTGTTTTTCTTCCTTCACAGCTACGCATAAAAAAACTCTGTGGACCAAGCGGCTGACGAAATTCGACACACATACATGCGAACACATGTGAAAATCCATGAAAACTCTCATAATCAAAACGGAGAAAAAAACGCAAACACACTAAATGTGAATATAAACGTAACGATGATCTTAGAACGCCCACAGCTGCTGGCGAGAAGGAGAATGCGTCAGTTCGGGTCGTTCTAAGTATGTGTACACAAACATCGAGGAAAATTCGGTTAGTCGAAGATCGTGATGCGCGTCATTGTGTAGCCGATTCTTAAGATTTTCGAGCATTCGTAATGAACGAGTGGCGAACAAGTGCTTAGTCGAGCGTCACCATTATTGCGAATCAGTGAAATTTGCACACATTTTACAAACGATTTAGTTTTCAAAGCAAATTTCCACATCACAGTAAAAGACTGAATTTTTACGGCTTTACTTACTAAAATTAATTAACCGAAACGCAATTGACACCTTTCGGGTAGACGAGTGAAATTTTCTAAAAGAAAATTCTAGATTCAATCAGTGTGGAAAGTCGAAAGAGGTGTTGAAAGAGTGCAAATCAAAAGAAGTCCGAAAAAAGAACTTTTTCATTTAATTGGGAAAATAATTGCGCATCACACAAAGTTTTTAGTGAATTAATCATCTGTCTATTAATTTACATTTTCGTCGAATTGCATTTCCGTCGAAACCGTTTGAAGGTAATGTGGGAATTGAGCTTTTCATGGAAATTGAAAAGCCAAAATCAAAAAGAAATAAAAATAAGTGGAAAAATATCAATGATATATGGCCAAGTGTTGTAAATAACTCGGTTAAATGAATGGGACAGTGCCAATTTTATTGAAAAATACACATTTTATGACTGATAATTTAAGTGGATGACATCACATCGAAAATGATTTCAGCGAATGAAAATGACACCGACCGAATAAATAATAGAAGAAAAGAAAACAAAACGCTCTTCTTTCACTCTGTCACAGACGAAACACAGTTTTCGCAATCGAGCGAGGAAAAGCGTATAAGAATCATTGACTACAACGACGGCTGAAAATTGTACAGTCGGTCAAAAGCAACAACAACAAAATTGAAGAGAGAGAGAGAAAACGAACCGAAAACACGTAGAATCAGCTAAAGTTTTTCACCCGCCGCTTAAATTTAAATGTTATTTTTGGACACACTCGATAGAACACTCAACAAGAATACGAGCATCGAACGTAAAGGAAAGAAAAAGAAAATAACGAAAATCAAATGAAATGTCGCGAGAGTGAAGAAAATTCTCTATTACATGCACACTCTTCGATCATCTGTGTACAGATATGATTTTCGCCAGCTCATTGAAATAGCGCCGTCTCTGTCGATTCAAACCTCTTTTTTTGTCATTCGATCAAAGACGAGAATCCAACGTAACGCCGGCCAAAGAATTAAGAAAACGAAATATATAATTTGGACTTCATGCACTATAAACTTGAGAACCGACCACAATGAAATAATAAATGTAGTGCAACTGAATCTCGTAGGATTTTCTTGGTGTGAAAACCATCGTAAAAACATGTTATAATGATTATTTTGAATGGGTGACATGTGTTGTTTTTCTTTTTCGGAATCATATGGGTGTGCCAAAATCGAACAAATGTTTATTTTTATTCAAGTAGTCTGTGTTTGTTGTTTTTGACATTTGAAATCCAAATCTGATTCGGCTTAAATTAGAAAAGCCAAAATGAAAGGACGAAGTTGATGGTGATGAAATATGTTCAACATTCATAATTTTGATAAGTTTGTCTCTTTTGACTGATATCACAATTCCCAAAATACGATTGATAATTGGAACGTTTCCAGTTCTGAATGAATCAGAGAGACACTTTTTACGAAAGAAGAAGAAGAAACGATATTTACGGAAGTTGGTTTTCCCTACATCAATTCACACTCATTAATTAAATGTGAAAAAATTTCGTTGAATCCATTTTCAGCATCATTCTTGATTCGACGAGAATGTAGTAAATGCTTGTATAAATTCTAATTAAATCATAACATTTAAGTAGAATGTTTAAATTTGAAAATTTCTGACTGGGACGATATATATCTCGATAATTATAATTGTTATTTCTCTCGACAGTTTAATAGTTCCGATGCCGATAACAGGCACAAAAACCAGTGTCGCTAGCAAGACGCCCAGCACAGCTAGCAAAACGTCGACGGCTGCCACCGATGCAGCGCCCAAAACTAATGTTGCATCGCGAGCACCGTGGTTAAAAGATGCCGGAAAAACGACGTCAACCACCCAGGCGCCGTGGTCAAAGCGCAACGCCACAGCAGCAGATAGCAATGGAACGCAAAAGGAAGTGAAATTGCAATCGCGTGAAGTTAAAGTGCCGGTGGTGACACAGCGAAAAACGTCAATTCCAACTGAACCTTTGGTAAAACCAAAGCCAAAAGACATCAAAGTCACTGTCCCAGAGGACAATTATGAGACATCATCATCGGAATATGAAGAAGTGACCGATTCCGAAGAAGAGGAAGAGGAAACTGAAGAAGAGACCGAAAGCAGTTCAGAAGAAGATGATGACGAGAACAAGCACAAGATGCCAATTCAAGTGAAATTGAAGCCAGTCGAAAAGCCAGCCGAGGTGAAAAAATCACCAAGCGTCGATCGTGCCGGTAAGTTTGTAAAGCCTGCCCTAAAGAAAGTCCCCACACTTGACAAACTCAATAAGCCAAAGCCACCACCGCCAACGATACCCGAGGCAAAACCGTTGCGTCATGTCGAAAAGCCCATTCTGCCGGAGGAATTGCCGGAGAAAACGTTCGAATTTCAGCGGCCACAATTGAAAAAAGCCGACAGTATAACGAAAAAACGTGAGTAATTTTCATTTCTGTTTTTTGTTTGGCATAACATTGTTTTTGTTTGCATTAGTCTACTTCACCTCTATGTTCATTGGCCTGTGAAATTAAACGAAAATTAAAGAGAACAAAACAAAGCGCACCGACCGAGAACACAATTAAAATACTGTGCACATACTCGAACATTGCACAGCACATATGCGACAACATGGCCACAAATCATACAATTCGATGCAAATGTCGTGCAGTAAGCCGAAAGCTCCTAATGAATTATGCACATTCAAATGAATCGGACGTTGTGTTACTTGGTGAACAGAGCGCAGGCAATGAACTACACACATGTACACCGTGTACCATGAATGAAACAACACATCAATTGTTTTGTTTTAAACCTCTGCCTGAAAATGTGTCATAATTTATTGTGCCAAAAACGCATTAATTTACGCCACATACATTTTTTTCGTCTTTTTTCTCTCGGTTTTCGTTTTGTATGTCATGTATCCTAACCTTGCACTAAATGTACTTTTTTGAATCGTTGCTCTTGACGCTCCTCAATAACGTCATTTTCGAAACAACCAATTACTAAACGAATGAATGTCAAATGCGAATTCTTGATCGTCTGGAAAATGATCGGATGATTTTTATTTCGCAAACACAATTTTCCCCGCATTAAATTTGTTGTATTTGTGTATCTAGCGATTTCTAGTCAACACACGCCTCTCCCACATGCCACAATCCATATATCTATCATTTTCATTTTCATTGCCAAGAATAAAAAATTCGTGAAATCGAATAAATAATGACCACACAACCACCGACAGATACATATACATATTTTTATGCGTACATATTAAATGCGTGCGCACGACTGATCAAATGTTGATCGCCCATTGCATGATTTGTTTGTTTACAAAATCGTTTTTCAATGAATGTTCAAACCACCGCACATGGATACGGACAACTCACAACTATTTGGCAATCAGATTTGGTCATCACAAGTTTTTTTTTTACTTGTAGTTATTAGTTGAATTTTGTAGATGTTTGAAGTGGCTTTGACATGGGCAATGAATTTCCTAAAGTACGTATCATGACAAACTATCTCTTATCTCTGGATATGAATTATATATATATTTTTTCTTTCTATCTCTTCACTGAAGTGGGAAATGATTTGTTAAAGAGAATTTTTGAAGTTTGGCTTAAACAGTTTATTTTGCGACTTTGAATGAATTTCTCGCATAACATGAATTCAGTTCGAAAATGTTCGATATGTAATGCATGATTGTCTTATTATTTATGATTTCAGCATTGATACCACCTCCTCCGCCACCTCCTAAGATGGTTCCACCACCGCCTCCACCGTAAGATTAATACAATTCCCAAATGATACAATTTTTTTTTTTATTTAACACACAATAGACGAATATTTTCTTATGAAAAAAAAATGCCAATTTAAATTGCAGACCTGGTTTGACGGCACCAAAAGAATTTGTCAAAAAGGAAATATCGAATAAAGGGAAAGAAACTTTGGAGAAATTGAAATCGCGGCCAAGAAGACGACCTGATTGGTCGGATATGATGAAAGAAGTAGAATCGGGAAAAAAACTACGTCACGTCGAATGTAATGATCGGTCCAATCCGATCCTGAAATCCGAAACCATAACAAAAGTTAATTCAGGGCAATTTGTCTTCGAATCGGAGAAGGCAAATGTGCACAATGCTTTACTCAAACAAATTCAATTTGGTATTAAATTGAAAGCAACCAAAACGGACGATCGTAGTAAGCCGGTTCTGGGTGGGTTGCGGAAATTCCGCAAACAAATGACAATCGAAGAACAAATCCAAAAATCCGAATCGCGTGCACAATTGGGACAAGCTCCAGAGGAGGTATTATGTCACTCTCAATTTTAAATAATCATCCGTATCATATTTTAATCAATGCAAAATACCACCCATTTAGCAAGATCCAATTCCCGATTCGGCCGATGAAATGGATGACATCGATAAGTTACGCGATGATTTACAGAGTACTAAACAGATGTTGGCCCAAGAGTTACGGAACAAAGAAGCTCAAGATCGTGAAAATAAGCGTTTATTAGCGAAAATACAAAATTTAGAAGCCGAATTGACTAAATCAAAATCAGGCGATGGTGAGGGCAACGGTGAGGGCGAAAAGGCATCTTCCGGTGGAGATAACGAAGCACTCATCAAATCACTGAAGTCAGAAGCCGAAGAGGCACAAAACACATCCAAATTATTGGAAAAGAAGTATCAAGATGCAGCCGGACAATTGGACGCGGCCAAGAGTGAGTTAGAAGAACAAAAACGTAAGATTGCCGAATTGGAAAAGAAGTTCGCACAGTCACAGGTAATGAAAACCGTCCATTCTTTGAGCGACAATTTTTTTTTTCTCTGCTTTCTTTTGCTTAACTTTATCATTTCTATGCTCTAAATTTTTCGCGCACACACAAAAAGGAGAATAACACCTGGTGCAGCTCTTGCGGTTGCCTAAAATCAATTAACATTTACGATAAGGTACAAATATCAGCCGAAACACTGGTGAATAAACTATTAACCACTTGGGCATGGAATTGCAATATTTTAGGATTATAAGATACGCTTTTGATTCTAGAAATTAGATACTAACCGTAATATATTTGAAAATAATTTAAAAATTGACCGTCGAATTGTCGCAAAACCAACTGAAATGCATTTTCAATCAATCAGGGTATTGCACCGGGCACACATTCACGACGTCAAAGTGAAGTACCCGTCAAAGAAACCTCTCCAGAACCAGACTTCGAATCATCTGGCGAGGACGATGATCTGGATGATGAACAGAAAGCGGCTCGAGTGAAGAGACGTTTGAATCGCGAAGTAAAGTATTTGAAGAATAAATTGGATAGACTTAAGGATAAACAACAAGCCGCAACGAAAGAACGACAAGCCATTCGAGAATCAATGAAAAAGAATCAAGTTGTTCTCAAGTAAGTTCTAAATTATGTTATATTTGAGTTGAAAAATTGGTTTCAGTCAAATTTTGAATGATTTCATTTCAAGAGCCAAATTATTTGGATTATTTTTGAGATTTTACTGAATAAATATACAAAAATTTCCACAGGGATGAAAAGAAGAAGTTCAAGTCATTGCAGCGTGAAGTTGACAAAATGGCTGCACTAATGAAAGATGATGATGATGAAGATGCCGAACCAAAAGATGATGAAGACAATGAAGCAGATGAAAAAGAGGAGAGTGAAGCCGAGGAATCCGAATCGGAAGAGTCTGAATCCGGGGAATCTGGAGGATCGGATGATGAATCAGTGGATAGTGAACCAGAGGTACAATCACCCTATATACACTTCATGTGATAAGCGTAATAATTTTCATTCTGGTATAAATGAATATTTATAGGATGCTGAAGACGAGAAGAAGAAAGCAAATTATGAGCCACGCATCAAGCGGCACGAAGGCCGATTGGCAGCACTTAAGAAAGGAAATCTATTGCACCAGACTAATTTGGATCGACTCATTGATGAAATTAATCGAATGCGTGATGAATCAGTCACACTGCAACATGATTTGGACTCTGTGTTATCAGAGTTGGGCTAGACGTAATCCCGGCAAATCAATTTGGCTGAGAAATATTTGTATATAAGAGAAAAAAAGTGACCGCGATTCAGAAATGTGAACAGATATTTTCCGTTGGAAATGCATGAATCGAAACAAAAAAAAAATGCACATTTCTAGGCATATTTTGTTATATTTACTGTTAGTAAGAGTAATTGTCATATATCTATCAAAGCTTGTGAATGGTTTACTTGAAATTCTTAATTTATTTTATAAACTTTATTTCCTAAATATGCTTTTGAAGGCGAATTCAAGTTATTTATTACAAATCTACATTTATGCTAATTCTTTTTTTTTTGTGATTGAATTAAACCAAATAAAATGAGATATCACAAAAAAGAATGTGTTTGCTTTTACCTGGTGCCAATTCCACTGATTGGGGTGCCAAAATTGTGACTGAATAAATTTTCTTTTGCACGCGAACTTTTCACAAAGCGTCGAAGGAAATCGGATAATAGTCTAATAAAATAGAAAGTACCACAAACAATTTGCATAAATATTTAGTCAACGCGACCCGATGGTAACCAATAAACAACCGAAAACATAAACAAACCAACAAAAGCGGAGTTCAACTGTCAACTGCGATTGAATGAAGCGCATGAATTGCTACATACAAACAAAATCGTTTGTTTGCCCATTTGCCCGAACTGTCATAGTGAATTTGCATCGAAATGAATGCGACCTGTCACTTCAACACCACATTCGATGACATTTCCAAGCAAATACCCTTTCGATATCATTGTAAATAAATTAACGCAATTGAATCGAAGTTTTTCATTGGACCAATAAAGAGAAAAAAAGGGTCAAGAAGACACACACAACATTCGCATTGCAAGTGAAATAGTTTGAAATGTGTATTTTGAGTGTCAAATACCACATGAGAACGCAAAATGAGTAGAATTTCAAAGAAAAAAAAGAATCGGAGTCCAAACTGAAGGTGGATAAAGGAAAAGTGTCGAAAGGAACAGAGGAAAAACACGTGAAAAGGTTAAGGGTGACTGAACTAATAACGTGATTTTAGAGAAAAAATGTCTGAGTCATTGGAATTGCATCAATTGGTCGATTCAGACACTGGGTCACATCGGATTCGTCGGTCAAAACTCTATGAATTTATACAAAGTTGTTATGCATGTCCACTTTTGGGTATTTTACTCGCAACATTGTCTTCATTCTTTTTTTCTCTGTGTTCCGTTATCGTCAAGGAGCTCGTTGACATACATCCAATTGAGTTGGCCTCCTTTCGGTATGTAACGATCGAAGTTCGCCACAAATATAAGTGAACATGAACATCATAGTAAATTCAACAAATCGATTTTTCCAGATTCATCGGTGTACTGTTGCCAGCCATTCCAATAATGATTTACAAACAGGAAGATGTCTTCCCAACTGGCCGACGGACAATACTACTACTTCGCTGTTTCGTGGGCACAACTGGATTAATGCTTAGCTTTTATGCATTTCGTCACATGCCACTGGCTGATGCCAGTGTGATAATTTTCTCGACGCCAGTGTTTGTGGCAATTTTTGCAAATCTTTTCCTTAAAGAGCCCTGCGGGATATTCAACGTATTTACAATTCTGCTGACCTTGTTCGGTGTGGTGTTAATAACGCGTCCGTCGATGTTATTTGGTGATACTGTGGCCAGTTTGAATGATGAACAAGTGGCCGACCATGATCACAATAATATTTGGGGTGCTGTGGCAGCGATCTCATCAACGCTGTTCGGAGCCAATGCATATGTTACGTTACGAGCACTGAAGGGAATCCACTATTCGGTGATAATGAGTAATTTTGGAGCATTCGGTCTGCTGTACACGGTCATTGTGTGTTGGTTCATGAATGTTCTCTGTATGCCTTATTGCAACTCGGATCGATGGATGGTCGTTGCACTTGGAGTGTTCAGCTTTATGGGTCAAATTCTGCTCACACAATCGCTACAATTGGAAGAAGCGAGTGTAGTGGCGATTGCACGATCAGCCGATATTGTTTTTGCCTTCTTTTGGCAGATTTTATTCTTCAAAGAGATTCCGAACGGGTATTCAATCATTGGAGCCATTATTGTAACCATTTCCGTAGTTTTAACGGGCTTAAAGAAATGGAGCCAAACATTGCCACGAGAATCAGCGGTTCGAAAGCGATTGCGATACATTTTGCTCGAGGTGTGGATCTAGTGCAAATCCAGTTTGAATCACGCCAATTGAATTTATTGAATGCTCAAAAGAAACACGCTGCGTCAAAAGGGAAGAAAAAAACTCAAATATTTATTTATCGAGCACATCATTTAACCTAGTACGTGTTTATTGCTATGGTAATGATACGTAAACATTAGACAAAACAACCATGGAATTGATTCAAATCTCAATTGACTGACATTTTTAATATCCCTTGACCACTTCTCCGCCTGAATACCTACATTTTACGATCACTATTCTAGTCAAATTGTGCTAAACGGATATTTAGTCCAAAGTTAATGCTTTCAAAGCCAAAGACGCTACTTATTTGAATCGTAACTATCATGGATTTAATTGTAAAACCTCCTAGTATAAGATCTTTTTTTATGTTTTATTTTTTTCCTTTGATAAGTTTGTGATTCGCACTGAATGACCCACGTATTGTCATTTGTTTGGTCATTATGGAATATATTTCACTTCTAGCATTCTAGTCAACACTCCATACATTGGTGAAGTGATCACATCGTTAGCTTTTTTCCGATAATAAAATGACCATAGCCAAACATTTTCAATCAAACCGATGTCATATAGTATGTTTTACGTTTGTATAAAATATGATGAATAAAATGAAACCAACTGAAATTAAAAGGAAATCGGCTTATTTGTACTTTATTACAAATATTTGTTTTATACAATTTTCTGCAACGACGTTTTGATATTTCGTGTCTATTGTTTACTGTTGATTGGCAATAATCGTCGTCATAAATAAATTAATAAAATATCATCCTATCTATTTGACTTGATTAGGCGGCGAAAAACAATCGATGTATTTTACAATTGCAAAAGCGAACTCTATTTATACAGGGTAAACTTACAAACGAATATCGCACATAAATTATTCTACTTTTTTTCTTCTCTCGATTAATTAGTACATTTTGGACACTAACTAAACAATCGAGCACCTGACCTAGAAAAATTCAATGCCTTCATATTTGTAATCAGTTTTGATTTTAATTGGGCCAAGCAACGTTTTGCCATCAATGGTGAATACTGTTAGGTGAGTGGCAGTTTTTCCATTGAATTCTTCACTGAGAATGGCTACGATAACGTTATCATTGCTGCCGGGAATAAATTTAAAACTTGAAAAGCCAAACGTTGGTTTGTATGGACCCAATTGGACAGTTTCGATTTTATGGAAGTTTTCATCGGCCGAAATGAGTTTATTGCAGCCCATCAGTTCATCCTGAAAAGACGGTAAGAAAAATTTGAATGAAATTCGATTGATGAGCAGGTCGAGTGTTTCCAGTGAAATCCACGTGCAACTGATCTATTAAAGAGTTTGTGTTGTTGTCTCACCTTTGTCTCGTTATATCTTTCTTTTGAGCACCTCCTTGGTAAAAAGTACCATTTCCGATTGATTGGTGACCATGTAGCAGATTCATGCAGTAAATAGCCTGGCCATTCGATTCCAAGTGCCCTTCGAAGTGATTGATAATTTTCAATCCAATTCAAATGGTGTACCTACGATTGAAAATTATGATTTTTGAGCATTATTTTCTGACACTTTTGCTAGTTTATTCTTTAAAATTTTGAAAAAGACGCGATTCTCACCTCTCCGCTTATCGTGATGGCTTTTACATACATCGGATCAAAACTTTCAAAGTCACCTGCACTCGTAGTCCACTCTTTACCCATCGAGCCAACGTATAATACCTCATCTTTCACAGTTGCCCATTCGCTTTTGAATCCTTTGCCAGTATTACCTTGACCGTCCATGAGCAAAATCCAAGGAAGCGCTTTTTTATCTTTCAACTCAAACACCAATCCAGTTCGATCGTCGAAAGTGAGCATGCGACCGTTGAATGTGACCAATTCAGATAATTCCATGCCTCGTCCCTTCAACGAATAGCTGCCGGAATACTCGGTTGGGTTCTCATTATCATTGAAACTTACTTCGACTGTGTTCAGCGACGGATTATAACTCAAATAGCCCATCTTCAAGTAGCTTCGCCACACATTTCCCTTCTGTGGATCTTCGGAAGCTTTATCAAGATCTGCTATCATACCAATTCGATACGTTTGAACACCATTATTGATTACCGCCGCCGTCAATGGATATGTGTAATTGTATTCGGATTCCTTTTTCGTTGTTTGCTCATATTGTACGTACCATTTCCGTTTGTTTGAGTACGATGATTGTGAATCGTGTTTCAGGAACAGAAACACCAAAATCAATGCGCCAAAACAAATGCAGAGCAGTGCTACGTGATAGTGAATGCGAAACGTTCGATTACCCAGTCGATATGTTGGTGGAGTTCGTAATTGTCTTCGCCAGTCCCGCATAAGGTGATGTGAGGCATCGTTTCCTTTTCTCCCGCCATTGGAACTATCCAAATTGTTTAAAGCAGTATAAGCGACACTCATGTGTTCGAACTTTGTGTGCATACTCGTGTCAGCAGATCAAATATTGATGAGTTGTTCACACACCAAACACACGAAGTCAACTCACACCAATTCCTAATTGCTGCGTATGTCGACACGTACAAAAACGACACCAATTACTTTTGACTCTATCGCAGTAAACTACATCATAAACTCACACGTCAGATAATTTATCAAAACTGTCTCGGGGCACTGACGTTATATTCGTAAGACATCGTATATTACACACATCAAATCATTTTGACACAAGACACAATAGAGCCAGTGCTTTCCGCAATGGAATCGTTTAATTCGGGCAATCCCACAAACAATACTAATTTGACGTTTCGAATGCCGAACTGTCAAAACTGAGCGTAAGTGTCGACATGTGTTTTAATTGACTGGCCGAGGTCAGGTTCGGTGTTTGCTAACAAAACGAAACAGTTTTTTTTTTTATTTATTTTGCCGGATGAATATTTCAAAATTATGAGCGAACAAAATCGACCTGGTTTCACAACGACAACAATTGCAGCTGCTGCCGCGGGAATTGGCCTCTGTTTTGTTGTCACCAAGTATCGAACGCAAATTTTAAAGAAATTGAAAATAATTCTAAACAGCAGCGATCCTCTTCGGAACCAACAAATTCAAGTGATCAACAATGTGGAGGAGTGCCGAGCGCTTATGCGAAACCTCAAAACGTATGTTTTTCACCAATTTTCAATATTTTTTTTTGTTTCAAATTGTTTTTCAGTTAACAAACAAGTTTTCATAGAATATTATCGTTAAATTTGATTACATTATCAGGCACTGTGATGAGTTCAGCGTGTTGGGCTTCGATTGTGAATGGGTAACGGTTGGTGGCGTTCGTCGACCGGTTGCTCTATTGCAATTAACTTCACACCGTGGTCTTTGCGCTCTGGTTAGATTGTCTCACTTACAAATGATTCCCTCAGAGCTAAAGGTAAATTTCAACTGAAGCAAAAAATGTGTGTGACAACGACGATGACTCATCAATGATGAAATACCCAAAATTGCTGATTATTTCACAATTTATGTGCTTTTATATTCGTAATTTATTTATAGGAAGTTTTGGAAGATGATAACATATTAAAAGTTGGTGTGGCTCCACAAGGTGATGCCAGTTATTTGGCTCGAGATTACGGTGTTTGTGTTGCAAGCACATTTGATCTTCGTTATTTGGCTGCGATGACTGGTTGCAAGACTGGCGGATTGGCTAAAATGTCTGAAGACCACTTGAAAGTTACGCTTGATAAAAACTGGCGCATTCGATGCTCCGATTGGGAAGCACCTACTTTGAACGAAAAACAAATTAATTACGCGGCTACTGATGCACACGTTGGCATTGAACTGTTCAAATTTTTTGCCGAAAAGCTGGAACCAAAGGGATTCGTTAAAAAACAATCGGCTTATGTGCAACGCATCATCGACGAGTACTGTTTTAGTTTCATTGACCTAACCTATAGCGGCTCACAAATATTATCAAAAGATAGTCAGAGCCAAAAGACTAAGAAAAATCAGAACGGGTCAAGTAGTGTGTAAGTCATTGAACAAAATTTTCAAACCGAATTAGTCGCAAAATTCATTGTATATATCTCAAGTATTTGTAAAAGTCCTTTTTAAAATCACATCATTAAATTGATTTCAGTACAAAATTCTCTTCAAGTTTTTTCAGTTTGTAATTTTATGTGTACCTGTACATTCCAACAGATCTCTTGACAAATTCAAGGAGAGGAAAATTGCAACGAGACAAAAACCATTATACACAAATGCCTTCTTACAAGCAAATGATGGCGAATTGCTTTGCACTATTGACCAAAAGAAAGCCATGTGGTATGTTAACAAGGCAAAGTGACCTACGTTGTCCGCAAGAATCTCGCTGGCGTTGCCAATCTCAAATTTAATCAATATTTGATCAAGTGATTTCGAATCTATGTGGTCATTGCTTTACTTTCTTAGTCTTAAAATATGCCTAGTTTTCCATTTATCATTTGCTACTAGTTTCCATTATTTGCCCACTCTATCAGTTCGTTATATTGCTATTAATTTCATTTTTTTTACAGGTATGTTAACAAGAATATTGGTGAAATTGTGGCTGAAGATCCACTTACAGTTCGATTGAAGTTCGAACCGTCGGGAAGAGCTGTTGGGCAAACCGGCAAATATTATCAGACTCCCAAAGACAACAAATGCGTTGTTTGCGGTGAAACTGAAAAATACACCCGAAAAAATGTCGTACCAAGAGAATATCGCAAGAATTTTCCATGTAAGAAATTTCAACCAAATCTTTGATGGCAATTTCCTCAGCCATTTCTTCTTTTCATAATATCCAGTGACTAACCCAGAACAATTTACAGTCGTAATGAAAGATCACACTTCACATGATGTCCTATTGCTGTGCCCACGTTGTCATCAAATCAGTAATATGCATGACTTGAATCTTCGTGAGAAATTGGCCATCGAATGTAAGGCACCATTTCCTACGAAAAACACAAATACAAAAACCGTTGAAGTGCCGCGTTTGAAGTATGTTTTTTTTGTGATTCTGTTCTTTGTCCGTATACATGATTATTTTGCTTTCTTTAGAGAGCTGAAATCCATTTGCCGAGCCTTGTATTTCCAACGCGATAAAATACCGGAAGAACGTCAATGCCAGTTACGAGCAAAGTTGAACGAACTCTGCCCTGAACAAGAACACTTTTCGGATGAATTTTTAAAATCGTACATTGATATTGAAACGACGTAAGTGCCAGCCCATGGTCTCATTGGCTAATATGTTATATTTTTCTTGTGGGTGTTCATATCACTTAATTTTTGACTATTTCCAGCGAAATGAATGAAAATTATTATGCTCATGGTGAAAAAGTGGTCGAATTCTATCAGAAAAGCAAAGAGGGATTGGTCAGTTTGGAGCGTAAATGGAGAGAGCATTTTCTGCACACAATGAAACCAAAGTTCATGCCTGAACTCTGGTCTGTGGAACATAATGTTGAGAGGTGTGTTTTTCCGTTCTGGTATGATAAACCTATATACGTTATTTTTTTCTCGTGTGTTTCAGATTGCAAATCCGTGCCAATGAGGGTCGAATTGATGAGGGTGATTTGGTTTTGGCCGGGCTGTCTCTGCAAACTGCAACTGATTGATATCAACGATACATCACATTACAATTTACATACAACACATGTATATTTCGGAACAATCATGATCGTTATACTTTTGATGAGTCGAAATCAAAAGTAGCTGCTCAACTGGATATCTATTTTTACCTTTTTTTTTCTTCATTTTTTTTGAAGTACTTTACAAGTTTTTTTATACTATAATTTATAAATTCAATGAATAAACAGCAATTTAGCCAAATCAAATCCAAAGTCTATTCATCCATTTCCGTTCAAAAAATCAAACGACAGTTACGTGGAAAAAAGTTTCTTCTCCAAAAATTTATTATAAAATGCATTAAAATGTAAATTTACACTACATTATATCAATACAATTAGATCGGATTTCCTATTGAAGTAAATGTCTTACGAATACTTCATAATATTAAAATTAATCTACCTATAAAACGATAGAGAAAAAAAAAACGTATCAAAAATGGCTGCCTATTAGCTGCAAAAAATTTACATCGAAATTGTTTTTAAGTCTTTTTTCCGATAATATAGACTATTTTCATTTTATGTTAACCACACTCTTCACTAACATTCTTCATAAATTACACGGCCGAATGCCATTTTTCTCAGATTCATATTGTGGTTAATGGTTGACCGAATAGGCGGGTGACGTTGGTTCAGTCACATTTGCACTTATCGAGTGCATGTGCCGGTGTGAACTTTTCACTTGGTGCATAGCATTTTTGGGTGGTAATTGCGGTGAATTTGGTGAATTATTCTCCGATTGCATGATATTAGCTGAAGCGGTTTTTTGTCGAAATTTCGTCGAATATTTATAAAAGTCAGACATTTCAAATGGTTTTGTCACCTCTTTGTACGGTTGAAATTTGGCCGGTTGTACGATGGTCACGTTTTTCGGTGATTCCACTTGAATATCGGCCGATGAAATGTTTGATGTGAAACAATTGGAATTATCTAAAAATGAATTGGCCGCTGAAGGCACATCAGGCGACTGTAATTTCGGTGTAGGCACATTTGGATTAACTTGTAGAGTTGAATTATTATCAAATGAAGGCACGTGGTGTATCGACGAATTATGATAAAATGGCTGTTGTGAAGGGGATGGAGACGACTGCTGTGGCAATAACTGTTGCGGTTGACTCCTTGATACACTTTCAACGCCCGACAGAGCATTCGCTGATGTGCTCAACGCTTTTGACAAACTGCTCAAGATGTGCGGCGTTTGAAGTGAAGTTAACGTGTGCGAATTTCCTATAGACATCACATTCCGATTTGGAGAATGCATGGAATGGGACGACAAACGGTTCTTATCACGATAGTAAATTGGTGGTGAAACGAGTTGCGGAGAGATTTGCTCTATTTTTCGTACTGGCGTATCCAATGACGTTTCAGTCCTATTGAAACAAGATTAATCGTAATAAATTCTATTCGATATTAGGTAAAACCTAACCGTATAATTACCATTGCTTCTCTTTGCTCAAACGACGTGGATCATTTAGTTCGGCATTGATCGTTGGAGTCGTCACGGGTGTGTCATCGGATTTGTTAATAAAATTGAAATTGCCCAAAGATGTGGATTTGGTTGGTTGATTTATACTTCGTATCACCTGTTGCTTCTTCATCTTATTCTTCTGGCTTTTTCGATCCAGACTTGAGAAGCTGAAGAGATGAAAAAGAGATAGATATTATAAAAAAACTATTTACAGTGAAAAAGAAACTCTTTGGTTTGACACTGCGGTCTATCAGTTTAGGATTGTTTTCCGCCCATTTTTCACTTGAAATCTCTTTTCGAGTAACAAAAAAAAACGCTTAGTCAAAACTTACCGATTATCAACCGATAACCAAATCCGTTCGTTGTTCTCATTGGTGGTCCAATATCCGCCCAGTCCTTGATTTTTCGTGGACAAATTGACGTCTTTGGTTTGGAAGTGGTTGCGTTCAGTCAATGGCAGCGGTGCTGACGGCTTTCGGCACAAAATCTCTGTATAATGTGTTTCGGATTCTTGATTTTCAGCATCTTGATGCAAAGAGCCTTGTTTCGGTTGTTCGGACAGTGTCAGTAAAGTAGCATATTGACCGGCAATATCCTCTTCATCATCACTGATTGGTGGTTTTGTGTTCACATGTAAGTGTGACGATGAATGCTTCACTTTGGTTGGCGTTAAGTGTGCTCGACTCATTGTGTACGGACTATGCCTGTGCTGATGCTGATGTTGTGTGTAGTGCTGTTGAAAATGTTGCGCTCGATGTTGATGGTTAGCACTTCCGCTGGGCGGATAGTAATACGATTCATTTATGCTGGTATCAACTGTAAGCGGCTTAAGTCGTCCGTATTTTGGTGAAGCCACCAAGTTTCCATTTGTCACGGGAACCGCATTAGCAGCTGCGTTGGCAACGGCATTTGTCACATATGCGATTTTATCCGCATGGCTTTTGTAATGCAGATGCGGAATTTGAACCTGCTGTTGGTACGTGTAATTCGGTGAATGCATCATTTTGTCACTGTTACTTGTTGCAGCTGTTACGTAGCTTTGAACACTGGTTTGGCCGCTATAGCTATCGCATCGTGGTCGAGATTTCGATACAGTAGCGGCCAAATACTGAGATGCCGATCCTGTTGAAACGGCCGAATTGCGCCTTTCCGGAATAACATTGTTGTTTTCCAAACTGATCGAACTAACGTTTAAGTTTGGTTTCGATTTTATGTCATTGTTATGGATTTTGCTGCCGTTAATCACATTGTTTGATGTCGAATATCCCAAATTATTGTTAAGATTAATATCATCTCGGTTTGTGATAGAATCAGCATTTGCACGGCTTCTTAAAATACTTAGAGTTTGATTAATACTCTGAATTTTTTGTTGCGCCACTTCATAGTTTTGTCGATGCGCACGACGAACAGACTGCAAATTGAAGGCAAAAAAAAAATAAATTAAAATTGATTGTTTTGTCGAGATAAATCGCTCCTAAATTGTTTAGGCGATAATAAATTGTTCGTGGAACAGTTACATAAACTGACACTTACTTTGGTTTGCGTAGCATCATTGGCGAGTTTAAGTGAAGCTTGTGATATTTGCTGTTGGATCTTTTTGCTCAACATCAATTGGTTAATGTCGTCTTCGTTGCTGTTCAAAAGATTCTCTGGTAGCTTAAAGCCAGTGTCAATGTGTCGTGGAAGTGTTGAATTGTTGTTATTCAACTGTAGTCGGTCGCTGTTATTTACGCCCCCATCACCGCAATCAATCCCACTAAATGTGGATATGTCATTCAATGAGAACGTCGAGCAGCCAATTATTTTTGCTTCTTCGCGACACAATTGCTGTAACAAATTATTTTTTTCTTGCAGCAATTTGTCCAAGTCTTGCTTCCGTTGTTTGAGTGTCTGCACTTTTTGTGATATCATCGATTTCGTATTTGGCGACAGAGTGGGTGACAACGGGGCACTTTCATTTAGCTTCATCAATCCCGCTGTTGGCGATGGCAACGGTCGATCAGCATTCTTGAAAACATTCGGCGTACGCGTCTTATTTCGATTATTTGCGTCGGCTGCTCGTAAACAATGTCAAAAAACATGGGAATAGAATAAGGAGTGCAAACATGTTAAAAATTGATCGAAAACAAGGACGAAATTCAATGCTAAGTAAATAAGCTGAAGATAACAAATGGGGGAAGAATACACAGAATAAGAAAAAGGGAATATATTAAAAACGAAGAAAAACAAGCAACATTAAACACATTGCCTTTTTTAAAGGCTGGCATTAAATAACGTTCCGTAAAATGTGTGCATTTTTTATTTTCAACTGAAAACCACAACAACAATAACGCTTCGTAATGCAAAGAACGTTTGCTGTCTGCGGTTTAAGCAGGTGCGCATTTGATAAGCAGCAGCAGTAGTACGTCATCGTTTTTTTAATGTTGAATGACTTAAAATCTTGTTTTTCCATATATTTTTTTTCTTCTGCACTTTAATGCACTGCCATGCTATCGAATATTTCCGATATAAGTACAGCCAAAAACTTCACTTACACATTTCAGTTGTTTTCATCGAAATTCTTATGCGTACGACACAGAAATTCCAATAGTTGTTTGAACTTTATTGATATTCATGAAGAACACACGGACACACTGTATAGTACCTTCTTTCATCCACAAATCAATGTATGTATATAGAGTTATCTACGACGATCGTTTCGTTGGAACTATATGAGTCGCAATCGGTGCGACTTTGGTCAACTAAAATATCAGTGAATTGTTTTTACTGCACAAAACTCATGTAAAATGCACACACGCATAATGTACGTTCTCCGCATTATATTTCTTCTTCTTCTTCTTCTTCTTCAATTTTTGTGTGTACACTTCTATTCTCACGCACAACAGAAAAAAAAGTAAACATTAAACCAGCGCCGTCGTCTTAGTGTAATGGAAAAAAAAACAATGTGTGTTTGGTACGGTGTTGATTCTTCTTATTCTTTTTTGGTTAATTTTTCTTTGTCGTCGTCGCCGTCACCGTCATCGCCGTCGTCGCCTATCGTTGTCTATCACTCACTGATGCTATTTATTCTCACAGGCAATAGACACACAAAATGCACTTATTCCAACTCTTGTATCGTCAACTAAATGACCACCGTTTAACGGAAAGTACTAAATTAATTGCCACTCTTGATTAAAATGCAAACTTATAATGCGGCCACAAACAGAGAGAGCAAAAATAAATGCATGAGAAAATCCAAAATGATGAGAAATAAGTGGAGGAAAAAAAGAGGAAAACAACAACAATCAATCGAAAGAAAAAAGAAATAAAAGAAACACACAACACTTTGCTCGAACGTCAGTTCATTGAGTTTACTGATCTATTCTGCCGTGTACTGTGTGCATGTGCTATGCTGGTGGTGTCGGTGTGTGTATGTGTTAGGAGCGGCCATGTTCATTTTTTTTTTCCTTCTCGTCTCTCCGTCGTTCATACATCAACGCCGTTATGTCAAAACACAGAGCGTTTCTATGCACGAGACTCGAGGGGAATCGCTATTCTGTTTGCACACAAAGCAGCAACAAGTTTCTCCTTTCGACTATAAACATTTGGTTGGTGTTACCAACGTGCACGAAATGAACTTTTAAACTTTTATTTCAAGCTTTCATTTATGCATATATCATCTACTGAAAATTTGAACGCCGCGCGTTGTGAAATGTGATTTACATCGTTTGAATCACAGTCGGTGCAAAAGTCAGATGAGTGCTGACCACACTCAAAACGAAAGAGTTGACACACCAAACACACCGACTGTTGTTTTCCTATGAGTTGCCAAAAAGTGTCGCTGTGTTTCAGCAAATTGCATCTGATTAGAGCGAAAGAGAACGAACCTAACGGTGTTTCAACTCCGATGTGTTTGTTGCCGAAATCATTCGCACCAGCAAACGACATCATTCGCAATCGTTATCGAAGCAGTGTCAACGTAGTTTGAGTGTGCCATTTCAAATCAGTTCAATAAATTTTTGTAACAAGAAGCAATTTCTTTGGATACACTCTTGTGCTAAATGTGTACATAAGTTGTGCAAATATTCACATTTTCCAAAATGCAGCTGTTTTTCAAGGAAGAACTTAACATTTATCGCAAGATGTTTTGCCGCGAAAGCAAAAAATCAGTGTCGGGAATGGAAATTTTGGACGAATTTGTAAGTAGCAACATGATTTTGATTTTGCATTGCTCCATTGCTAAATAGCCGAACCCATTGGCCATACAGTTTTTTTTTTTCAAGTTATTACAATGATACAAATTCTTTGTTAAATCCATCGACAGGTTCGAAAGGTCCACGAATCCGCCATGTGCGCAACAAACATTCACGATATTCAGCGGTCGATTCGGTTGCTCTCGATTTTCTGCGAGATCTTGCAAACATTCAACATGAATGTTGAAACACTTGTGTCATCAATTGATGCGCACATTTACAACGAGGTGGTGGCCAATTCCACGAACACTATCTGTTTGCGGATGAAAGATTGGCTTGCCGATCTGTCATCGTATCAAATTGGCGACAAATTCACCGGTGTTATTTCATACGTTCTGGACGGCGATACAAAGCTGTGCTTCATCAAGGATCAGGAACGGTAAGTTTACGCATTACAATGACCGCTGGAACTATGTTTACTCTTGTAAACTTCAAATTATTTATTGTTACCATATCATTCAGTGGCAATACCGAAAAAAATCCGACCATTTCATTACCTTTTCTCCTATTTTCAGATACCCAACGCAAGATTTCAAAGATTTTCTGGAATCAGCATTCGATGGCATTCCAAGCTATGGTCATGTTTTTGCATTGCAACTCAATCAAAAATTCTTCCGTGCCATTCGCATTGACTCGGAGGTGAGTTAGTTTCTGTACTATCACATTCTTCGTATGACAATAACTGTTGTTCTTATCGCAGTCAACAAACATGGCGATTCGTGTTCGATTGATTGATATTGGTGAAACGATTTCGGTGTCACCGCATGCTTACAAATACAATTTGGTTGACGAAGCAAAACGGCTACCGCCGATGGCAATTTTATGCCGCGTTGGAAAGGTAAATTAATGTTGTAAACATTTGAGTCTGCTTTGTTCGATGCATGAAAAAGATTGATAACTAACGTATTATCGTGCATTATTACAGTTCGACGGCAAAGTGTTGAACTCGCTCAACACTCTCTACAAACGGACGTTTGAGGTTAAAATCACGGATATTTGCGTGTAGGTTGAACGTCATTTGGCTATGTTAAAATTTATCGAAAGTGTGTCTCAATTTGTAAATTCGATTTGCAGGAATATGCTTGAAGTTGAGCTGGGCTCAGAATTGGACAATGAACGCGATGCAATGGTGAGTGAATGAATTATTTTTCATAAAAATAGGTTTCACATGATACTTATTTTCCCATCAGAACGATTCAATACAAAAATCGATCATTGAGTGCTTTGAAAACTCGGATCACAACGAAGTGCAGCAACCACCGTTGACTCCAACAATTGCTCGATCGGCCACAGTTACACCAAATCCATTTCTAATGGAGTTCACCGAATCAAATGGCTATCGACCACAAACACCGATTCTCAACGGAAACCACACGGCAGCAGCAAAACCACTAGTTTCGCCAGCAGCATCGGTTGTGTCATCGGTTGCAGGGCGACCGCCTCTTCCACCGGTTCCACCACGTCAGCGACCAAAAGCATTGCCACAAATCCGGATCCCAATTGACATCATCCGACGTGGAAACAAGGTGTACGAACAAGGAAAGACGGAAAACAATAATCACGTGGATGCTGAAGCGTTTGAAAATACACCGAAAATATCGCCCGAAAAAATCGAGCCGAAATTGAATGGTAATTCTTGTTATGAAGATTCCGAGCTGATTATTCATGATCCATGTCCATGTCAATCAGGTGCACACCCAAAAGTTCCGAGCGTTCGACTGTACAACGGTATTTCCTTCAAAGAAATTCGCGGTAAGAGAACAATCAAATTCATACTTGGATTCTATAAATCATTTTTTTTTTTGAATTCACACTGAATTCGGTTTTGAATTTTGGTCAACAGAAGGTCTACTCAAGCCATCGATAGGTGAAGAAAAGGCGGTAACACCAACACACATCATCAGCGCCGAGTATATGTACGTTCAATTCAATGACTGGTTCCAACGATTCCAAGATTTTCATGCGATGATTCAATCGTTACAACCGAAACAGCTGAGCTACATTCCAAGTGAGTAAAAGTGTTTTCTTTTTCGAATGACTTTGTGTTTTTTCCTCAATTGCACATATAATAATGGCAACTTCTCAATTCTTTCATTTTTTTCAAGAACTGAATGATTATGTTTTGGCACGATACAATGATGGATTGATGTATCGTGCACGCGTCGAAGCGATTGAACAACGCAACGTAACGGCAAGTTTTTGAAGAATATTTTCAAACTTTAATGGGACAGAATGAATAATTTAATTGGTAACAGGTATTTTATATGGACTACGGAAACACGGAACAAGTTGAACTGGATGCACTTTTCGAATGGGACACGGAATGCAACCAATTTCCACTTCAAGCGGTTAAATGCCGGCTGGCCAACATTCGAAGCCTACCCGGATCATCGGCATCAAAGATTTGCGATTTCATCTATTCGCACTATCTCAACAAGACTTGCAAGGCACACATCGTGTAAGTTGCATGCATTTTAACTCAGGAATTGTGTGGAAATTCATACATTTTTCATCAAAACAGGGACATTTCGGATAACATACTGTTGGTGAAGCTGACCAACCAATACGGTCGTGATGTGATCGAGGAAATTAGCGCCAGTCTCTTCCCAGAATGCATTGTTTAGACGAAGAATGGAGGAATTGAACGGGAAAGTGTTGACATTATGTGAGAGAGGAAAATCAGCGAAACTTCATTCATGTAATTGAATTCAAAAACACAAACATTTTTCAAACAACAACATTAAATTTAACTCAAAATCATGAAGAATCAAGCATAAAACAAGTAAAGTACATCATTTTTGAAGAAGAAACTTGAAAAATAGGAAAAAAAATGATACAAAATACTAACACAAACGATTTATTATTGCTGATACAATTTTAAGTAGCAATTTCGATAGTTCTCTGAATCTAATACTATTTGTACTGACTAGGAATAGAATTTAAACTTAAAAAAAGACAGATAAAATCGAAATATATCACTATCCAAAAGAATCGAACCAAAAAATCCAATGTAGAGAGCTAATTCAATGTAGAAGCAAATTGAAAAACGACATAACTCAAAAATACATCAGAACAAACATGAAACAAATGTGAAACGAAAGGAAAATGAAAGAACAAGAAAAACTATAAGACGCCTAGAGTTAAGTCAATTACCATCCAAATCGCGTTGACTAGGAATAAGTGGATATTTAATATTTGAGAAAATTTATCGATTCAAAATGTTGAAAGGAAATCCAAAACACGAACCAATTTGATTTAACACCAGTGTAATTAATAATTTATATTGAACGGGTCATTCCCATCAAAAAATGCCATAAAGAGTGAATAAAGACAATTTTTGAAATTCAAAGTCTATGCATGTGTGTATGTTTCGGGGAAAAACAATCTTATTTGTCGTCATGCACCATATATATGCACATATGTGCAACATTGGTTCGATCCGAGTGAATGTTTCATTCGTCTCCATAACAGCAATAGCGGAACCGAAGAGCAATGCTTTGGTTCCAATAAAACGGTACCCATGAAGAGACTCGCATTGCGTTCGTTCGTTCGTTTATTGCATTGGCCAAACAATACAGACTATACAAAATTTTGTGTAAATACACGCTACATGCATATGGATGTGAAGGGTGTAAATAGACGGGCATGTTAAAAGTATGTTTGTTTGGGTAACGCTAGTAAGAAAAAATCGAAAGATAACGCGCGCGCATACGCATACGAATACTGAACAACTGACGCAAACCTAGTACATAGTATATAGTCGATGCCAATGCTAAGTTGAAATTTGCTAATCGACCCAAAAGTGAAAATCTCCTGCCGGGTACCCATATACTTCGACGATCTCATAGAAACAACCGTCTATTGTTCGTCGGAGAGTTACAGTAAAAAATAAACATGCACACATACACCGAGAAAATGTCGAGCAAATAAACATTCAACAAATATACTGAAAATAACAACATGTTTACGCAGCATCGGCAAAACTCAATAAAATCAACTTTTTCAGGCGCTAAACAATGGAAAAGAAAATTCAGCAATAAACTTGTCACAATTCATATCGATGAGAATTTCTGAGAAGCTATCGAAATGAGACGAATATATTTAACATTTCGTTCCCGCAGAATTGATGATCTCATTTTACAATTTTTGCAATTTCCGCAATTTCGAAACCGAAGGCGATTCACTCGTCAACCCATCCGTACGATGTATGATGTCATTTCAATCGTAGCTTGCTTAAATTTCGGTTCAGGTTTCAGTAAAGATAGAGGGCGCTCTATGTGATAGGATTACATTTGCGACTATGAGTCACTCCAATATATAGTAAATTATTCCGTAGCAATGTACACTTCGTTTGCACTATTCATTTGCAGCCATGTAGAAAAATCACGAAAATAGTTGAAATGAATGCATATCTTCAAAATACCATTAAACTACCGAGTTTGCAAATTAACAACTTGCAAAATAAATGACTACATTGTATGCAGTTGCTTATTATTCACGAACAATCTCAGTTTTGATGATGGCAAAAAAATCCATCAAATCTATTAATATATCCGTGAGTATGACGCAAGATGTCTTTGACCTTTTATCATGTGTGGCCTTTCCCATGATTATTAGCAGATACGACGCACCACTTTCCATTATCAGCTTAACATTTGACTTAAGATGTAATCGACTCGTGCAAAGACGTATTTTAAGGGATGCCTGAAATCGATTCGGCGTCATAAGCAGAAAAAAACGAGTCAAACCAGGTTATTAAGGTAGTCGTTAAAATGGTCGTTCCCCATGAAATATGAACAGCCTTTAGAAATATGACGATTGAAATAATTTCCATTTAAATTTCTCACGATTGATAATCAGCGCAAGTGATTCATCGAAAGGGAGTTTGAGAATCATTTGAAAATGGTAAAACATCCATTTCAAAGTAAAATAATATGCAATTTGAATACAGACGGTTGAAGCATTGATCCAAAGTGTTTCATTCATTTACTAAGAAATTCCGCAAGTGTATGCAAAACTAACGTTGCTGTGTGAAAATGTAAATAAATAACAACAGCCAACAGGGCTTGCGAAAGACAGAAACAGAAGTTGATGGAAACAAAGCACAAAAAAAAGCGCACACACATTAAACAAATAAAAAATGACATACTTAAGCAAAAATTTAAAGATCGTAAGCTTCATTGGGTGATTGTAAATTGCTATTATCAATGAAAATTGATATCAAATTTGTAAAAAAAACCATGAAAGTCATCAGAAATTGAAATGAAAATCAATTTGCGGCGTTTAATTGCTTGCCCAAAATAGAATGGCGATATTGATATAAATAATCGGCATGAACACCCAGTTTGCTCTCGTGTGGTGCATACATATATGTGCGTCTGGCGGTCAAAAAGTGCGTGAAGTACAAATTGTTCTTCATCCCGAAAATTCACATTGACCATAAATGAAGGAAAGCAAATCATAGCACAACACTAACTATAATCATTCATAAAATAGCCATAGAATACGGGGCCATACGGTGAGTCTAGAGCACAAAGCAATTCGTATGTACTTTCACATCAATATGCTTTGGTTCATACGCTAACACCAAATATGATCGAAAAACCAATTCCAATTACCCAGAGATTCGTGCGATTTGATATGCGGAGTGGTTCAACAGTGTGAGTGCATAGCAACAAACGACCACAGTACCACACAGAAACACAGCAATCTCGCCCAAAATGCACTACGGCAATAAGGTTGTTTATTCCATCGAACAGAGCTTGGCCCATGTACGAAGCGAGCGAGCGAGCGAGCGCACACATGCTGGGCGTAAGTCTTGTGCCGGGTGCCGTTTTAAATTTTCTGTATTAGATGTATGACGATGGGAACGATAAATGAACGAATGAAGAGGAGAGACAGAGAACAGCAAAAAACAACTCCACCGAACGGGATGTAATATGAGTCGCCGAATCAATGTTATTGTTGTTGCTGTTGCTGTATATTGTGTTTCGATGATTATAGTTATTTCGTGCGGTATTCATACAATGGCGTGTGCTTGTGTGTTAAATGCTCAAAATCCGCTACGGCATGTATGCGTGTGTGTGTGTGTGTGTGTGTGTATGTATTTCCGAATATATAGACCCACTGTGCGCTTCGTGAAAACCGAATGAAAAACGATTACGAAGATGTTGAAGGCCCCAATGTATTGCCGAGAATATTATTTATGCGAACCGCATGTAGAAAACAAACCCATAGACAATCACAATTTTTTTGTATTGACTGCCAAACAAACGCAAACAGACTCAGCGAGTACAAGCTCACATTTACAACAGAAACACAAAGCATACACTTGGCAGACAATCAATTTGTTGTTGGTATCGCGATATTTTTGTTTTTTACTTCTCTCTCTCTCTCTCTCTCTCTCTCTCTCACTCGTTTGCTACACTAGTCTTCTTTCGATATTTTCACCCAATTCCAAAAAAGATTGCATACAAATCAAAATCGATCGATGGTAAACGCTCGCCATGTAGTGGACCTACGCATCGATTCGGTGCCATCGAATGCCGATTGCAAGTGGAAAAGGGTGTAACAGCACTACATGTAAAAATATGAACAGACAATACGTGTTACATTTCAATTTCAAAACATATCTCCTTCGACCGTCTCGCTATTGGGCTAGACACGACTTTAAGGAACTCATTAGGTACACAATATTGTTATATATACGTACATATGATAGACAACGAACAGATTTCATGTAACGTTTTGTTCTGTTCTATTTACGCCGTTTGGCCCAAATTCGCAACTTGCTACCACGACAAGATTTGCCGTAATATTACCTGTCTCACTCGTTTACTTAATTGGATTTCACCAACGTTACAAACTTTCACTAATGAACGAAGGTTTTGACGAACTTTCATTACTTTAGAACAAAAAATTCCGCTTTGATCCATTGGTGCATTGTAGGAGCACTTCAAGATGTTGCTATTTTCGAACCGAATTTCTCGGAAAATTCGTTAGCCATTAGGCGTATGGATAAGCACATCATGTGATTCTTTCTGTAATCTGAATGGTTGGCGGTCATAACAACCATGTTCCACGAATGCATTTCTAGTTTGAGTAAATCCAAAAGAAAAAACAATGGGTGGATCAGGGACTGTTTCACTCTCAAATGCATCCGGTCGTATGTCGACCCTCAGACACTCATTTATATTTTTCCACATTTTTCCATATCGATTACTTTTCATACACCAAATTGTAATATATGTCTTTTGTCAAGCATATGACAATTATTCGTGTTGATTTCCCAGCCTAAAATCATCCATTATTCGGGGAAATTCAAATTGCTAAAACAGTTCCCAGGAAATGAATCAGGATCGTTTTCGTGCGTCAGATGTTCTATTTGCGATATAGCTAGTCATTATTCGACGATCAATATTTGCTCATGCGTCATTTTTTAGTGGTTTTCCATAGAAAAAAAAAACTGTCTGTGTTCCTCTGGAAAATTGGGCTGCGATAAGATTTAGTTGATAAAAGATAAGGTTTGTTAGTAATTCTTGGGATTTTATTATTGCTAATTGCATGCAGCTTAGTCAGTTGAGTTATTATTGATAGATGACAGTCAGTAAACAAGTAATTCGATGAATTATCATTATATTTTAGTCATATGACCCAATCGTTATCGAGATTGTTGATTGAAGCAGATTTTTTTCTATAAAATTCAAAAATGGAACAAAAAGGTAGGCGGTCAGAATTAATGTTCTAAAATGCGCTTCGCAGTAAATAACTAAAATATGATATAATTTCGATGCAATCTCGAACGAAAGAATTTTTCATTTTCGAATTCCATCTCAGGAATGGAAAGTCTCAACGAACCCCATCGTCAATCTCGTTTCTACTTTTTCACAAGGGGAATGATTGCACATTGTTAGATTTCATCAAAATTACGACGGAATACTTCGAGAAAAATTCCGATCTTCTGACATAATTGAGTGGTACCGGTCGATGAGCAACCACAATGTGGGCCATAAATTGTGGGTATTGCGTTTACATGGATATTGAGCGATTTGCAAAGTGTAGTGGAATAATCTTTACATTTTATACTCGGTTCCAAGTATGCAAAAAAAGCACGTATTAAAACTCTAATATCACACACTTTACAAGGGACCAGTGAGCTTGTCTCAAAAGTGTATGCGGTATATAGCGGATAGCCTTTTAAAACAAAAAATTAGCAAGGAGTACATAGCGTAAGGTCGGAATGTATCATATCCATTACAGCTGTAAAAAAATAGCATTGCGCCACCGATTGTTGAGTAGATCGACATTTATGTCCATCAGCGAGCGATTTTGCCATGGTGATTGTATCGTCTGCATGTACATGAGATCTCATACCATTGAATTCGTTCTTATATGTTCGATGATTGTTATCCAAAAACTCAATCTTCAATTTCATGCAAACAACGAACTTTAGATGAACATCGTTCATTATACTTGGAATGTGATATCAAAAATATGAAGAAAAAATATTATATATCTGCTGATTTTTTTTTGCACTATTAGAAACTTGGCAAAGAAAAGGAAAAACTCCATCGAACTATGATTGTGAATGTGTTGAACACTAAAAATTGCCAAAACTTACATATGTTTGGTATATGTATAGTATGTTTCAACTCCGCATACTCAACCTATAAATATATATGTATATATACAATAGTATCGTATCACGATTGCCAGTATTCCACCACGAAGAGGCAATACATACATAGTGTGGCTGATACATGTGAGAGAAAGAGAGATTCGTTGGATTTTATGTCTTTTCATGTCTGTTTTCTTTTTTATTTTATTTTTTTTTTCGTCTGCCCGTTCGTTCGTTGGTTCATTCAGACTCTCTTCGCTTGGCCGTGTATATAAATCATGCATTATTCATTTTGTGTGCAGAGTCTCTGGACGGGTACCCGTTAATTCGCACGAAACAACCGAAAAAGCAACGGCGACAACAATTACAACAACAAAAGACCATAAATGACGAATGGCAAGCAAAATTTATTATAGCTGAAGACAGAAAAAAAAAACACACACACACACACAGACGAAAAAGAGAAAATATGAAAAAGAAATGATGAGTTTTTTTTTGTTTTTATTACGAACAAATAGAACAGCTTCGATGAGTGTGGTAGTGGTGTGTGCCTGGTAAATGCCCGTCAATAAGTTGCTCAATGTAATTGTGTGTTAAATATTATGTATTTATTTTTTCTGCTTCTTCTTCTTATTCTTCTTTGATATTGTTGTGTGTGTGTGTGTGTGTGTATTCGCTCTCTCCTATATAAGAAGCAGCTATTTCTTTTCAGCTATCTTGTTATTTTTGAGTTCACCTCGTTTCGATGCGGGCTCCTTTGAGCACCTATCTACCTCTGCAACTAAAGTCTTTTTACATGCTTTTTTCATTTATTGGTACCTTTCTTTCTTTCTTTTTTTAACTAATAAAAAACTTTGCTAACTCTTTACGATCCTTCTGGGCTTTATGCTGCTCTGCCTTTTATTCCACGGAGTGTTGATTTTTAATGCCTGGATTTGTGTTGACTTCATCGCCTGCCACTCTGTGTGTATAAATATATATTTCTCATATATACATACATACACACACTAGTTGACCTCGATCAAGACTGTTTCTACCATAGGTCTCCCTGGATGTTTGACTTTGTTGTTTATTGCTCGTTGTTCTCGTTACGACATATCGTTCGCCATTGGAATTTATTTATATTTCACATTTTAAAAATGTCTAAGGTTTTTCTCTCACCGCTACTGTTGTGCTGGTGGACTTTTTCGACTAAGCACTGATTTTATAATCACATTTAATTAGTCATTTTCATTTCTATAGTTTTGCAACATTTAAGAGGCAAACGATTTTATGACTTTTTTCTTTCAAAATTTTCGATCGCAATAGATTTTCATATCAGTCACGTTACATGGTATTCAATTTCCGTTTGTTGATTGAATGCACTATTGGCTGAGCTTGAAATTACAAATGCTCAAAGGGATTTTCAACGAAATTCACCCATACCAACGGATGCACGTGTGTATACGCGTACATATACGAAAGAGCATTGGCTACTCTTTTCGAATTTAATTAAATCTATTTACTTTGCTATGAATCGTAGAGACTGTATTTTAAGTGCAGCGTCATCATGAAGTGAACGGTACATGGGTAGTGGTGTCACATTAATACATTTTTTTTAATATATAATGGCTCATTCAAAAAAATTAAATTTATATACCACATTTGAAATTAGATTTGACATTTTGAAATCAGATGACCTTCAGTTGTGATAGCAAAAACTCAAAGTCGACAGACAAAACTCATTTCAACCGCTTTACACTGCAGTCTGTTTCAACATAAATATCACAATACTCAGAATAGTATTTCACGGGCCATCAGTGGTTACCAATACGGTCATTTTTTCGGCGTTTTATCATTGTGATCTCTATAGATGGCGCTCGCTTGTTAATTGCCCATTCCAAAGTTTATTTTTAAATTATGGTTTCAAAGGTCACCTTCAGGTAGAATAGAAGAAAAATATTCATTTCAAAATAGACACTGCAGAGTACTTAAGCTAATCGCTTCGAGAGCTGTTTTCAGATATTGTTTTTCTTTGAGTGGCAATCGATGCGAGCAGACGCGAAAAATTCATTAGTGCAAACCATTTAAGTATGTAATGTGCACCATATAGGAGGCGATGGGATCCAGTAAAATAAACAAACGCTGCGCTCCAGAGTATTGAATGGCAAGCGAAAACATGAAATAGCTGGCGTTCGATATTTCAAAGCTCGTATCGTATCAGCATCGGGGCCGAATCACGTTCAGTTGCTATGTTTTACATATCGATTGAATAGACTAAACAAGCATTTTTGTCGTTTGTTTTTTCTTTTCCTCTCTTCGGGATGAACGAATCGAGATGCACTTTGCGCGCTACGCATTCTTTTCTCTCTCATACGTTGGCTCGTTGAAATTTTTTGTCGATCAAGGGCGGACGAAACAAAAATATTTTCGAGTTTGCGTCCATAAAAAATATTTGGGCCGGTATTTTGTATATCAAAATAACAAATGTATCTGTCTGCTAAAAACAAGGTATTCGGGAAATTCCGGCTGACAGAGCCGAAAAATTTGTTTTGCAAAAAGTTTGAAGAAATTTTACGCTCTTGTAGAATATATAGAGTGAACGAGCAGTAAATTTTATGAAATTGTCACAATCGAATGGTATGAAGATTTTCAGCAACCATGTAAAAGTCTTCACGTTTGTTTCGCTATCAGCACGTTGACAAGAACAAGTATAAGGATTTCATATTGAATAAAACAAAGAAAAACGTGATCAACTTTACACGTTTTTTGCATTGACCTTTTCTACAATGTTGTTGCGCGATGCAGAGACTAACGCGCAAAACTAGCGTAGATACCAACAAAAGACAGCAGTGCAGTAAAGCGAGTTGAAGTGGAATGATTTCAACATTTTGACCGGTAATGCATGTAATGGAAAGGGGCATAAATGTTGGAGACCCGAGCATATAGGCAAGTATATCGCATTGTCCTTCAAACCAACAGGGGTTTGAATTAGGCATCAGGGCATAGTATAAACCGTTCTTCCAGCCGATGCATTTAGACGCTCATTTTTCCAAAGAAAATCCATTATCTTATGGCTACTGATATCGAAATTCGAGCAGTTATAAGGATTTCATATGAAAATGTTCGGCTATGCAACCAATCATAAAATTGATCTCGGATATTTTTTCTAGCTATGGTTGCACACTACTACTGTTGACACCAAAACTGAATATAACTGGATTTTAGTCGAAAAGTGAGACAAAACCGAGACCGCCCGAAATCGAATTGAGTGTTGCGAGTGTTGAGCTAGGGCATTTGGAAAGCGCTTTTAGTGTCGGTTCTGTCTGATGAAATCTATGTGGCATGATATAAATATATGTTTCGAACAGTCAGCGTTATTTTAAAGTACATAAGCTCCAAAATTATTCTCTATGTAGTATGTCGCTGTCGATATACATAGGTGCACTTGTTTTGTTTGCTTGTGTGGGTGAATGTGAGCGTAGTATCTTTCAAAACAATCGAAATGAGACGAGAAAAAAAAACTGAAAATATAATTTATAAATAATGCATATGGTGGTAGCCTCTTGAGAACACCCATACCATGAAAAACAGCAGAAGAAGAAAGAAAAAAAAGAGATCCAAACGGAAAATTGTGTTCAGATCGCCCGCCAAATCATTTTGGTACACAGAGAAGAATAAGTATCAAGAGCAAAGACGATGTAGACAGCAGCGGGAACCAAAGCTGCTGTATCGTACGCGCTCATCAACTGCATGAACAAGAAAACTCGTGTATATAGTGAAATTAAAAAAAAAGTACACAAAAAACAACAACAATCATGCACTACCTAATAAGCGTGCACACACACAAGCATGCGGACACGCAAGTCCGCAATACCATGGCCCACACACACACACACACATAAACCTTATATACTGAGCTCCATTCGCAATAACGTTTCATTGCTATGTATTTATATATAAAAGTCGTGTATATACACTAAATTATGGACTGTGTGTGTTAGAAAAAAAAGGTACCGAACAACAGCGATGTATGTAGCTGAGCCAAGCACGTCATTTATCGAGGCCTCGACGGAGACTTTGTACTTTTTTAGAGTAACACATATCAATAGTCTTATACGACTGTTCGTTCACCATGCACACACATCAGTCGTATTTTATCTGAGTGTGAGGAAAGATCCCGACTTTGAAAAATCATCATCACCAACGCCAAGCAAGAATGAACTATAGGAGAAATTTCTCTCGCTTCTAAATGCAACTTTCAATACACGACAAATGGCTGAATAAGAAAAATTCGCTTTTTTAACCTGCAAGACTTGAATTTTTTTTTAAGTTTCATACACAAATCGCAGAAGCGTAAACAGCATTTTGTTTCGCGTAAACACTTCGCAGTAGGCTAAGTGATCGTATGTCTTTGTTCAATCCGCACCGATACATTTACAAAATGAAAACGAACAATTTATGACTGAAAACAAAACTAAAGTGAGAAAAGTTCCAAATTACAAGTCAATGTATGTGCTAATTAAATTGTTTTTGAATGAAAAGTCACAGATTTTGAAGGAAAATACCGCAACAATATCTTGACAACAAATATACAATTTGGATAAAAGTGTGTGTTTCGGACAATATGTTTCGAATGGAAATTTGAAATGAAAAAAGTCATAATTTAAAGCGGACAATAACAAAAAAACACCCCAAAACCCAATTCGTATTAGTGAAACAGTTTGGCAGTTTGTTGAATCGATTCGTCGGCGGCGACAGTGACAGCGGCTTCATTCTTGTTTGCTCATTTTGAAACGTGACTTTATGGAATGTGCCGATTCTCTTTCTCTTTCTCCCATAACCAATTTTTCAAAGTGAAAGAGTGCATAAATTGAGCATTATTTGTTTCTTTTCGTTCCGTCCAAACTGAATTTGATGAAATGTCATCGCAAATTGATATACCCTCATATTTGCGACAATTGTCAAGCTACGACACCACGCTAAACTTAACCATGTCTTCGCAGAGTAAAGTCAAAGAAGAACGGCACGATGATGCCGAAATTCGTGAAATGGCGGAAAAAATGCGCGAAGCACATAAGATACAATCAGCCAAAAATGCCGCTACACAACAACAGCAACTGGCAAATCGAATTCAAAACAATGCGGCTACACTGCCCGGTGGCCAAGCAAATATGATGAACTATGTGATGCGAAAAAATAATGCAATGCCATCGTCAACGATACTGAGCAATGCAAACGGAGTGTCACAACTGCAATCGGCTGACAAGCTGAAGCAAACCAATGATTCGGAGAATGGCGAGAAAAAACCCTGTGATGAAGAGAGTCAACGCGGTCATTTTGGCTGGGCGACATTCGGAAAGATACACATTCCATACATTTTGCGACAAGGTGAAAAATACTGTGCGGTTCGAATGGTTGAAAATAAACTGTTAAACAAGTATCTCAGCCATTTGCATCAGGATATTTACAGTTGCACGTGTGTTCGAAGCTACTATATTACGGAAGCCGAAAGTCGTCTATTCAACGAAATCAATCACAAACACTGTGACTCACAGTTTGGCCGTGAAATGTTCACGTTAAAGGATTTGGTGGTGCGTTTGAGCGATGCAAATAAATTCTTTCAATTTTTGGACGTTTGTTATAAGAAATTGTTAATGGGCAGCAGTGGACCATCGGACAAATGTGGTTTCATTCGAATTAACAAAGAATCAGTTGTCCCATACACGGTGCGAGACACCCAACAATTCGTACCATTATTCTATTTTGAAGGTGAAACCGACAATTTGAAACTGAAAGCCGACTACTTATCGGGATGGGATTTATCGTATTTGAAATTCTGTTGTAAAGTGCAAGGCATTCGAAATGAATTGTTCGCCAGTGATTCCGTGGCAGTGATTAGTTTAACTGATATTAAAAGCTACTTTCCCGTTGGCACCGAATTCGAAGATTATTGGCCAAGCAAAGTGGTGGAGAATCAATTGCTAATCGGCTCATCGACAACTAAACCAAATGGCAGCTCAGTGCAATGGACTCGTCAGCCAAGCCAACCTCCCCCAAAAGTACCAAACCCACAAATTCAGAAAATGAACGAGGCTCGCAAAGCCAACGCTTACGCGAATCGACTTGCACAACAGGTAATTAACTATCCATTGGGATATTTTCCACTTATATACAATTGTAATGTTGAAGATTGAACTGACGCGTGGTTTCCCATTTTTAGCAACAAGCAGCCCAACGTGCAGCACAACAACAGCAACAGCAGCAACAGCAGCAACTACAACAACAGCAACAACAACAACAACAACAGCAGCAGCAGCAGCAGCAGCAGCAACAACAACAACAATTACAACAGTCACTAACAGCCTCATCGTCGAATCAGAACTTAGCAGCAGCAGCTGTTCAGGTAAGCCTTTGATTCCCATAAACTCCATTCAATGATGACGAATCCTTACTAAATATTGATTCTCTTCACTTTGAGCAGCTGTGGCAGCAAAACATAGGTGGAATGAATAATGTGATGTCTCAAATGTCCCAATTGTCACAATCGGATTTTACTCGACTAATGGCACAGGTTGGTATTGAGTGAAAAAAAAAAACAATTGTGCCGTCCGTATGTATCATTAATGAGAACTTCTATAATCTTTTAGCATCAGTTACAGGCACAGGTACAAGCTCAAGCCCAACAACGTAGCACCTATTCACAACGATCCTCACAAATGCAAAACCAAATGACAAGCCGACAAGGATATGGAAACTATGCATCAAACGCACTAAATCTTGGCTCAATGAATCTCCCACAAATGCAATCACCGCCACCGTTGGTCAGATCATCACAAAATTCCGCCGCGTAAGTGTATTTTCATCATTTGTTTAAACGAAAAAAATCCCGTTATTTTAACGAAAAAACCGACCATAATTTAAATTTTCTGTATTTCCGTTCCATTAGATCAAGCTCGGCTGATTATCGTCGACAACAACAGATTCTGCAGCAGCAACAACAAGCACAAAGACAAATGTCGAGCATGATGCATCAGCGTCCGGCCCATTCACAACCACATCAATCTCTGGGCTCTTATGATGGCTCCGGCCGATATAAGGTTATTCAAGACGTTCAACCCATGGGCCATGCGCTGCCGTTTAAAAAGTCACAATGCACAATTCAAACGAATACGGTGCCGTGTGTTAACATGAATCCGTACGAATATAATGAAATGCTCATATCGGTTGTTGACTTCAACGAACTTCTTTTCCCGAACTTAAGCTTTGAAATGTGCATTGAGCGCTTGTCAGTATTGAAGATTCAGCAATACCTTGGAAACCGGTAAGCGAAAAAAAATCAGAATATAGGACGATACATATTCTTAAGAAATCGTAAAACCATGGCTAAAAATTCGTTATATTTTCATTCATTCTTTAACAGTGATCAAGTGCAACTAATGGGCATAAATCCGAAGGTACCGTTTGTGCGGGTGCGCGATATTATTCAACACTATCCGCAATTGAGTTACATGGCTCAAGCCCAAGATCAACCGCAAGCAAAGCGATCGCGTATAAGCTAGGAGATGAGTTGGGGGATAATGTCTTATCCCCCAAAAGAAACTGAACACGATACAACAGCAGCTGCAGCAGCTGCAGCAGCAACAGCAACAGCAATCACAACAAATTTACAACACAAGCAACCGAAATCTCAATCGCTCTCATCATCCACTGTGTCCTCGTCGACGCCGATCAATGAAGCGATTGCCAGAAATCTAACATCAACTATGGACTTAACCTACTCACATGAATATGGAAGTAGCAGCAATAGCACCAGCAACAGCACCAGTACTAAGCCGAATAGCGGCGGCTCAACCGATAGGCCAACAAGTCGCTACTATCCAATCAGTAAACATGAAATGTTACCAAATAGCTACACACCCGGTCACATTGTATCAGATTCAGTTTCGCCCCGTTCAACTACCACCTCTCTGGCTGATCCACACCATCCAAACTCATTCTATCAGCACCATTCACTAGAGTTACCATCACCGTCATCTTCAACATCATCGCAAACATCTAAAACAAATCTTTCGCTATTTGGCTCATACTCACCGAGCCCATTCCCATTATTACCAAATTTATCATTCGATTCGCCTACTATATTTCCACCAACACCGCCTCCTTCGGCCTGGAATCCATTTTGGTAAGGACATGCCGGCGAAACGCCATGACTCTTTGCTTTTACTTGATAGGGCCGAAAGATTGCTGTTTGTTATTTTTTTCTCTCTATATATTGTTGGAAATAACTCACTCATTTAATGAATTTAAACGGATATTAAAATTTTATGTACATAAAACACTGTAAATAAGTGAGAAACAAAAACATACGCTATTTTAAGTTGAAATAAAAATAAAAATTAAATCAAAACTACATAATTCGATGAAAATGAAAAAAAGGAGAAAAAAAAACTAGGAATATGTCTCAAAGATCAAACACTGATACTGTATAAGCCAAACAAAAAATAAATTATGCAAAAGTCGAAAAGCTCTTTGAATGCTATCAAAAACCGCAAAAAGTTACTATTCATTAGAACTACCATTCGATGTATTTAATTCATAAATTAGACATCTATCATTAAACAATCTATATTGATGGAACAGAACACTCTCATTGCTTAATCCTTATGAAAGAATTGATATTTTAATTTATGTTATGTACTGAATAACGGATTAATGTTTAACTATCTGAGAAGCAAAAAAAAGAAAACAATAAATCGATACAAAACACAACATTGATGGTAGAATCACTGTATGAATTAATACATGCACTATTTTAGCTACGCGGCCATTGAATATTACGTTGCAATGTGATGTTGTGTAGAAAAAATGTATTACGAATTTAGCTCAACGAACGCAATTCTTTCTACTAGTTATGAAGTTCATCATTCATCAAGCAATTAGGATCAAAAGTGGAAAACAGAGAAGAAAAAAACAAAATGTTTAGTCAATGTCGAAAGTATTAAAATTGAACGGAGAGAATTCGAAAAGAATGGAAAACAAAAGTGAAAAATTAAAATCGTTTAGGCTCTATATTTATTGAAAGAAATTTCGGTTTTCGTTTTTCTAAGACAAAATATTAGTTAATGTGGTAAAAATAAACATGAATTTCTATTTCAAACTACAACTTATGCGAATGTTGTTTGTTTTTAATTCAAGCAATATATGGTAGCATCTCTGTGTTTTCAGTGCGTCATGAGAAAGTGCAGTGGCGCTTATAAACCTCTCATTCATTCAGATTTCTTACAATGGTATGCATAATAATGATAACAACGCACAAACATTTTTTTATTCTTGAAATGTTGTTATAGCTCCGCTGACAATTTCACATGCTATCTCTTTCCGTTCTTTCTACACCGAGAATCATATACACACACCAATACGATACGAATGTTTCGCAATGTCGTTTGATGTCGTTAACCGAATCAAATCCATAAACGTACAAACCAATTGGAATTGCATCTTCCAAATCATCTAACCGAATTAAGCGGAGCGCCAGTAGCACGATTGCGGTTCATGAAATTAAAAAAGATTAGTGTGTTGCAACCCTTTCGCAATTGCAATATCAAATTATAAGACCCATGGAATAGACGAGAAAATCGGATTAAGTAATGAAGTCACTATCCGCACACAGTCAGAAATGATAATCAACAGTCGTTGCAATAAAATCGTAAATAATAGCCAGCTACTGCGAAAAGGACATGAAATGGGATGGTGTGTTATACTATATGTTATGCGGTGAATTAAGCAACAAACCGACCGCAACGACAGATAAGAAGGTGCATTACATTTGCCGGATAGAGCTGGATCGTGATAAAACTGAAACAAACAGAAAAAAATTAGTATTAAAAAAACCCTTCTCGAAACGGGAATAATGACATCGTCAGCAGCTCATATATTCCGTTGGCTATGATGTGAAGATATGCGCGCGTATGGGTAAAAACAAAAGGACTTAGTGTGTACGGTGTAGTCATTCTGATCGATATGATGTGGAATGAATGCGTGCGGCGCATGCTTCTTCCTTCGAAGCGCTCGCCGTTACACACACAAACACAATAAACGGTTCGAAATGAGCGAACGAACGAGCGAGCGAGAGGAAGTCGATGATTTTGTGTTTGCATTTTTCTTTCCATTCTTCTCGTCGGAGTGAAAAATCCATTGGTTATTTCGATGACTGTGCATGCAAAACGACAATGTATATAAAGCTAGAAAAGAGAAAGAAAGAGATAGACAGGGAGAGATTGAGAGAAAGATGTGTAAAACACTTTGAAAAAGAGTCGAGAAGAGTGCTTTTCAGTAACGCTTTCAACGATGAGGTTGGAAAAATGCTATCGGTAAAACGGAGCGGCTGGTACCAAATAGCAAGAACTTTGTTATGCATGAGCTCTCTCGCAATCTCTCCGCGGTTTCAATTGTGTGCGCTTTGTGTGTGTCTGTGTGTTCGTCGATCCAACACACAGTGTTGAAGTTAAGCGAGAGGGAGTGTAAGTGCGTAAAAAACACATATCGCACATTTTTTCTTTCCTTCTGAAGCATATTTTCTACCACATGAAATGAGTGTAGCTTTGCTCTCAGAGTGGCAGCAGGCAGGCAAGCAAGCACAAGCAATAAGAAAAAAAAGCATCCAAATCCGATTGACATCGAACACAGAGGTGGTGTTTTTTGTTGTTGTTGTTGTTTTTGCCTTCATCATTTTTCTCTTTCTCACACTCGGAATACTATAGTTGTGTAAACAATTTGGCCATAGTCGTCATTTAGTTCTCGATGGTTTTTGCACCAGCACATTATGACTTTGTCCGTTTCCTACATACGTTTATCAATTTTTATCAACTCACCAAACCCACTTTGTTGCAATTACACACACAAACGGCGTAAAAAGTGTTAAAGTGTTCTCTAATTTCGTGTGGTGAAGTATCTTTTTTTTTATTTCGGTGCCGTGAAGAACTTTTTTTTTTAAATTGCACGAAAAGCGAGCGGAAAACAGACGGTAAAAATTGGCACTACAGTGTGGTCACAACTAACAGTAGCGGAGAAAAAAAGAAGAACTTGAGATAGGGAGAAGAAAAGCAGTGTGTAATAGTTGTAGAGAGTTCATTCGTGTGCAATTGCCAATTGATTCGGTCATTGGCCACACAGTGCCGAGTAGCGAGAGCACAAGGTGAAATTTTAACTTCGAAAAAAAAACTTTGCATTACACTTCTCAGACAAACTCAGTCGTTTACAGATCGAATCAAGCATTCGAAAAAAAAAACATAGAAAACAAATAGAGTGAAAAAGAGAGAGAAAGAGACAGAGACATGGTATGCATTAAATATACTTAACCTTTGCCAGTCGAAAGTGGTGTACCTACGATTGAAGGCGCAGAGAAAGACGTACAGAAGAAGTACGAGCCAAAACGAAAATATAATTAAAACAAATACTCAACGCGCACACAATATGTGAAACGAAACGCAATTCCGTAGATTTCATTTGAATCAAACTTCTCGTGATGCCAAAATCAAAAGTTCAGCATACATACAATGTAACAAACGTACACACATCGGGCGGAAGAAATTCGGGAATGGGTGGTTCGTTATCAGTGTTGCAGCTTTGCCAAGCGAAGTGCTAAACCAATCGTAGTTAGTTGAATAAATTTTGTGCGAATTTAATTAAATTTAATCGATTAATCTCAATTCTTCGATTGTAAGTGGTTGAGCTGTCGAAAGAGAGAGAAGAGAATAATAACACAGTGTCAATTAAAATGGAGCGAGTGTGGCGAAAAGTGAACCAGGGACTATCCAACACAACATCAACTTTGCTGAAGCAATCGCGTAACAACAATAATCGAAACAGCAATAGTAATTATAATTTTGGTGACGCAGCAGCAGCAGCAGCAGCAGCCACTGCCAATCTTCGACATTCAGCATCGATTCACATTGAAGAGGGCCCGGTCTACGCAAATGTGCCACAATACAATCGTGGCTGGGGCTACATCGACACATCGAAATGCCGTAAACGACGGCGAAAAATCAAAACACGACGAAACAGGTAAACTTAAAATATTTATGTCCATTCCTTCTTTTTTCTTGAAAGAAAAAAAAAATGTACAAAAGAATCACTTCGACTTTGTTGTTGTACCCCGTGAAAAATATAGTAGGTATATGTATTCAAATTGAGCTCGGTCATTGTATGAAGGTGCATTTTGTAAGCGACGATGCGGCAAATCTATACAATTGTATAATCGTAATATTTTCCACTTCGATGGTGAAGTGTTATGGTTTCCGTGTGAATGCCACTTTGACCAGCTTCTATTCTTTTCGCCTATGCTCCCTTCGTGTCTAATTTTTTTCTTTCTTTCTCTGTGTTTATTTTGCACTAGAAAAACTTCATTGACCGAAAGTTTAACTCGTTAGCTAACTAACCACGGTCTTCACTTACTAACTGTTATTGTTTTTGTGTCTGCTAGTGTGCTCGTGCTTAATTGTACGTGCCTGTATTTGATTTATGTGATGCGCCCTAACTCCAGTGTGAATATGTGTTATACGGCAACAAAAGTTATGACTCATTTTTCGGTACTATAGCGTCACTCTAAACGCGCATTGTTGACATAACACAAAACTCGATTGAACATTAAATAAGGGCTTTTGACGCCATCATCCATCGCCAATTTAGTCAATTTCATTTGTCGAAATTGAATGAGAAAATGAGAATGTGAAAAGGAAGCCAATACAAACATTGACTTGTTTTGTACATGCACTTTTTGCCATTCTTATTCTTCATCATTCAATCAAGTTAGCTTCATTCCCAGCCATTTCCTAGTTGACATGCCTTGCTTTCTCCCAATCATTCTTGACATAATTGGATCGGACATGTCTCTGCAATCTTCTGTAGTTTCTTGCTCGTTTTACATTTTTTTGTGGTGTATTCACGAAGCCCGTGGTTGTTTAAAGCCAACAGTGTGCTGTCTGCCACTGTCAACTGCATATTTCCATATAATCGTTGTGCATTTTTTTCTCGTATTGTACAGCAGGCAATGATAGAAAAAATTTAGGTCTTTTAAAAGTCATTGCGGTCGCAGTATCTTCCCTGAGCTCACTTTATCTTACATGGGGTCAAGTGCTTTTATTCTTTTGCTTGTTGTTTGCTCTATGCTCTCTCTCTCTCTTATTTTCATACCGAACAACAACAAAAATCACAAAAAATAACGCAGTAATCAATAAACGAAAAAGTTCCGCATCAGAGAGAGAGGGGGGGGGGAGAGATTTATCAAAAAATCGATCAGCAAACTTTATTTTTATTCCCAGAATTGTTGCTTTATTTCCTGGAATTTTTTCGAGTATTTACCTTTGACTGACATAGTAAATATATGCGCTATCGATTTTTTCCCATTTTCGACCAGTTTAGCCGTGAGCTCAAATTTTCCGACGCATTCCGGTTTTGTACAGAATGTGACTGGATGAAGCCAAAATTCATAGTATTTTTTTGTGAATAAATTTTCAGTTCAAAGAACAGACAAAAAGTTTTCCGATGCAGTGGGCTGGTTGCTTCTCTTTGATCAAAGTTATTTTAGTATCTAGAATATTCATATTGTAATTTGTCACTGGTGTTGTTGTTTCAAGTTTTGTTCACAGCCTTTCTAACTCAACGTTGATTGCGACATTTTATTATTTTTCTTGTTTGCATCTTCTTTACCATCAAAATAACGCATATAGCTCTAAAGAGAAACACTCCAAAAACAAGAACGCTGACAAAACAAAGGGGGCGTCAAAGGAAACTTCGCTGCGTGAGCGAGCCGTTGCCAAACTGAAAATTTTAAATTTCAACATCAACTGGGATGTTCATATGAAGCCATGCGGGTATGCTATATTTTTTTCAATTTGCTACTTTGTTTGCTACTTTCTTCAGTCTTTCATTGTATGCCACCAGCGACCAGCGGAAAGTTTTTAATCAACTTTTTCCATTCATGCATTTTATTTTGAACATTTTTATTGTTCGTAGATCACGTGTCAATACAAACATTTTAACGAGACGATTGTGCCGTAATAGATCTTGCGATGACAACGAATTATACCGATCTAATAGGTATGTGTTCACTATTTACTTTCATGAATTTTTTTTTTTTGGTTTTTTTTCTACAATTTCCTTCTATTTCTATTTTTCTCCTCTTCATTCATTTAATCGCATAGTTTTAAATTTGAGCGATTTCGCCGTGACGATACCGATGCGGCGATTGTGTCTGTTAATACATTACCGAAACAAGTGAGTAAACAAAGTGCATTTTTTTATATATATTCATACCGCCCTGAAAGTGTATTGAAATTTGCAACAAAACGAGGTTGTTTTGGCTTGAATGGTTTTTATTTTTATTTTCCCATATATTTTATTCATGATACGAGCACTAAATGTGTTAAAGGGGCACGGAAATCCACAAAAAAACATGATTTTAGTACTATACGTTCGCATGATGAATTATTCATATCGATTTTTACGGCAAACGTTTTTTGATCAAATTTTCAAGTTTTCGAATTCGACCCTTGTCAGCTGAAGCAGTCAGCGATGATGTCACGTTGCTGGCCGTTTGTTTGATGGTTGACGCAATCGAATTCTCGCTGGAGGATGATTTTATTGCATTCGTCAAAGGTGTGTTTGCTTCAATGGAATCGCTATCATTTTCAAATGGATTTGTTGATTGTTGTACTGTGTCTTTTGGAGCCATTCGCTTATACAGTTCGAGTAAATACGTGGAATCAGATCGTTTTAGTCCTTTCATATCCATTATTTTATTGAATTCGGTTTGAGAACTTTCCGGCAATAGTTTTAGGTAATGTTCAATGAATGCTTGAGCAGGTGTTGTCGGTTGCATCACAATTTTGATAATCATTTCGGCTTTTGTCATTCCTTTGACCACCACTTTTGAGTAACTTGGCGGTGCTTTGCGCTTCACCTGCGATCCAATTGATGGCAAATCGAGTAGAATTGTTTTCAAACTATGCGCAAAACAAAAAAAAAAAATCATGAAAAAACTAAAAAAAATTCATGAAAATAATTAGTGAACACATACCTATGCGTATCGAGCAAAAGTTGCTCACAACCAAGGATACTATTGTTATTGGCCACACCAGACGATGCATTTGCGCTAGCCGAATCTGAATTCGATGCCGACGAACTATTCATCAGACGGCATTTGTATAATGCATTTATGTAGCGGGGAATGAACGAATTGACGAATTTATGACAAAATTGTGTATAATATTTTCGAGACGCTGATAAATTATCGCGAATGATTGGAATGGTTGTATGGAAATTTGATAGAATTGAATTGACGAAGGGACTTTGATCGCCAACATTTTGAATGTTATACCAAGTAGTCTAGAATTGGATGAAATCAAGTTTTTGGGTAGAATAAACAAAGAGAGAACATATTTATAAAAAAAAATGTACCTTATTCATAACAATGAGCGCTGCTTCGCAGCCACATTCAATGTCTTGCACCATAAGGTGGATACAGTTTGAAATACAGCGATGGAATATGTCTTTTTCATCGGATAAATCAATTTTATCGGTATAGGCCTCATCACTTTTCTCTTTTAGCTTGGCTTCCAGTTGATCGACTGTTTCCACACAATATTCCGCCGTTGTCAAGATACAACACAAACGAACGATTTCATCTCGAGAATAGCGCGGTTGATCACCTTCTTTTAGGAAGTTTTGAATCACATTACCAGCTGCCGTCGACAGGTTTTGGAAGTCTTTTGTTAGCATCGACATACTTGTGCCTACTAATTTTTGTATTTATCATTAGTGCTTATTAACGAACAAAAAAATAAGGTAAAATTCATTCATACTCACCCAAAGAAGTTGCCTGTGCAGATGCTTTCGGCATTTTTTGTTCCAAGATTTTGCTAGCGTATTCGCGAAGATATTTCTTGAAAATTTGTGTCAATAGATACATCGGCCGCTCAGTGCTCAATTGAGTGCATTGCACCAAGCATTTCTTATAGAAAACGAACAAATCGGCGCAACTGTAATCGATAAATATTATTTCAAATAGTTTCCATAGTATGAATGAACGTTCTTAAGCGAACCAACCTCGGAAAAACGGTTGAATTGTTGGTGATTGGATCGAATTCCGCCTTCGTCTTGCTATTTTCCAATACAAATCTTTCGATGAGTTCGGCCAAATTACGGTCAATGCTATCGGTGTAAATATCCAAGAATGCTTCGAAGCATACACCAATCAAACCGATAAATGGCGAATTTCCGATTTGACTTGCGTCTGTATCGACTGGATTTGCATGTTTATCGTCGATTGTAACGATTTTCGGAGCTCGAGCCTTTTTTGTGATGTTCATCGATGCCAACACAAGACCATTAAATCGTTTTGCTAGCAGCAATTCAAACTGTTGTGTTTTTGAGATAGCGAATAGCAACAATTTCACATCGATTTCAGTGCGACGTTTTTGCATCAGTGCCGCAAGGCTATCTCGAGTTATTATGCAGAATTGTATTGTCATTCGTTCAGATACTTCCCAGTCGACAGGAAACACTTTTCCGAGACGATTTTCAAAGTCAAGCAAGTGACGCTTCAGCCATGCATAGCGTTTATCGATTTTTGCAATCCAAGCCATATCATCACTCTCATGGAATAATTGCTCGTATTCTTGCAATTGAAGCGCTATTGTTCAACGAAACGGAGACATTTCAGTACAATACCACAATACCATGAATCAAGTGAAACTATGAAAAACTTACAGATAAACCATTTTAAAAGGTCGCCTTTCACTTTCTGATCTTCAAGAACTGAGACGACCGAACAAGCATCGGCCAATTGTGATAAAGACAATTTATCTCCAGACGGATGCGACGACGAACCAATTGAATTCATCAATGTATTGTGAAAGTCGGCTGTGATTTGAGTGGCAAGCTTCTCCTGGATTTGCTTTACTTTCACCGATAGATCCTGTTTTAGCATAATGAATTTCAGTTACCCATTTTCATTTTTTATTTTCTTTGAAGTTCAATGACCTCATTTTATTTCTAAACAAAAAAAAACCGGAGTTTTACCTTAATTTTCGGAATTTCGGTGTACTGTTGAAAATGTTTATTCACTTCGATGATTGCTTGCAATGGATTGAGCAGTTCACCGTACTGACGGTTTTCCGCCAATTTTGAGAGATTTTCAATGCCACCAACCAAAATGTGCAAGTGATTTAACGTTGTTATCGCGGTCGTTAGATTCTTCTTTGCCCAGTCCAACTGTTTAATGTCGCGCGTAATTTCTTTGACCATGTCTTCGGTTTTCTCGGCTCTCGTTTTAATTTCAATAATTTGTTCAAACAAATGGCCTATGACTTTTTGAGCTTCAGACAATGCACAACGCCCATCTTGTGCGGTAGTTGTTTGGCTACGGACGACCGAGCGAATATTTTCATCGATTTGTTGGCATTCGTTTTCCATTTTGGCGAGAACATCATCGATTGTCGACAACGACTGTTCTGTGGGAAAAAGCTGATTAATGTAATCAGCGGCGTTGAAATCCGGGTTTTCAATCGAGTCTGACCGGATAATCTGTGAATTAGGGTGAAACAAAGACACATAAATAAAATGAAGAATAAGTGTCAGTCATTGTTGTTTTACCTGGTCAATGGCCTTTTGAATATCATCATTTTGAAAGATTTTATTCATTTTGCTGTTACTGCTGTCGATACTTTGTGTATCACTTTTCATTTCCAGTATGTCCATTGTATTTTCGGTCATTTTAATTAAACGTATTGCAAATTCACTTCTTTTTTTTTCATTCAACCACACCCGACCAATATGTTATCATACACTATTCCACAACAGCCACCAAAAACTTGTCAAACCATACACAAATATCCGAAAAATGTTTGAAAATTCGTCCAATTTACATGTTACATGCCAAATCTGCTTACAAAACATTCACTGACACATTTCGCTTGGAAATTGGCGAGACTGAATTTTCTTCGATTTCTACAGAGAAATTACATTCATTTTATTCCAGATGATGATAGCACCAACAAATGTCAAACTTGACTTGACGTTTGAAAGCTTCAGAAAAGAAGAAGAAGAAGTAATGGCTGAATTCAAATCGCAAGCGGTGTTTTTGTTTCAGTTATTCCATGTTTGTATTTTTTTTTTATTCAAAATAATTTGAGTTTTGATAAAGAATTGGGACCTTAAGTACAAAAGCTAATATAATTAAAAGTACTGAAAATGGAAATTATTCCATTTTTTCAGTTTTTTTTTTCAACTTAATGGAATCCGCTGAGTTGGGAATTCAGCACATTTTTAAACTCGTTGTTCAACGTTGCACTTAATTTTTTTTTCTTCGTCGTAAAACTAAACGAGTTTATTGATTAGAGGACGGTTAAATTGTGTATGTGTAATGAATTTTCTGCGTTCTAATTAGATTTGCTAATGAAACTCTGGCTAAAATGTATGTTCTCATTTAACGGAATTCAGAAATCTTGGGCATCGAATGTGCGCATGTCTTAGAAATTTCCAGTCAGTGAAACTCCAGTTGTTGTTATTCGCTCAGCACAGCTCGTTACTCTCTCGCTCTCCCTCGGCACCTGTGCCTGTTCCATTCATAACACATAGTGGCATTGTGTTTCTGCCACATTTACTCTCTTTCTCTCACATTTTCATTCTGTGCACGCGTCGACTAACTGAAAAGCGGATGCAAAGGTTTATCCGCGTTTCGTTCGCTCTTTCTCTCGTTCGATATCGGTCTGGCTTTCGCCACAGCTATGCGAGAACGCAAACAATGAATTTTGGTTGAAGTGCTCATATAAAAAAATCGTAGCCAAAGTTCTCAGTTGTAATTCGATTGTATAACGAAGCGGAATAAGAATCGAAGTTCGCGTCACAATTTGCTTTTTCGGCCGCACTGAAAAACAACAAACATAAATCAATACATTGTAAACATATCAAAAACAGTAACTGTTTATCCTTTACTCAGCAACAGCAACAACAAAAGTGTGTGAAAATTTAAATGTTTTGCACGACGAAATGATAAAACAGAAGTCGAGCAAACATTGACCGACAATAACAGTTATAAAGTCAATAATTTTCAGTAACCGTGTGCAATAGAGAACCATTGTTATAGTGATATATTTATTTATTGAAATTTGTTAGAAGCCGTTTGTATCAAATATACCCCATACAGAGTGATTCGACACTTTTTTTTTTCGTGCAATATTGAATCGAAAGATATTTATTACGTTGCGAGTAGTGTACGATGCTCAACGAAAGGCAATTTTCACGCATTTCAAAGAGCCATCCCAACTAAATGAAACATCGTCAGAGAGTGAGAGAGTGAGAGCAAACGTAGGGATACATCAGAGACGGAATAAGAATAGAATAAAACGTGCAGAAGGTATAATAAATACAGCAACCTGCTCTTTTGTTAAAAGTAAATGGTGGTGGGAAACGAACAATAGCGGAACCATAGTTACGGCTCAAGCTCAAAAGTGCTAGTCGTTATGTGAAATGATTGTTTCGTAAAGAGGCAAAGCAGCGAATATAGAATACGAGGGAAAAAAACACAAAAACAAGTGCGACAGAGTCAAACAGGACTACATCAATATAGACTCGCATACACATCTATGAAAATAATCATAACCGAAAAGCAGATTTTTGCGTACGGAACACAGCATCGCATAAACATCGCTTCACTGAGAGTGGGCATCATTTAGTGGTGAAGTGTTTTGGTAAGAGAGATGACAGTGTGTGCCTTTTAGCCACCGAATTATCAACTTTTCCATAGGCATAAATAAATAAAAGATTGAAATAAATTCACGCATATTGCGTAGTTCGTATGGTTTGGAGTACGCAGCCACGAGTTGTGGTCCTATCGCGTATGGATAGAATATACGAGAGACTCTGATGAGTGATGATGGTGTTGTTGTTTTTGTTGTTGCTATTATTGGGATCACCGTACAGCGAATGACTCATTCACCCATCTGGTTTCAACAGCTCGATGCGGTTTAGCTATGCACTGTACAAGCCAGTGTAAATGTGTTGGCGTGCGGCGCTGCTGCTGTATTTATTCACTGCTACGACCCTCACACATGGATTTATGGACGAGCGTGTGTGTGTGTGTGTGTGTATGTGTGTCCGTGCTTATTTCTTGCGCGCACTCTAATCAAAAATGCTTATTTATGGCGAGTGGAGGGTTGTTTCGATCTCATCTCCCGTACCAACGATTGATGGTTTTGTGATGTCTGCATTTTATACTTTTTCATTTTACACTGAAATTCAAAGCGCACCACACTCGCACACGCTCTCCCATATCCCATCGCACGCAATCAACATTAATTTTTGAGCACATTTGGTGCGTTCCATTGCCTTAATGCATGCCCCAGCACTGTTACTTTTCTCTTTGTTACTGCTACTGCTGCTGTTGTGGTTGTCGTTTTTTCTCTGTTTCTCTTTTTTCTCTTCATTCGCCATTTGGCGAAAAATTGCCATAAACATGGGCATTCAAGAGGCATATATACATAAAGAGCGCTTAAGCGACTAAATACATTTGCCAACTATCCACATTTTACATGATGGAATTGCAGCATTTGACGGTGAACCCAACAGGGGGTGTTATGTTGAATGTCGATGATATATATTGACTTGTATGTGTGTATCTGTGTTTTTACTTTTTTCTTCAAGCGACAATGTCTATCGGACCGTAACCAAATCGTTTAACGGAATTACCATGAAAATAGATAGAAAAAAGTAAAAAGCTTTTTATTACGATCTTTTATTCCCTGCTTATGTGATTCCCAGAAAATCCTGTTGATGAAAAAAATATTTCGCTTTCGGCACTGCTTTTTTTGCTCTATCTCTCTTTCTTCATTTCCATTTTCTCGCTTTTCTGCCTGTGTGACGATTTGAAATTTACGTAAACACCAATCCAATGCTTGTTGTGCGCTGGAATTTTCCGACCATGAACCATTTGAATATTTATTGTTCCCTATTGTTTTTTGAATGTTTTTATCTTCTTCTAAGAACCTTTTCTTTATATCTACCATTCACACTTCTTATTATGCATATTACTTGGTTTTTGCGTTCGGAAATGACGTAAGGTAATTAGAAAAGCTTGAAATTGATGCGTTTACAAAAGAAAAAAACGGAACGAAAACACTCATTAGCCGATATTCGAATGCTTAATAGCCCTAATAGCTAATGATAGAAATTAAAATAGAATTTCATTACGAAATCCAGTTAGAAGCAGTCAGTGGAAAAATTCATCGAAAGCACGCAATTTGATAAGAAGAACGGTACGAGAATGCGCGCAAATGCTTGTACGTTGTGTTGATTCCTTTTTTTCTATTTTGCTTGCCTGCTTGAGTTATGTGTGTACAACATACATACAAAATGGAAAATGTAGACAGCTCGGCATTTGCGACGATGGTGATGACTCATCGCCGGAGTGAATCACAACCGTTTTCAATAACATACACCATGCGATGCGATACGTTACGATACAAGACCCACTCAATCCTTTCCAATGCGATGGAAATTACTTGAAATAAAAAAAAACTAGCAAGCTGAAACAAGAACAAGATATATTACACACATGCGAATATTTTATTTGAAATACGGGTCAAAAAGTCAACAAGGTTTTCCTTTCGTTTCGTTTCGGTGTGTATTCGACCGGTTGTTTTTCGTTCTCTATTGAATTTATTAAATTGAATTTGGTGTTGCAGGCTTGAAATATAAATTCGATTCCATTTTCCGTGCAACCAACCGCCCGCCCAATCGCTTAGAAACGTGTGAATTATTATTAGATATGATAAAATTCATGGCTTTCATTGCAGGGAGTGGAAATACAAAGCCAACACTTCGTCTCTTTTTTTGTTGGCTTGATAAAATTGATTTTCCTGCAATGTCACAAAACTTTTACAAGGTTTTATTTCTCGAATCAAGTGCCAACGAAGAGAGATGATGCCAATAAATTTCCATCCATGAACAAAGTTGTTTGCAACTTTTTTTTTCTCATTTTTACTTGCGTCCATCTAATTTATGGTCACGACTTTACGGCATATTCTTTAGATTATTGATAATAATAAACATTTCCACACTGAAAATTATTCAACAAGAACTGAAATTGCAATTTTTATGAGTTCAAAAGTGGATTCTCTTTTCGTTTGGAAAATAAATCGGTCTCGAATTTTCCCCATAAACACACATTTTTTCGTTGGATCAATAAATAAAGGAAAGATTGATGCGAACATATTTTTCAAAAGAATAGCATCGCGTGTTTGGATTTGACAGCGAATAGGGCAGAATGTGTGTGTTTTTAGGCGAATAGATAGAATGTGGAAGAGTACCAAAATTGGTTTAATGTGCTGAAGTCATCAAAAACAGGTATATAACCGTGACTCAGGTGTGAAATACAACTGGCACACCTCTGACGATGATCTTAATCGAAATACGCTGTAGAATTGCAACAATATTTCAATCGACTCACCCGTAGACCTAATCTATTTCGTAAACAATTTTTGCTACTCCCCATGTTACCAACACAATATTAGCTTTGAAAATTGTTTGTTTGTTTTGTTTTCTTCTTCTTTTTTTTGTAAATCCAATGACCATAAATGTATACAACAATATATTTGAATACCATTATAAATAATGTAAGCCTCACCCTAATTATCATATTATTGTAAATTATTTACAGGTTAATATATGTGACGATTACAGTTTACCCGTAGACTTTGTTAAAAAACGTCCATCCAGCTTAGAACAATGTCGTGATGTAAAATTTGCTGATGATTTTCCATCTCCAATCATATTTAATGAACAAGTACGCTCACACTTAATTGCTAAATTCACCACTAGCTTGATATGTCGAACTTTGTAACTTTTACAACACACTCACTCTCTCTATCGATCACTCTGTCGTTCGAAATGAAAATGGAAATGACAATCACATATTCTGCCCACATTTCATTTGCAGGTTTTACCAACCGCAAGTCTAAAAGAGACACGGCCCCTATTGACCGCATCAACATCAACAGCACCCAAAGTTTTACTCAATTATTGCGAGCCAAAGGATAGTAAAAAGCCGAAACACAAAAAAACATCTTCAGTAAAATCAATAAAATACTTGTCAGGTGAGTTACTTCACACAATTAAAACGGCAGGCATAACATTAAATTCGATGGGAACTGCACGCAATGTAAGGTTATGGAAAAAAGAACACATCAGCCTTTTGGGATGGTGTAATTCAAAAGTATTGTTATTTTTCAGGCAGAAATAATACATATTTTTGCATAAAATTTCCATACGAGCGACTTTTATTGCAACCACCGTAATTTCCATATCAATATATTCATTCCCCATTTTTATATTGGAATAAGCACGATCGGTTACGAAAAAAAAAAACCAATACCATAATTGACGGCCTGAGAAGAAGAACCTTTCCTACAAAACCTGTGCGCAGAACACAAACACAGAAATTTTTAAGTCAAAAGGCGAACAGCAAATTTGCGAGCACAAAAACCTAATATATTTACAGCGAGCGCAAATAGTAGTATAACAAGCCTACTAGCATGCAAACTCCGTATAAGTAGGCCTGTTATGCTTTTGCGCTCGTTGTAAATATATTAGGTTTTTGCGCTCGCAAATTTGCTGTTCGCCCTTTGACTAAAAAATTTCTGTGTTTGTGTTCTCCGCACAGGTTTTGTAGGAAAGGTTTTTCTTCTCAGGCCGTCAATTATTATATTCGAAATATATATATATATTTTGTTTTCAGATTCATCGCTGCCAAACTCAACCGACGAAGAATATAATCGTGCCGAATCGAAATATGACTCATCGGAAAGTTTAGCTGATAGTTATTTAAATAACGAGCCCGAATACGCGAATCAAGAACGCCATCGACCACCACAATATATACCGAATCCTGGCTCGAATTCGAATACAAATACTATAAATAGTAAATCTCCTTATTATTATTCGGATTTATTGCCAGGAGGCAATAAAAATACAACGCAATCCCAAACGCAACGTTCGTTAAAGACAAGTACAATTGTAAGCAGCACATCGACCGCACCAACAAAATTCAAGAGCTTTTTGGACGACCCACCATCACCGGAAGTACTATCACCTCCGGTGCACAAACGGCGCAACGGAAATTACCAAAGAAGACATTCGATAAATGATCGTGATACATTTTCATCGACAACATCAGACGATTCAAATTGTACGGAATGTCGAAAACGTCGCGAACTACGCCATTTGCCACCGTCACAAGATGAATCGTTTTGTGTGAGCGCCACCGAATACGACGAACGAGAAGAAGAAGTCCCATCGCCAGCGCCAAACGAATTTCCATGCGATTCGCGCGAATACATCGAAGCTGACAGCCAAGACGTTACCGAAGACGAAATGGCACCACATCGATTGTTAGGACATGCGGCCTGCATTTGCTCAACCGAGCCAAATGATGACAGTTCACAATATCGCTCAAAGAGCATTTTCTACGTTCACCAACAAGGTGAAGACCAGTGTGCTGACTGCACGATAAACAATGTCAATGAAAGGAGCTATTCATGCGAATCAGATTTAATATCGTCCGGCAAACGACGCGTTCAAGTTTATGAAACGGCATTTGACAGTACTGTGCCGCTTAGTGGATCGGATGAACATTGCGAAATTGAAGAGCGTATCCGGAATATTATGCTAATGGATCCGCAATTTGTTCGATCAAACGAACAATCGAATGAGGATAAGACAAGCCATCAATTCAACTGTGATTACCATAAGAATAGAAAAGTAAGTGAAAATAGGAGTGTTGGGACGACATCGTGTAATTCACCGTCTTCCAAGAATTTGGCAGCCACAGCAGCTGGACGTTATCCATCACATTCGCCGCCATCGACGGCACCAATGCCAGTTAAATTCCCCGATAAACACGAGCAACGCCTCTATCGAGACAGTAATCAGAGTGCTCCGAATTTACCACAGTCAAATGCGACGCCACATCACTGCAGAGACGATCAAAATGAACGCCAAAAATTATCGAAGAAATCGATGCAGAAAAAAAAATGTTCACATGCACCCGAACGTGGGAAACAAGTGCGGAAAAGCAAACGGCGACAGAAAATCGCAGCTGGACCACAGAAATTTTCATCAACTGAGAGTCTATCGTCGAGTGAGGGAAGCATTGAATCCATACATTCAAGTGCAAGCGACGGAAATCGCAGTTCAATTAGTTCCGGCTCACGACACTCGGCTTCGTTGAGCTCACATTCAAGTGATTCAGGTGCACGTGTACGTTATCCTCTTCGAACCCCAGTCATTGTGCATGCAAATATGAATATTCTGAGTCCGATATCTGATAAATCGATACAAGAATCATCCGAAATGTTTGCAGCCGGTGCCAGTCGCAAGAATTTACAGTTATTCAATGATAATGGGCCATCAAGTGTGTCAGCCAAAGAGCTGAACAAACAAACCAGTGTCGATATGATGCTATTGGAAAATCAAAAATCCAATAAACGGCGATACTTACAAAATCGCGCTTCATTGTTGCTAAAGGATGAAATACAAGGCAGCGACAGTGGAATATCGTTGCAATCGCGAGATGATACAAAGATTAAGGGTTTAGCTCTACCGAACCTGAACGGTGGCCAACCAAAGCAAGAATCACAAGCATCCAATAACTCAGGGTTAAGTTTACCGGAAGACTTTGCCAATCTACCATTCGACATGCCAAAGCTCAGACGGAACCTGTTGCTCTCAGAACAAGTATGTTTTAATATCACAATTTTAATATCGTTCTTGTATTTAAAATACAATTAATTATTATTTTAAATCTAATGAATTTTGAGCTGTGGACTGTTAATGGGTTGCAATTTTCTTTTCCACTGAAACAGAAACAAAGTACCTCAGGCAGCGCAACATCTGTAGATTTAGGCGATCTTCCATTTGATATGCCAAAGTTGAATCGACGTTTACGAGCTCAATCAGGATTATCGAATGATACAGCGCCCAATACACTTGATCCAAACAACATGTCACATGCATCGTCAAGTTTATCGATGCGCGATGAAAATCGACTTGGTGTGTTAATTGTGGATTTAATCCCTTCTAAATAGACTTAATCAGTCAACAAAGCTGATGCAAACAAATATGAACGGAATAATGCAAGCCAATTCTCATTTTATCTAAACAGGCTCTGGACGAAAGAATCTTTCGTTGCAATTCAATCGAACGTCATTGATGAAAAATGATGGAATGCCGAATGAACGCGGGCTACATTTGAATTTATTTAGTGCCAAAACTAATATTGATATTGACACATCGATTTTGCTGGATCGACAAGGGTATGAATTAAAAACGAGTTTTTTTTTTCATTGAAAAGTATGGTTTTTCATTGATTTCGTTTTGATGCAGTTGGTATCATGGCGCATTAACACGCATCGAAGCTGAAAGTACTCTGCGACCACTGATGGAAGGCAGCTTCCTAGTTCGTAATTGTGAATCAGCCAGAAATGATTTCTCATTATCGTTGAAGTAAGTATTTTTGACAACAAAACACTCTCAATTCAAATAAAGTAAATATTTATGGTTAAAAATTCATTCCATTTCTTGAAATTTGGCCAATATGGCAGCATGTTCTAAGCTCTCAGCTAAATACTGAATAACAAATGATGAATAAATAAATTATGTCAATTTCCTGCTTATTCCCCACTTCAAAAGGAGCGCCAAAGGATTCATGCATATGCGAATACAGCAAAATGACAACGGAAAATATATCCTAGGTGAATTCAGTCAGCCATTCGATTCAGTTCCTGATATAATCAAGCATTTTTGCTTGAACCGCTTACCAGTACGTGGAGCGGAGCATATGTGGTGAGTCCCATTCAATATATGTACTTACCGCTTACCGTTTACCGTGAAAGGAAAATAAAAACATTCTAAATTTTTTTATTCCATTTCTTATTTACAGCTTGATAGAGCCAGTTATGGCGCAATTACTTTAAGCAAATTGTGAACGCTAAACAAATTGCTTTCCAGTTTAGATATCTCCAAGCGCATAAAATGCACAGCAGATGCTCGTCTAAAATAAATGAAGAGAAAAACAACAACAACAAAATCAATCTAGTCGTAATACCAAGTGACAGCACCAAACTCAAGCATTAATGAAATTAAAAGAAAAGAAAAAAATCACGCAAAATGCTTGGAAAAGTAATTTTGACTGATTCAAGCGCATAAATGCCGTGTCCAATCACAATGCATTAACGCTAAGCATACTTTCATCACGCTCTCTCCCTATATGTATTGTGTAATATTTTCACCGTTCTATTTATCTGATGGTATAAAATTAATGTATTTATGAAATATAATATACTATGACGTATGCGAGAACATGCTCTCACCCATTTATACAACAATGTAATGAACAATTTATTTTACAAAAAAATTCAAGTGGCAAATTCATTGAAATTTACGTTGCTAACCAATTTACCAGGTTTCCTGGTACACGTCGGCAACACACACATACACATCTATCTCAGAGTGGTATATGCTTTGGTGGCCATATTTTAAAGTTTGAAACATGAGAATATATGATGAGCGCTCCGAAAGTTATATGCTTGGCAGAAGACATGTTCTAGTTTATTCGATTAACACGTATTTCGAGAGCTGAGAAAACATGAGAAGGAGACGAAAGAAATGAAAAATTGTTTAGTGTGAAATTGTGACATGCAAATGCATATATACAAATCAGCGAGCCAACCGAAGACAAAAATTGTTTTTACGAGAAAAAAAAATTACTATATGTCTTTGAATAGTGCGTAATAAAATTAAATGAGAACAAAAAAAAAATGAATCGGATTTTTTATTTCATGTCTTTTACAACTTTATTTCGAATAAAATATTTTTTAACATAAAAAAATATAATGAAGTCTATTACGATGAGTTGGCATCAGTTATGTTTTCGACAAGACCTTGTCCTAAAATCAAAAAATCATTTTTCAGTTGTTCGTGATTGAATTCCAATTGACCGTCAGCGGTTGCCACTTGACCCATAGCAGCAGTTATTTTGAACTCTTGTTTTGTAAATGTGTTTGGCTTCCATAAAACGGCGATTTGTTGTCCACCGCACGGATTGTAGAAGAACATAGCTACATGACCGTAACCAGTACGCAATTCATTCAAGTAGGATTCCACCGGATTGTAATCTGACATCGGTATGAATGGTTTGCGTTGACGCACTGATTTCTTGTTATCATTAGAGAATTCATGGACAAGATTGTCTCTCAAGTGCCTTTTGTTGAGGTTGATAATTAAATTGTATCCTTCGATCGATGCCGTAAATAATGGATCAGCGATAAAATCCTTGAAAATGCTTTTTTGAACGAGTTTCGTGGCATGACGTGCCAGTAAGGTGATTCGAGCTAAAATTTCAACACTTGGCGTTTTCTTCGACCAAATTGTATGTTTATCAACTTCACCCGTTGATGTGATGATGCACAAAGGTGGAAATGCACTACGCGTTGAAATGAATTCCATCTCCAACTTGTCGGTATATTCACGGCTGAGGTCATTGTTGAAATTCAATAGAATCAACTCTGTGTTCCAATTTGTATGCGCCAGCATGTGCAAAAAGCGAATGAATGCGGCCTGCGGTTGCGTCGGTGCTTCGGATGCAATCGTGTTGTAGTATTGGTGTGCAACGAGCAATTCGGTGCAAATGTCATCACCGAACAGGAATGGATCGATTAATTGTGAGTACAGCCATCGTTTTGCCAGAAGCACCGTCGGTCCAAATGATGAATGCTGATGATAAAGCCTGAAACAAATGATAATGTTTTGAAATATTAGTAGGTTTTGAGAAGTCCAATCAAATTCATTCCACTTACGTATGCAATGACACATTTATTTTCGGAGTTAAAATCAATTCACGTTCCATTTTCAAGCTCTGTGGTGTGGCCCTGTATTTAGTAACACCTTTCGATGACACTTCTTTCATGTGCAATGCTATTTCACGTGGAATAGCTATTTTGTATCGAAACATATATCCATCTAAAAACGCAAGAATATTCGACTTGAATTTGATGCCATCAAAATTTACCACAATAGTCATTCTAACCTTTGATTATGTCGATAGAATCTACATTGACCTTGGTTCGTAGACGGAATTTCTTTCGCAAACCACGTGAAATTTGAAGAAAAAAAGCAGCCTTGACATGTTGCAGCGCTCCCAACTCAGTTGGCCACTTTCCAGATGTTTCTGCATGAAATTAATCATCAACATTAAAATCAATAAATTTGCATTTGCCCCAAAAAAGTAATGTGTTATGTATGCTTTCAGAAATCGTAGATTTTGATCAAACAAAATGTGTTTTCTTTTTAAAATATCGAATAAAAAATACAAACCAAATTGAATAACTCCTTCATTAATGATTGCAGCATTGAATGTCTCCTTATCATCTTTGGAAAATAATCTTGCGTTTGCGATAACTGGCCGAAGTTCACAGTACCGGAATACTGGTGATTGTCCCAAAACCGATGTAATTACCAACGGCAACTCATCCAGAGATCTCAAGTTTTTATTAAGTTCATCGAATGTTTTAATAACTTGAATCGCCATATTCTCTGCGTTATTATCGCCGTCCAAAAATTCTTTGAAGCATTCATTCACCGCAAATGCGGAATCCATTTGATTGGCTGTGTAATGGATTTCCGATAGTTCAATACCGAAATGATGGTTCAATAAATGCTCGACAATTTGTTTGCAAATCAATCTCTTCTCAACTAATGACGATGTCAATGAACCCCAAACACAAGCTTCCGAAATGGATCTAAAGTCAAGAAACAAGAATAAAATAAGAACAATCTCCCAATGAAATAAGAATTATAAATAGCATACCCATCTTGGAATCGTCTCAATTCCGATTTTGAGCCCCAGAATTGTCTGTATTCTTCGGCTTCCGGTAGATTTGATTGTGGTCCTTTGTCGAGAATATCAAGCGCATATTCTGGATTCAAGACTAGACCAATTTTAAGCAGCTTCCCATTTGGTGTATGCTTTTCATTTATATTCCATGGTTTCAAATTGCCTTCGTGTACTTCGGTTATAGGCAAAATTGCATGGAGTCGCTTATCAAGGCCCTTTCTCAAAACCGATAGCACTAACTTTTCTGCGTATGGATGCCAATAGCCACAAAAATTGAAAATTGCTTCGGATTGTTGGGATTTTTTCAGAACTTTGCTAGCATCGAATCGAATGATGTGGTCAGCTTGTGTGTAGAGTTTAAGCAGTTTGGTTGCAAACAAAAATCGAAAACTATTAACATGCTCGTTATTCAATAGTTTCAATGCCACTGAACTCTCGTATCGAACACGACGGTACACATCCAACGAAAGATTGGCGCAAATATTGTAGTAACCGGTTGAGTCAATGAAAACAACATCAAAATATTGATGGAATATCTCTGGCTCTGGTTGAGTTGTACGGAACTTTGATTCGTAGATGGAAATACTTTTATTCATTTCGTCCCATGATGTATTTGCTAGAATGAAGAAAAAGTATGTTAAATGGGAAAACCATTTTCACCTCCAAAATGTAAGTATGAGTATTTAAACTCTTGCATCATCTCACCTAAATGAATCCAAACTTGTCGGATTATTTGGTAACTGTTCATGGAAGGTGTGATCAGGTTCTTTTGTATCAAATATGCAACGAACATCGATAGAATGAATCCATTGAAACCACCTTCACCAACATTATATTCACGTTGTTTCAGCCAAATTTTTAATAAAACAATTGCATCTCTAACGTGCGGATTGCTGCCAAGTGTGTTACACAGGTATTCGTCATTAAATTTGGTGTTCAAATCACCTAGAATCGTGCTATTGTAGAACGGTGTCGCCGAGTGCTCTGCGTTTTTAATGACTTCAGTCGATGGTTTCTTCGAATCCGTTTGTTCGGTCAATTGCTTAACATTTGATTTTTCCGGTGACAACCGTTCGATTTTGAAACTTTCCTCACCGCATGTGGCTCGCAAATAGAATCTAATGTGTTTTCCATGTTTACCGGCTGGTTCGAGCACTAATACCGGTTGAAATGGATTGCCATTGGCAAATAAGAATTTGCATTCGCCAGCTTGATCCCAACTCTTCAATTTTAAAGCTAAATAGCTCAAATATAATGCCTTCTTCCGATGATAAATACCATTTAGATGATTGCCTTTGGAGAAGAATTCGGCAGGAATTTCGATGCACACGTCTAAAACTGGATTTGCATTGATCACCGTTTGTGAACGAAACGATCCGACTGGGAAAACGGACGACGGGGAAACGAATCGAAATTTGATTGGGGCTGCATCGAATGGGATCTCTGCACTAATCGGTGGCACTATTTTATTTTTCTTCAACCATTTCAACTCGTGAACGGGCGTTTCATTCTCTTCCGATGGTAATGACTTCAAGTAATCAACCAGCCCTTGGAAAAAGTTTTCGATGAACGCCACTCGTTTTTCCGGTAATTTCGTTTCTTTCAGCAATTCCCCGGTTTGCAAATGGAAAAAATTCGAATGATATAATTTTTCGGTGGCTTTTAATTGATTAATTTCTTCAACTTTCGCCACTTTATGAAGATCTTTTTTCAGCTTCAATTTTTTTGTCGCTGGAACAACTGTATAACTGCCATTCTCATTATTTGAACCATTTGTTAGTGAATTTTTACGCTTTTTCGATGCCTTTTCATTTGGATGAAACATTTTTTTGATATAGTTATCAAGTAAATGATTTAAATTGAGCGAAAAATGAACGTTTCAAAACAGTTTACTGGCTAGAAAATAAACATGCCGCACTCGTAAGTGAGTGATATACAATGCACGTGTATTTCTGATGCTTATGTCAAATCGTAGCTGTCAGATGTGTTGACATTTTAAGTCACCACAATGGGAGGGGGAACGAGCCCGTTGAATTGACAAATTCAATACACATTCGAATGAACATAAACAAATCACACGCAAACTGCAAGTACCATAGTTGTGTTCAATCAACGAATTTGGTGTGAAATGGATCCACGAATTTCAAAATTAGAATATTCGAAAATATACAACAGTTTAGCGAGTGTTCCGGTGATTTTGCTCAACAAAAATACAATCATTGATTTATGGAACGAAACCTCCGTGGCCGGAACAATTCAAGATGTTGATGGGTAATATTGGATTCTTTATTTTTGTTTTAAGACACAACAACCTGTTTAAAATTCATTTTCAACTAGATTCATGAATATCACAATGACCAATGTGGTTTTTATCGATCAACAAGGACAGATGAGGCCGCTAGAAAATTTCTTTATTCTCGCCAGAAATATTAAATTCATCCATATTCCAAAAGAGGTAAATGCGTCATTTAAATTTCTGTTTTTTTTTTCGTAGTCATCAACATTGTTTGAATGGTTTAGAATAATCAGACAAATTCAATTTATCACGTGATGATATGTGTTAGATATTGAAGATGATTTCGACTAACCGTAATTTTCCAATTTTGAAATTTTTCTCGGAAAAAGTGTTTATTTCAATAAAAACATGAGATAAATAATATAAAGTGATGACTGCATTGCTGTGCAGTGTACACATTATCGCACCACACTCATTCAGTATCTACTTTAATCTGGATTTGAAAATATTGTTCCAAATTATTATACCCAATCTCTTCGTGTAAATTGATGCAGAAAATAGAAATGGTTCACACATTTTAAAATAATAAAGTACATGTGGTTTTTTTGTCAGCAGTTCAATTGTTGACAGATATGTTATGTTTTTGCCGCGTTCAATAAGCTCAGCTGTTGGTGTGATTTCATTTGACAGATTACGTCACGTAGACTATGCTTGGTTGTCAAAGTCCACATACCATTGAGTATAGTATAAGCATCACTTCAATGAAGAAGCCCAAACAAATAAGAAATAAAACAAAACAAAACCGAACCGAATTAACGAACAGTGATTCGTTGTGTGGCCCGAAATTGATAATCGTGTGTATCAATTCATCTAGACAAATAGAATAATGGCACAATAGCTATCAAGTAGTCGTCAAATGTGTATCTCTCATTTTGTGCACTCGTTACACGGACACAAACTTCGGACACAATTCGCATTATTTCGATCGGTATTCACGTGTATTCATTACGTTTTAGTGACATAAAGCACTTTCAAAAACGAAGTAGGAAACTCCTTGGCATTGAAAACAATTTTAATCGACAAAATGCAAATCTAATTTCATTCATAAAAATTAACGCAACGAAAACTGATAAGCAAAATCAACAAAAGGTGTTATAATCGCAAGAAACGAACAAGAAAAAACTTCAATCACGTGGGCGCTAATTGCTAATTACCGCAAACAAATTTGACGACAAAAAAAGTAACGAAATTGAAATCGATAATCGCAAAAAGTATGTTAATAAGTAAGAGTGTGCTACTGAGTCAAGTGCAAAATAAATCATGTGGTCAATTTTCGTGTCAAGTGCGTAGTCTATTTTTATGTGTCGCTGCAACATTCGAGTACACCAACAATAACAAGCACAACATCAATTTCATTCGTCAATATCATTCGTTGCGAAGCAATTTAGCAAACAATAATACGGCTCGTTTAGCAACAACACCGAATGCATCGTATGCGAATCGCAATTATTCGCGTTTCTCCGCCAATACGATACTCACTGGAACAGCAATGATGAAGCTCACTGATTACGATTGCATCGGATTCGATTTGGACAATACGTTGCTACGCTACAAACTCACGGAAATGGTCGAGCTGGAATACCGTGTACTCTCACATTTCCTCATTGATGTCAAAGGTTATCCGAGTAAATATCTAGAGCGACCAATGGTGGAAAATATCGACTTTTTGCAAAAGGGACTGATAATCGATTTTGCACGCGGAAACATTCTGAAAATCGCATATGACGGCTATATTTCGAAAGCATGCCACGGCACAAGGCAACTGACCGATGATGAAATCGTTGATATTTATGGCAAAGACCGGAGCTGGCAGGTAACAAGCGACTTTTGCAAGAATTTATTGGAAGCATGGCATGGACCGTTGGCTGACGACATGAGAACGCTACTCGATTACTTTGATATGCCTGCATCACTGGTATTCGCACGAATTGTCGATACACTTGATGATGCCAACGGCAACAGACCACTACCGAAATACAACATTTGGCCCGATATACTCGATGGTTTGGGTGAGATTTTTACGTGGGAGCATTTCGAAAATGATCGAAGCAAGTATTTTGCCAGTGTTAAATCAGATCCAGGAAAATATATCCATCGATCGTCGGACGCACTGAAAAAATGGCTAACGGAATTGCGAAAACACAAAACGATATTTTTATTGACCGGTTCACACGTAGACTTTGCTAGTTTCACGTCCAGCTATGCATTTGGAAAGGATTGGCGCAATTACTTCGATGTCATTGTATGCTATGCTAAAAAACCTGGATTTTTCACGAAAGATCGCGCATTTTTGCGCTCACACGATACCGAAGAAACAAACGAAGAAATCGATCCGTCAAAACTGAAACTAGGCGATGTGTATACACAAGGCAATTGGAATGGTTTGATGCAGTGTTTAGCTCAAAAGTCCAAAACAACCACTCCAAAAGTTCTTTATGTTGGTGACAATTTGATACAAGACGTTTACTCGCCCAATGAATATTCAAAAGCCGACACGATTGCGCTTGCCGAAGAGATGATGGCCGAAGGAATGACCGGACGTGCATCGGAACATAAAGATAAACGATTACTCACGTCTCCATTGTGGGGCACATACTTTTTAGCAAGCAACGATGAACCAACCATTTGGCTCGAAATCATTCGCAAACATGCAAAGCTCTGTGTTCCGAATTTGGATTTTATCGCTGCTCATCCGATCGACCAAGAATTCAAGATTTTTACCCAGAAAATGTGTACAAATGGCTTCTATCCGAACGAACCGCTTTGCTTCACAAAATAGATTACCAACACATTCAAAGGGTCTATATGAATATAACACTAAAATATCGATTTAATGTAAAGACTCTACGCAAATTTACCATAAATTTAATTCAAAATGGATTTTAATTAAATCTATGTGATTTTTCTTTTTTGCTGATTTCGAACTATAGTAGATTACACAACACAGATATACAACATACCAGTTTCTTTACCATATATCAAACACACACACACGTTTCTTCTGTTACTAGATGTAAAATAGATTCTGACCACTTCTTATTTTTAAAATAGACAATAAATGTAATGAATAATGCATAGCTACGAATAAAGATATGGATTGTCATTGTAATTACATGCTTTTTTGTGGCTTTCTTTTCGAAATTCTTTTCACACTTCCATATTTGTTTGTGAAATGAAATATTCAACGTATTCTGACCTTGACATTTATTCCAGATCGATGTGACACGGGCTTTAGAAAGACTTTATTACAAAAAATCGAATGAAGCTAAAAATAAGCGGCCATCAAAAACATTCAAGCTGAAACGAGCTCAATTGAATCATTTGCAAACTTTACGGGAAATTTCTGCCCAAAATGATGAGCAGGAGGGACACGATAACGAATCTCTAGGAACATCAACGGAAACCACCTCATAAAATGATACATTCAATGAAACGCATTTGATTTTTTAGAAAATATTATAAATTTAACGAAATTACGAAACTTTTATTGTCTTATGTAGAGGTAAAGCCCATTCATATTCGTATTCGTATTTGATCGATTTGTGAGTAAAGTAACAAGTACATTTGTAGAAAAGTATTATTCCCTTGGAATCGATTAGACATTTCACAATACTTCGATGGCAATGGCAATTCCCATTCCACCGCCAACACATAATGCAGCGACTCCTTTACGTCCACCAGTTCTCTTCAATGCATAGATTAATGTAACAAGGACACGACATCCAGACGCACCAATCGGATGACCTGTTAGACAAAAATTCAACATCAAAAACTCATTTGTATGAATAAAACCTAAATTCGAAATGCAGAATATTTACCAAGAGCAATTGCACCACCATGGATATTAATTTTTGACTCATCAATATTCAATTCTTTGTTCACTGACAAAGAAACAGCAGCAAAGGCTTCATTCAATTCATACAGATCAACCTCGTCTTTGGTCCAACCGGCTTTTTTAAGCTGAAAATTGAAATAGAGATTTGTTTTTTTTTTTCAGAATGTGTACTTCATTCACAGTAAGTATTAAATTGTACTAACCACAACATCTACAGCAGCGCTAGCACCAATGCCCATAATAATTGGATCAACTCCTGCTTGACCGAAAGCAACAATACGCGCCAATGGTGATGCACCTCGTTTTTGTACTTCCTCTTGTGACATCAAAAGTACGGCAGCGGCCGAGTCATTGATTCCTGAAGCATTACCGGCAGTGACTGATCCATTCTTATCAAAACAGGGTTTCAGTTTTGCAAGCGTTTCAACTGTTGTCTCATGCTTTGGGTATTCATCTATAAAAAAATCAATAAAATCAATTTTCATTTCTACATTCACTAAAACTTGGAATAAAATTTAAGAAAAAGCAAATTGACTCACCTTTATCAAATAAGGTAACACCAGTGCGGCTTGGAATTGGAACCGGTACAATTTCAGCATCAAAATATCCGTTTTTCTGTGCTGTTTCGGCCAATTTCTGTGAACGTGCAGCGTATGCATCTTGTTGTTCTCGAGTGTTTTCGTATTTTTTGTTGCAATTCTCGGCAGTGACGCCCATGTGAATGTCGTTAAATGCATCAGTAAGGCCATCGTTTAGCATAGTATCGATAAGATTTGTTGAGCCCAATTTGACGCCAGCACGTAATTGCACGGCATGCGGTGCCAGTGTCATACTTTCCTGACCACCACAGGCAACAATTTTCGATTCTCCACACTTAATCGACTGGAAACCGAGATAAACCGATTTCAATCCAGAGCCACATAACATATTCAGTAAATATGCAGGCACATCTTGTGGAATTCCAGCTTTTATCGAAGCCTGACGCGCTGGATTTTGACCAGCACCAGCAGTAAGAGACTAAAATTCAAGAGGAACGTTAGTGGCTTTTCAACAACACATGACGTTTCAGTCACAATACCTGGCCGAGTATGACTTCACTAACGTCAGCTGCATTTGTGTTGGCACGATTCAATACTTCTTTTAAAACGATTGCGCCAAGGTCCGATGCAGGCACTTTTGATAAGGTTCCATTGAAATTGCCTAGTTAAATAAAATTATCTTTGTTTGAATAAAAAATATTTGCCAAAGGCGTTGCAAGATAATGGTTATGGTTAACACGAATTTTAATCACTCACGACAAATAAGATATCATTCTTATTTCATGTTTTAATAACTTATATGTAATCAATTCGAATAAATGACTGCGACTCTTACCGATTGGTGTTCGGGCAGCTGATACAATAAAAACATCACTCATTTTCTGCTGCAACAAATCAAATGTGTTAACGTTTATCTTATCACGACCAATGATAAATAAAATAATATCAAAATGCGCCTAATTAAAATGTACACCCAATCGATACTAGCAAATATTAACGTTTGAAAAAAAAAACACGGTAATGATAAGTTCCAGGAAAAAACAGCAAAAGCTAAAAGTAGTGTGTGAGTTTTTGATGCACCAATGAGAAACGATATTGGTTTAGTGTAGTGATTTAAATCAATATTGAAATTGCTTTCTAAAAATGTCGAAAGCAAACGAAAAAGTCAATAAAAAAAAGTGCCGAAAAGCTGAGGAAAAAGATATTATATCATGAGCTCGTGTATACCCGAATGCAGCCACACAGTCAAAAGATGTTTTTGGTGAAAGTTTCGAAAGCAAATACGATCATTCGGATCGTAATTAACACCCATTTACTAACACACGTGAAAACTCGTTTTAAAAATACAACGAAACAAAAGAAAAAACAATTGCAACAATAAGATCACTGCTGCATGTATATAATCAATGTGATGGAATTTCGAATGTTACCGGATCAAATTTCTAATTATATTTTAATTGCCATGTCTAAAATGTGCAAGTGAGCTATACTCTATGCGCTTAGCTTCAACTCTTGGGCATGTTTTAATTCAATTTTTTGAAGAAGAAATAATAACTATTCAAAAAACAACTCACTTAAAAACTCGTTTGGCTTGGAATCGAAAATGTGCCGTCTAAATGCGAACACTGCTTTTATAGTACTGATGGTATCATATGATTGGTCTTAATGGCACATGCATACGTTATCTCTGTATTGAAAATGTGAATGAATTTCTCCTCCGTCATATTCGTACACCAAAGTCGTGTGGAATGAATCACAATAATTACCATGAAAACGTCACTTTGCCTACGATGATTCTTTGTTACGATTGTGTCGACATCTGTTGAACGAGAAATGAACCAAGTCTCTGTCGCGTGCTTCAATACAAATGCTTTTTTGTACATATTTCAAATTGGAAGCAACTCATCGAATTTACTAGACAAATTTGAAAAATGTATAGTAGAAGAAAATCGATTTTATCGTCTGAAATGTGAAATGTTGGTTTCCTGAAACATTCACCATTAAAAATGTATGTAGCGAACAAACGATCAAATTTCTGCCCTTAAAGTAAAACGGAACTTGAGATCGCTTAGTCATAAGTAGAATTAAGTGCTGCTCTTGGACACAGTATTCAAACCAGTTCAACTCATATGAAACGTTGGCTATGTTCGAAGAGGCAAATGTTACTTCATCTGCGAAATAGCAAATAACGAAATCGAACGTCGTTTGAATCGAAAAGCTGTATATGCCATTGATAACGTCAACTGTGTACTTTGTTATGTCCTAGAAAAGAAATTCTTCGTTAATATGAAGTGGCTTTGTAATTCGAAAGTTGTTTACTAACCAAACTATTGAACGCACGAACAATGAATATGGCATATGTACACATTTGCTTGAAAAAAGGACCGCTTATAATTTTTTGGATACAGTCAATTAGGTGGAAAATGTCCAAATGATACTTTATCATAGCAATTAAGCGAAGTCGGAAAATTGGATCAGTTTTAGCTGTTTGTGTCGTCGCATAGATGACCTTATTTCCAAATTCGTTTGGTTCAAATTCAATAAATAACTTTTAAAGGCATCAAGTACAGCACAATCATAGCGAAATAGTCCAATATACAGTGACTATACTGTTGTGAACAGTATCATTTAAATCATAACACATAAGCTTTGTAGTGAACAAATAACGAGCAGTAGTGTAAGGCTGAATGTTTTGACAGGAAACCTAAGATGCGAGAAACAAAATGTAAAAAAGTGATGAATAATCATTTGAAACAGGGCGCTCACTTGAGTTGATTCTGCTGAAACCAATCAGACGGATCAGGGTTTCCAGTAGCCAAATAAAGCGTTGGACCCAATGAAAATTGAAAAATCATTACGACGCAAAAGTATTGTGAGAATTTACTAATCCTATTAACGAGAATGGTATTTTGTTGTTCAGTTTCTTCGACGATTTTCGTCGAATCACTACCTATAATTGTCGATCCTTTGAATAAAGATAAATTTTTAAAAAATTCTGTTACGAAACTCGCATTTCAAACTTACTTCTGGTAGCGATTTCAGTCAGAGTATCGATAGTTTCATTTATGAGTGACTTATGCACAACAAAATCAATATAAATTAAAAACATCGAGGTGATGGCAATCAACGCGTAAAAAGGTTTATTAACATGTGTTAACGACTGTTTGTCGTCAAGTGCGTACAATACAAATGGCAACCCCATGAAAACTTGTGAAACGACCACAACCAAATATATTAACGTAAAAGTTTGCGACATTTTTCTTCCCAATTATCAATGACGTATTACCCAATCCCACCCAATGTAATTTTTGTTTGGTACTGTCAAGCACTAACACCATAATTTCCACTTTGAAAATGTTTATTCAAAAATCCAGTTTGATAGTAGCACAAACGATACTTGCTGATCGAAAATCTTCAACACAACTGAAGTAATGTTCCATTTCGAATGAAACAATAAACTTTTGAGTCAGAGATACATGAAAAATTAAAAAGGTATCGATCAATAATAAATTTTTGTTTCCAACCCATTAGAGTGGGTTGTACAGGTTATTTTTCCCAATTAATTATTCACCCTATTCAGAAATCTTTTTCGGTTTGAAATGAATTCAAATACATGTGTCGAAAAACATTTGGAAATATTGACAAACTTATAATGTAAAATTGATAGCGCAGTACATGGAAATAGGATTTATTGAAAATGAGCCGATGTTACGTCATTGCTGATGATTTAATAACACCATTAAATTGTGAAGGTATTTAGTCGGAGGAAACCAAAAATCACACAAAAGATTGAATGTGGCAAAAGTACCGAATTTTTGTGCTTCTCATTCTGCAATGTTCTAGAAATTAATCCCTTTTTTATCCTCAACGACATAATTGAATATTACAAAAATATCTTCATTTCCAGACAATATAAATGCTAATATTGTTTGTCACATGTTCGGAAATCATCGTTTTTTTGACACGAAGATCTCAATGGACTCTTTCAAATTAAACAATTTTTGTCAATATTTATTCAATATTGTCTGTAATATTTCATTGTATTTTCCACATTTTGCTTATGATTCGAAATCCAACTAAACCGAAATTACAGGGTCGCAACTGAAGTGATAATGACATCTAACTGTAATTTCTTATTTGTTGGCTTACAGCATTGCTCTGAAGGCGAAAAATATCATCAAAAATATCAGATTGTCATGAAAAATGGGAAATTGTTTGACCAATGAAAAAAATAAGAAAACTTTTTCCCTTTGTAGTTCATATTGTTTTTTATTCAGTACCTAATTACAAGTCAGGATTTGGTTTGTTTTATTAAGTACTTAAATACGAACTATTAACATCCTTGTGGAAGAAAAGCTACGTTCATGATTATTGTTGATCTCTGTTTTGTCAACGACCAAAACTGTTTATAAACCCACCAGCAAATGATTCAACCCCATTAGCTACGCCTCTTCTAGTGTCACGAACGCCGTCAGCAACACCTTTTGCAACACCGTTGGCTCTATTGACTGCAGAAGCTCCAGCACCCTGCACAGTATGGTGGGCTACTTGCACAGTATTTCCGGTAAAGCCACCTGCATTTTCGAGGCCTGTGTTAAGATGTTGTTTAGCTTGTTCAAAGTGTCCATTGCTTGCTGATGGACCGTTGTTCGATGGTTGACCACCGGTTTGTTGCTGACCTCCAAAACTGTTTTTAAACCCACCAGCAAATGATTCAATTCCATTAGCTACTCCTCTTCTGGTGCTACGGACACCATCAGCAACACCTTTTGCTCTATTGACTGCAGAAGCTCCAGCACCCCGAACAGTATGGTGGACTACTTGCACAGTATTTCCGGTAAAGCCACCTGCATTTTCGAGGCCTTTGTAAAGATGTTGTTTAGCTTGTCCAAAGTGTCCATTGCTTGCTGATGGACCGTTGTTCGTTGGTTGACCACCAGTTTGAAGCAAAACCTTCAAAGAAGAATTATTTAAAAAAAAATGATGATATCTAAAAAAAAACTAATAGGGAATATTTACGGATTGAATAACGGCAATGCCAATGAATGCAATACAGAAGAACTTCATCTTGTTTGATTGCTGCGACCAAATTAGTTTGTATGTCAAAGTGATCGAAGTGAATGAAGTACCGCTTTCACCTTACTCCTTTTATACTAAATGCAAACTACTTTGGTTGTGAACTTTAATTACATTTTTATACACGTGTGTCATCAGCTCTTAATGGCAATATTCATATCCAATTAAAATTGAATGTTTATTACAAAACATTGTTGTAATTTAAATGTAAATTTTCTTTAATAATGAAACAATGATCGATATAATTGAACAAAAAAAATTTTTTGAACAATTTATTTTCAACAACAACGAATTTGTACGTCATATATTTGTAAAATTAGAGTAATATGGATTGACTTCGATAGAAGTTTTCATCACCTTTCAATCGAATGTAGTTTATCGATTTGAAAAATATGTAGTAGAAAAAAGCCGATTTAATAATCTGAAATGAAACATTAGACTTTGAGATGCTTCTATGATGCTCTAGAAATGATGATTTGTTTACCTTCAAAAATGTATACAGAGAACAAACAATTGAATCGTTGCCTTTGAAGTAGAATGGTATCTGCGATCGTTTTATCATTACTAAAATCAGTAATTGTTCTTTGACAGGGAGCTCAAACCACCTCATGTCATATAAAATGTTGGCTAAATTTAAAGACGCAACTGTAACTTTGTCTGCGAAATAGCAAATGCCAAAATTAAAAATTGTATGTATCAGCAGTGAATACAGTCCAACAAGAACATCAACGGTATTTTTTTTGTTGTCCTAAAAATGAGAAAGCTTATGTCTTAAAATACATTTTTGTAGACCATAGCTCAGCGATGCACGTCATCAGTTAATCGGCTGGTACACAGTACATTTGACCAGTTGCGACTTCGCAACAATGAATGTTTGACCGAAGTCGCAACTGGTCAAATGTACTGTGACCAGCCGATTAACTGGTGACGTGCACCGCTGAAAGGATTGTATATGTCACTTGATTCAATATCCACCCGCTCACTTTGCTATTCAATGTATATCCGATGAAAACTGCATATGTGCATAATTGTTTAAAAAACGGCCCACTCATGATGCGTTGAACATTTGTCATCATTTCAATTATTGTCAGATGGAATTTTATCATTGAAACGATGTAAAGTCGATGCCTTGAATCACTTCTGTCGATTTGATCGCGGCTTGTTTGTTTCCATTTAAAATTGCCGCGGTCAATTTCTAGAGCATCATTCCTCATCACATCGACACATGCACATATATAACGACAGCATCCAATATATAGCGATACCACAGCTGAGAATATCAGCATGTAAATGATGGAGAAAAAACATTCAAAAACGCAGAATGAAAAGTACAATAAGGAATTTTTGGTGTTGAACGGATACCTTGAAAGAAGATAAGAGTTTTAAAAGATTGCCGAATGTGCTGTTTGGATCTAATCATTACTTCACTTGAATTAGACCAAGCCAGGTGATTGGATCGGGAAATCCATGAATTGTATAGATAATTGGGCCAAGTAAAAACGGAACAAATGATGTCATACACATCATTTGAGAGAATTTCTTAATTCTTAAAAATAAACCAACATCACGTTGTTCAGCTGCATCAAAGATCATCTTACGGATACTGCCATCAATTTGAGATCCTTGAGAAAAATAAAAATGTCTTCTCGATGAATTTTTCATTGGGTCATTTATCGATTCATTGGTCCATACTCACTTGTTGTCACAATTTCTTCCAACAAATCAAGAGTTCGGCTAATGAATATTCTATGCCGAGTCAAGTCAATATAGATTAACGTCATCAATGTGATGCCAACTATTAAATTTCCAGCATTATGGACACGTGTTAATAGTTTTCGGTTGTCAATCGCATATAAAATGAAAGGTGTAATAAAACACACTTGCGACATTATTACTATTGTATGAACAAATGTTTGGCCAATAATGTTTTTCCCGAATACTGTTATTGGCTCATTTCCTAGGCCGATCCAATGTAATATTTGTCTCGTACACTTCAACACCGTAGTCATTGTAATTATAATTATTATTACTTTAGTCAAACATCACACTAATAAGGAACAACGTACGTTTGGTAAAGACACACTTCAATAACTAGACCAAAATGAATAAACTCATTTTAATATGTTTTCAATAATTTTCGCCAGCCCAGCAAGCCACACTTGGATTCATACAGCAGAATGATTCAAAATTATTATATAGAAGTAAATTATTTTTGGGCCTTTTTTTAATTGCAGCTGACTTACCAACAGAAATAAGTTTCACAAAAAATCTCTGACGCTCAATTTTGTTCAGTTTTTGAAGAGGAAGTTTCAGTTTGCATTTCTGATTAACCGTTTTGAAAAATTTCGTTGGTTAAAATAAAAGTAATAAGATATGGGATTTCATTTTATAACTTTCACTTCAACCAGGTGAACTTATTTCTGTTGATAAATTCGATGAAATTTTGAAAAAGATACAAAAATGATTTACTTTATACATTATTACAAGGGAAACGATGATATACGTGACGTAGATTGGTTGGTGTTGAGCATTCTCTATTCAAACTCTTACTTTTAATATATATTTTTTATCTCACCGATTTCCCACTTAATCTGTTTACTGTGGATGATTGTGTCTGACTATTTTGAGAAGAGTTATGTAGAAGAAGAAAGGCAATGTAACATTTTGAAAATGAGAATAGAAATATTGATTTCATATTAAGTTGGAAAAATAAAAGAAACGGCGTAGAAAAATTGAATGAAGTCTCCTTTGAAATTGTAATTAGCATACCACCGCGTCATCTTTGAAGTGTATATGTATTTGCTCCACAAACTACGTATAAAAATGTATTAAAGTTGAAAATTGTTTGGAAAAGAAGCACACGACTTTCGATGATTGCGTCAGAAGTTTGTTCTATTTGATGTTCGGTCGAATATCAAATGTTTCAATTCAAAAATATGCTCCGTTTAAAGTTCGTGACCCATCAAACTATGTAATTATTGGCTTAATAACGTATGGTTAGTTTTTTATAACAAAGAATGAAAAAAATCGAAATTTCATTCATCTACTTCAACATTATGTAACTTTGTACATCTGTTTCGTAAATATGTAGGCTTAGGACATTCAAAAATTCCATAAATAATTCAACAGAAAAAAATGGGAAGAAACACATTGGGAAAATTTCGGTTTGTTTATCGCTAGCTAGATTTAGTTGCGTTGAAAACTATTTATTATTTATCCTCATCAAGGAAAGATTGTTTTTGGGCGCTAACTGACACAAATATATATATATATAAATTGACAATATATAAACGAACTTAAATTGACAATAAGGTGTTTTGTTTTAATCTACAAATAAACTCAATCGATATATTATTTATCTGTTGCTACTTTCTGTTTTTTTCAACTGAATCGCACTATTTTTCCTCTGCCAATTATTTTTGATGATAACATCTTTCAAACACTTGATAGTTTAACGTATGAATTTGTTTCCAGCTGTGTCGATATAAACGTGCGTCATTGGAATAATGCAAACTTATACACATATATGCGGAGCTTTTAATTTATAATATTATATGAGGGCCTGAGAACAACAAAAAGTTGTAGCATGTGTTGTATGGAGTTGGGTCACTTTTACGCTCAACTTTTTGTTGGTCAATTTCACTCCCAGTCCCTCATATATCAAACTATGAAGCTGTGCAATCATCAATGTTTTTAAAAAGTAATTTATACTATTTATTCTAGAATACGTCATCATAATCAATATTCTCATTTATTAATAATGTATTTTTCCAAGCATATTTCCATTTAACTTTATTTTGAATAAAAGTCGTTAATGATTTTGAGAAGTAGATAATAGACAAAAGCCGATTTTATAATCTATAAAAAGGAAACAAACACAATTATTGGTATGCACAATGGAAAAGTGTAGAAAAACCAGAATTTTTATCGGAATCTACCTTTAGAATCGTTGGTAGCGAACAAATTACTGAATTGTTGCCTTTAAAAAAGAATGGGATTCGTACTCTTTGTATCATAAATATAAGTCGCCGTTTCTCTTCGATCGGAAATTCAAACCAATTCATATCGTACAAAACATTGCCTACATCAGAAGATGCGAATGTAACTGCGTCGGTGAAATAGCAAATTCCAAGATTAAGAATTGTGTGAATGAGTAATGCATAAAACGACAACATTACATCAGCGGTGTATTGTTTAATATCCTGTAAATAGAAATGGTTATCAGACCAATTGATAATTTATGCCGTGACTAGTTATCCACTTGCTTTGCTGTTCAACGAATTTCCAATGAATATAGCGTATGAACATAATTGTTTGAAGAATGGTCCGCTCAAAATATCCTGCACATTATCCATCAAATGAAAAATCTGAATGTGAAACTCAATCAACGATGTCATACCAGTACGGAGTTTCATGTAACTTCCCATTTCACTGAAATCTATTCGATCAATTTCCATCGCTTTGACTTTAAGAATATCAAAATATGCACTTATGTAGCGAAATAGTCCCGTGCACAGTAATATCACGGCTGAGAATAACATCATAAACACGATTACATTCACACACTGCGGTATATAGTATAAAATGTATAATGTAACGTTTGATATGGCGAATGGAGACCTTTGAAAAAAGAAAAAAAAATGTTATTACCCATATGCTTGCTGTGCGATGGGACGACATGTGCACAGGACTGAGAACACTCAATCGTTGTAACATGCGCGTGTCTGTGTGTTGGCTCTCTACGCTTCTATGCTCAATTCGTATAATGCGCCTTTCAGTGTGTGTTGGAGCGAGAGCAGTACAGTGTGCTGCACTGCTATCGCTAATGCTGTGTGCACTATCTCGCCTGTTGACCGCGGCAGGCTTCGTCGCATCGCACAGCAAGCATACGGGTAGTAGAGAAAAACAGCAAGAAATATAAATTTAATACCTCACTTGATAAAGATTAAACACAATACTCTGGTCGAAGCCGAAAATGGCGCAAATAGCTGAACCCAGTAAAAATGGAACTAGCACTAATGAGCATATCACATGTGAAAACTTTTTAACTTTATCAGCAGTATCATCATTGTATTCTTCGGCTTTATTGAAAATCGCTGCCGCAATTCTGTCATTGGCTTGTATTCCTTCAAATTAAAATAATAATATTGATTCGCTCATTCCAAAAAAATACACCATGGTGT